AGATATTTACACTTTTCAAAGGGCATTATGACTCCTTTGCCCACACATGACCTTTTTTTTTGCCCTGTCCTATACATGATGTTTAGGCACAACATAAATGCCCTTCTTTCCTTGCTTTGATCCGGCCTTTTCCCTCTTTCTTCCACTTTCAACAACCTACAACCAAGCCTCGACCACATTGATGTCAAAATCGGCAACATTGGTGACCGCTTCGATAGTCTCCTGTATCCCTTTAGCTTTTGCGCGCTCGTGCATTGTGAGAAAGTACTGACCTTCCATTGACCGCTAAGTTGCTTGACAAAATACTCTGAACAGTTGAATAGAACGAGTTTGTGGACGGCAAATTCTCTATCTCCGCATCGTATGATTGCGTCAGAGAGGTCCTTATTGTTGTAGAACCTGAATAATAATTAGTATACGCTCGTGCAATACACATGACCATAAATACCTTTTCAAGTTTGAACCGAAGCCAGTGGGATCTTGAGCTTCCATCTTGTGTTGATGTTGGTGGAAGGAAAAGAACATCACCCTAATAACGGAAGGCAGATGTTTTATGCTCTGCTAGAACCTTACATCGTGGTGGGTCAAAGAAGTGTTTGGTGGAAGCAGAAGAGTTTCAAGGCTTCAGAGGAAGTATAAAAACCTTGTAAAAGCGTTATCAGATGGGCGCATTATAAAGGCTCGCACTTGTCTTTAGGCAGGTTTCGTTTTAACTTCTAATACTGTTTTACAATATCTAATATAGAATCTCGTTATGGTTCTCCTCCTTAGACGCCATTTGATAGTATTACAAACTACCTGATATGGGCTTCTCTCACTCTAGTCACTAACCCCATCCTAAAATCGATCATGTGGGATGATCTGTTCCATTTGTCTTTTCTTCCCCTGCTATCTAACCAATGTTGCTCTAAGCCTCCCCATCATCAAAGAAACCAGCACCAGTGAGGATTCTTTTTTTTTTTTACCTTTGTTCCCTAAAATAGAGAATCGGAGGGATCATGCCAAACATCTCGTATATAGAGATATCTCGACACTCATAAGCCAAACCTGACATCATAGTTTCAAAAGAGACCTCCTCTATCTCTGAGTCTTTGATACCGTGCATAACAATACCTAGATCAGTTCCGGTGTCATAAGATACGTAAATCCCGTCCGAATAACGTTTCATGTCTACTTTGAATAAGTGGTCCACTGTAGACATGTTTGTTGGAGGCTGTAGAAAATGTTCGATCAAGTGCTTTGGAAGGTAGGATGCTTCTGGTGCGACACGGTGCCACTTTACTGATATGCATTTATGTGGTCTAGGCTGTCCTGCCTTTGTATGCAGAAAGTATCGCATCCTGATCCCGGGATCGTTGACCTTTGGAAGAAGGTCTTCAGCCCCGAGACTTCCTAGCACTTTGCTGGACAAATCTCCGCCAGCCCTTGAGAGGAGAAAAAGTAGAAGGAACTGCAGATTGAACTCGTAAATTATGGAGTATGTGTTGGAACCTTCGTAGCCCGTTATGTCTGACAGATCTTGTAATGACTCGAAAGCCATCGTTTGACCTGCTGAGAAGTGACCTATTAGCACTATTGCGGTGTTCAGGTGCTCGCGAGTTCTCGCCATCTGTGTTGCCATTTCTATAATCTGAGACGAATATTTGTCATGCAGTGAGTGATAGATTGGGGAGGTAGCAGAATGCTGTGAACCATGGCGCCGTGACTTTGAGATATAGAACGATGAAAGAAGATTGGCAAAGGCTGTTGTCTTTGAGACAAAAGGTCCTGGTATTGTAAAGCTTGCACCGCAATTGTGTGGGTCGGCTCCTGAAGACAGTAGTGCGTTAAACAGTCGCCTTGATAGGCTCCCGTCAGAACCTGGAATCCACGCCTCACGAAGGGTGTCGGTTGCTATTTGACTAGAGGTTTCTGAAGCGAGGCGCGAAATAACAAAATCATCGAACAAGCCGACGTCGGTGAGGAAGCTAAAGAACGGGAGCCGATGTTCGTTTTCAGAACCACTGTTCCATATGATTCCCTGGTCATATAATGAACGTATACCATCAAGAACCTCGCTAGATATTTTGAAGTTCAACCCTCCCCATCGGGTTGCGAATCGGACAATCGTGTAAATAATAGAGGGCAGATGCCAATCTACGCCCCAATGCGATGATGAGACCATGATCGAACAGATCAAACCCTTCAGAAGCTCGCATCGCAAGCTGAAATCGGATGAGGGGTCGTGGCGAAGAATCTTTTGACCTGCTTCGGTATCCTTCAAGAAGTCGTGGGCTGTTCTATGGATGAATACCACCCTGCCAAATGCATTCTTGGTTGCGTCATCGTCTCTCACTTGACCAACATCTAATGGCCGAAATGTCAACAACCCTGCGCATCGAGTGCGGATTGAAACTTCTGTTGGTTCACAAATTCGCAGACGCCTTACTGTCTCGATAGTACTATCACCACGTAGTAGTATCTCCTGAATCTCCGGGTTGTCTGCGCAAGCGATTTGAAAACTGAAAGGTCCTTGCAGGAAACACCACCTCCCTTCCACATTGAAGTTACTTCCTTCCAACTTATACTGCATGACATAGCGAAAGTATCTCGCAGCTGTTTGGCGATATACGAAATTATTAGCGTTCAACCTTTGCCACATATCCATATACAGGGTTTCAAGGTCTTCTGGAAGCCCATCCAACCTGCGAAATAACATATCCTCAGCATCATCGTTTCCAATGCCCTCAATAAGGCTTTGTAAGGCGAGATGAAGCCAAAGAAAGACACCCTGAGCTTTTCGAACTAGGCCTGCGTGTAGAGCTCTGCAGAGACCGGGTTTATCGCACAGCAAAGGACGAAGTTCTTTCCGCACAAAAAGAATCATATCGTGTCTTGTCAGATCCTCCAGTCTGAAGCCACTAGCGCCTGTCTCTTGAAGCCACCTCATGATCCAGGCTTCAGGCCGAGTCGAAACACATAGCTTGGTTCTCGGAAATCTTGATAGGAGCTGAATTGATTGGATTAGCCTAGAAAATCCATCTTGATTACGAATCTCGTCCAAATCATCGATGAAGATGTAGAGATGTCGGTCGTCAAGTTGAACCGTGTATTTCCACACAGTTTGCAGATCCTTGATGGTCCAGTCGTGATAGGAGCTATGCAGAGACATGTGCTGAAAGTGCTGCAATATGTCTGGGATTAGTGATTGGCGGTCTTGAAGTCTTTGGTAAAGTAGAGAGCACCAGAGGCCCTTTATGCTGTTTTGTTCATGTGATCCGATCTTCCAGAAGAAATAGCGAAGAATTGTCGCATCAGGATTCCATTGGTGGATCAGGTTTCGGGTCTGACCATGCTCTAGGATGAATTTAACAAGTGTGCTTTTTCCAGAGCCTGGTTTCCCTTGAACATAGAACAACATCTCGTCTGATTGAAGCCATTTGATGAATGACGCCCATGAAGACCAGATGACTTTGACATGCGAGTACGATTGGTCGCTAGACCTTCTGGATGGATGCGAATTCCCGGAATCAGTATCATCGTGATATTCCCAGTCATCTTCGCCGTCTGAACCTTGGTCATGTTGAGGGTAATCATGCTCGGAATCACCACCCTCCGAACCTTGCTCATTTTCAGGGTAAACACTATCGTCCAATCCATCATCATTCTCACATTCATCGCAATACATGGCTATCATCTCTTGATAAGTCGCAAATACTTGCTCAAATGTTGCATCTCTTGGGTCCATGATGTCATTGTATCGTCGATTCATACAATCAGCCTTAAGACTCTGAAGAAATGTTTTGCATCGTTGATCTGTCTCGGCCGTGGTCACAAGATCCAGCACTTGTGTATCGATATGTCTGTTAATGGTCCTTTCGGCCTTGGCAGCTTCCTGTGTAACAGCAGCGCGTGTCATATCATGTTCTTTCTTTACGAACTCTTTAACGTCAATGACACCTTTTGCGAGTTGGTTGACAAGAAGCTGAATATCACTATCCAGTTTATGAAAGGATCGCTCTTGCTGCAGGTGTATGGCGTCGCTCTGCGAACTGTGTAATGCCTTAGAAGATGTCAAAGAGATCGAAGAAAAACCTTACCATAAATGGGACATCAGCTCAGTATGAATCAACTCTTGATACATGAAAAGAGATTCTTCGACAGTCTGGATCGTTTTTCGATGCCTCGAAGCTCTGATCGCTTTACGAAGCGACTGCAAAACATTGCCCTTAGCGTGAACTTTCGTTATGTATTGAACTTCGGCTTGTAGCTTTTTGGCCGCATCTTTGCAGTCATGGGCTATGGTTTGAAGGTTGGGATCTGCAAATCTGGAATTCGCAGTGGCCATCTGTTCACATCGAGTGTGCACTCGACTGACGGCTTCAAACATTTGCTTCGAGTGTCGCTCGAGATCGTCTTGCGAAGTTGTAGCTCCCTCATAGGCGCTCTTACAAGCAGCAGCCAGCTCGCTCGAAAATGAGATGACTTGCAAAACGGCGCTCGCTGCGCCGAGAACCTCGAAACCTGTTAGCATGATGATGATTGTATTTCCTAGATGGGTGAGAATAAGATGAGGGGTAATGAACGAAGCAGAAAAGACAGAGCCTGATCAGGCTGTGCAGAAGTTTTGTCACGCAGACTGATGCTTACTGAAAAGAATATCCAATGATAGAAAGACTATGACTCGCAATATGTAAATATGAGAAATTACTTCTTACAGTACTATTATGCATTTAAGGTTGTGATTAAAGTAACGCGTTTGCCCTTGTGTCGGTCATAGGAATGACGATTCAATTTTGCAGTTATGCCAGCCAGGTACACAAGAGTCTATTTGCCTACTACATAGATATCTAGAGCAAAATGATATCTCAAGCCTCTACTAATGCATGGCGCCGTCCTTTGATCTGACGTTTGTGCAACAGCCTGATCACAAAAGAAGTCCCAATCAACCCGACCGCCAACGCAACCATGGTAGGATATCCTTTAGGATAGCTCGGAGCCTCCACCTGCTGCCAAATAACCAGAGGCAACCAGGCCTGAAATACATAAGCCATCTGGTTCATCGCACCCGTCACAAGAGCTCTCTCCTCATTGTCGTCACTACAAATCTCATGCGCCCAAGCAAACGTCAATCCACTAATTCCACCACCAAAGCCGCACAGCATGAAGCATACCCAGGCAAATGCGGTAGGAACCTTCCATACTGTTAGACCGACGTAGGCTATGATCTTGACTAGACCAGAGAAGACGATTGCCGGCCAGCGGGCTCCACGGAATAGACTGTCCGATGTCCATGCGTAGATGAGCGTTGTGATTACGCTGATAACGTCAACGATTGTCGGGTAGAGATTGACGTCTCTAATTGAATACCCTTGTGACTTCAGCCACAGGGGGAACGCAGGCTGTGAGCTGCCGCCGTTGCCGTTGTTAAAGAGAATATACAACAGCACCAGAGCATAGATATGCCAGCTGCTAAAGATCTTCTTGAACTTGGCCTTAGTATAGGGAGCCCGCTTGGCTCTACCCTCGAGTTCCATACGTCGTTTCGCAATTGCAATATCTTGCGGGGTAAAATACCAGACCTTGGTAATCTCAGGCAAATCAGGCAAGAAGAAGAATCCGGAGATGGCGATGGGTAGAGATACAACGGTATTGGTGATAAAAAGCCACTGCCAACCATGATATCCGTGCACGCCGTCGAGATTATGTGAGCCGGCCATCAAGTAACCCGAGACCATGGATCCCACGTTTCCCATGGCATGGAAAAGGCAGGATCGCTTGGCGAGTTCGTCTTTGCGGTACCATGAGCCGATGATGTACTGCATTCCTGGATAAAAGGTGCTTTCGGAAAGACCGATGAAAAAACGGAGGACGTATAGCTGGGTCGCGTTGGTGCACTTTGTGAGGAGGATGGTGAGAATAGACCAGGTAACCTAATTGAGTTAGCTTCAAGGGCAATTAATGATAGAAAGGGAATTTACCTCGCAAGCGGGAATCCAGATGCTCGGTCGGATTCGTGTGAGTAGCATGTTGCTGGACCTTTTAGAGAAAATCATTATGACAGTGAGTGATAATGATCTTACCTTGGAATCTCTCCAATGACATAACCAATGGTCCAACACGTCTGCATATAATTCAACTCATTCCCAAATAGGTTCATATCTTCCTTCATGCCCGACACAAATGCATTGTTGATATTAACCTATCTTATTAGCGGTACTACATAATTAGATATCGGTCGACGACATACCTGATCAAGATACTTGATAAAGTATCCCAATGAGGCCAGCGTCATGAGAGCCGCGTCGAGCTTGAAGAGAAATCTGCGCTCCTCGGGTGACTTGTCGAAGGTGTCCCAGATGTATGACTTCCAGCTCCTCTTTGGTGTTTCTTGCAGTACAGCCACGGCTGGCTCATCTGAGTCAGAGGCCTGGCCATAAGTGCCCTGCACCGTTTTAGGCTGGATGTCTTTGCTGTCGTCTGCCATTTTGAGTTTGCTATCCGGGCATAGGATTGAAGGGAATGGTACGGCTGTCGGGGCGGACTTATACTTATTTCCCGCGAAAACTTATCCGAACGGCCAATGTCAAAGGCGTTATTTCGCCATCCAAGATCTTACTCTATCAAGGAATATCATTGCACGCGAGCCGCCATGTTAGCCTATGTAGGAAGTAAACGGGTCTACACCATATGCAATGCCACCAGCTCGACATGTAGTGCTACAATGGTCATTCAAGCTACATATTGCGTCAACTGGCCTTATCTACCATGATCAGCGTTGGTGAGACCTAGCGCAGCAATTATATACCAGTATCAATGCTAGTGATGGTAATATGGAGCCTTTTGGTTGGTCGGGGATACTGACGTGACCGAGACCCATTATGCTGTGCTCGACTTTACCTACCCCATGTCGCATCAATCGGTTTAGCGAAATGTTGCTTAAAAAGAAGGAAAAAAGGTTACTACAAGTAAATAGTAGGTTATTTTTTCATGTTCGCATGTGTCCTTGGTGGATATAGCTTTAGCCTTCCAGATATCCAATGACAGAAACCGCAATAATACCAAGCTACAATCTACCTAGACTACTGTATGGTAGCTTCTATGAATAGCTTGGTAGATAATCTCTTCAATCTGCTATCTTTATCTGGTCGCCGATCCTTGGAGAAATCCTGTCCCTCGAGTATCAGCCACTCGATTGGTTCAGCTCTGAGTTCAACCACACAAGCTAGATCCGCTTGACCAGGTTGACACGCCTTCCCGATCTCCGCATTCAGTGTTTCTCTCTTCTTCCCAGAATTTTCTCCCTCTTCAACCTTTTCAAGCTTTCTTTCCAAAACACCTTTACTTGATGGTAGCCCTTGTGGAAATGTGAACCCATAAGATAACAGTCCTTGACCAACGAGGCTATACAGGCCATCACGGTCGCTCGGTCTGAGCACAAGGATCGACCCCATCATCCCGTAGTGCATTATCAAATCACCCCCCCGAGCTTCACTACAGAGCAAACCAGCTATACTTGAACCAGCCATCAATACCTGTGGCTTGCCGATGCCGCCGTGCGCGTACAGAATAGCTGCCTCTTCCGCAATTGGATCTACAGGTAGATCCGGACCGCTGTTGAAACAATAAATTGACGCCGATAGATGACCTGTATCGTTCTTATGAAGGGGCAAAACACTAGCTTTCGACTGACGAGAAGCGCGGAGAGGATATTTCCCACCGCTGCTGGTCCCATGTGCGTCTTGGATTCTGATCCTGGCCTCAACTAAAGTCCTTAGGGGCTCGTAATCATGGTAGATTTCAAGTGCTTCCAGGACCGTCCAGCAAAACAGCGATTCTTCATCCCCACTGCTGAGCAGAAGCTCTGCTAAGTCTAACGCAGAGGTGGGGTTATAGACGGGTCGAATTGGCGGCATACCATCGGGCCATTCGGCTAGTGGGAGCAATCCATATATCCTATCCTCTGGCTTAGTGCAGTGGAAGATGTCTTTGATAGTAAAAAGAATTACTCCAAAGGGGATCGGCGCCGACGAATCGAATTCCATGAGTGTCTCGAAAGAGTGTCTCCGGATAATAGGAAACCGGTTCGCAAAGAAGCCTCCATCGTCAACATCGTCCCTGTGGCATGGCTTGTAAAGATATGAGGCAAGATAGAAGCATAGATTGATTTCGGCCTTTGAGCAACTGTCATAGCCACAAAGGACTTCGAGATCGTTGCCGCTTCGGTCTGGTGCGGTAAACTCCTGGATGATCCAGAGCCGACTCCAGTAGCGCCGTTCGGCAAATGCAAAGCATGCCTTGCGAAGTTGGATGGCCAATTCGTCTTGCGATACTACCGAGTCTTTGAAATAGGACTGCAAGGAGGACTTTTCAATTCCCCAACTCCCGACTTCATAATACCAATAGCCGCATCGAAGCTTTTCTTTATCTGCATAAAGCTGTGGGCTTTTGGTCTTAATATCGTCCAAGAGGGTGCGGAGCATTGAGCTATCATCCGCAGCTGGGCCAATGCAGGCTAGCACCTTGGTTGCTTTAGCATAGATATCACCCATCATTGCAACCTGATAGCCTTTCTCATCATTATCCTCCTGGTTTATGCATATCGAATCAATCCAGAGATATGGGGGTTCTTGAGAGCATTCGTCAGCCGGATATTGTCGGTTGATTTGTTCCAGAGCATAGCGGCAGTTCTTTGTGATTTTCATCAGGTGACCGTTGAGAATTATGTCTTCAGTGAAGCCGCCATCTCCCCATGTGTATGAGACAGCAAAGTATTGGATATCGTCGGCGACTGAGTGCGTGCTGAGGCCCAGCCCAAGAAACGGCGCAGTTTGCTGAGCTCTGATACGAACTAGCCGAATGCTCCGAGCAGGGTCGTTTAAAGGCTGGTGCTTGAAAGTAGCGTTACTCATTTTTGATGAAGTTTTTTTAAGTGGAAGTGGAATTTGAGGCAGCAATTAAATCCCGCTTTATCTGGCAATTGCAGACCGAGCGGGGAAGTAGGTTCCCATCTGATCTGACCTGTCATTGTCCGACATGGGGCCTGCCAGGATCGCCTCATTCAGGGTCTACGAGACAGTACAAATAGGCCAGTCGTAACTCAAAGCATTCAAGTATGCCCTGGCGCAATACGACAACCTGCTTTTGCTTTTCAGCTACCCAGTCACAATTTCGGCGCATCACATTGCTGCAAAGTGTAAAAGAATGATGTGATGTGGAAGGGCTCATTAACATTCCTCGCGAATTGTAGACTCAAGTATCCACTGGACTTTTCATTTCTCTGTATCATGGAATGATCCTTTGTCGACGAAATCTAAACAGAACAGATCACCAAGTGTATAAGCCACTACACTTCCGTCATCATTGACTCCGGGGTATACGTAATTTGCTCTGGAGTCTAACGCTAGCCAAGAAGGAAAGTATCTCTTTCGAGCTTTCTTCAGTCTTTGGACGAGACTCAATTGTCTGCCCGTACTCTAAAGCCCCAGCTACCGACGCTAAAGAAACAGCGCTATGAGCTTAAATGCTTAGCGCATTGCCCCCTGGGACAAGCCTGGGGCTTAGCGCTGTTCATGCCATTACGCGTTGCTCGTTAGCCTCACTTTTGAAGTTTAACCTTTGTCTGAAACACATGGTTTAACTTGTCGGTCTTCTTGGCATTGTAAGTTTACATCAATCTAGTCACTAAACAAGAAAAGCTTCACTTTTTTTTTGTAACTTTATGCGCTGTTGTTTATCGGGCTGTGAGTCTTTGATAGCCTGCGCCTCCCAATAGCTTAGCTTGGCGGTGACATACAGCTGACACTAACCGCTTCAACACCAATTAAGGACCATCGCAATTTTATATACAATTGCTTTTAAGACTTGTCATTTCGCCTCGAATCGAGAATCATTTCCCCTCTGTATCATCTCGATTTCACACAGACATCAATCCACAATGCGCATCTCTCAGTTATTTGCTGTGACTACTTGCGTCACCAGTGTTCTCGCTTGTGCGAAGCATGATAATCACTATTCGCTTAAAAACAAGAAGCGACACATTGACCCCCGCGCCGATCCCGGAAGCAAAGACTGGGCTTATGAAGCTTCTTACAACTGGGGCCGCATCAACCCTGGTAGGGATATCTTCTCTCGATTCGATTGCCAGGCTTGCTAATGACTTGCAGACTATCATCTCTGTCAAACGGGAACCCAGCAATCACCCATTCCAATCGCGCTGAAACAGGGTCTATCCCTCGAGCATCTGATCAAACATTGGGGCTACCCTGACGAGATCACCGGCAACTTCTTCAACTGGGGCTACGGACCAGCCTTCACCGTCCAAAACGAAGATGGCATCTGGACCCAGAACCCATCCTTCAGCTTTGACAACGAGACAGTCTACCTGAAAGGCTGGCACATCCACGCTCCCGCCGACCACACAGTCGAACGTCATCGCTCAAGAGCAGAGCTTCATCTCGTCCACGTCAACGAACAAGGCAAGGAGCGCGCCGTGCTGGCCATTCGTCTAGACCCAGGAAATAAAGAGAACAGTTTCTTGGCACAGCTGCCCAAGATGATTGGGTTCAATGAGACGGAGACTGCAGAAGAGACGACGCTTAATCACAAGTTGCTTCTAGAGAGTGTACAGTATTTTGACGAGTTTTGGACTTATGAGGGGAGTTTGACTAGTCCGCCTTGTACGGAGGGTATTCGGTTCTTTATTGCGAGGCAAATTATGTTTACGAGCGTGAAGCAGATGAGGGATATCTTGGGAGCGTCGACTTATAGTGCGAGGGAGGAGCAGTTGGTTTGGCGCCATCGGATCAATGTTTAGAAGAAGGGTGCAGTATTCAATGTAGAGTATACAACATAGTCCGATCTAGAGTGTCTTGTACAAATTCCATGGAGCTTTCTATAATAGATTGATCTTACATCTATAATCGCTATTTATAATTCCTCTTTCATTTGAAGTTCAGTTTCTAGTTTCCAATCTTGAAGCCACCGGGCCAGTACTTCTGGAAAACTCGCAGAGGATCATACTTTCGAGAAATGTCAAGTAGCTTCTGCTTGTTCTCTTCACCGTATCCATCATAGATATCCTGGAAACCTGCAGCATCGCCCATGTAAGTAAAGGCCTCGTAAACACCCGCCTTCTGGGTAGCGTTGCCGATAGCATAAGTGGTAGCCTCGATCCACTTGAAGATGGCATCATTGTGCTCATCGCCACTCCACTCAACGACCTCAGCCCAAGCCATGTATGTGCCCTTCGACTCGGTATCCAAACCGAGAGCGTTACCACCGGGGTTGTACTTCTTAGAAGCCGTTTCCCAGAGAGATCCAATGGGTTGCCAATCGATGGAGAGTGCCTTACGATCTTCCTTGGGGAGAATCTTGTACAGGTCAGGCAGAGCCTCGAGGAAAACATCGTTGGAGATTTGGACTCCCTTGAGGACCTCTTCGTAGGTCTTACCGACGGTGGTACCAGCAATGAACTGGTCGTTAATCTTGGGAAGGACTAGCTGTCCAGTCTCATCCGAGAATTCAGCGAGAGTCTGCTTCTTGAAGGTATTGGAAATGGTGGGAATGTCGAAGAAGGGACGGAAGCACTCTGGTTCAGCGTCTGAGTCGCTGTCGTAGAAGAGGATTGCTGCACCGATTGTGGTCTCCTCGTCAACGGCGATGACTTGAGGGACGATGTGGGCAAGAGGGTCGGTGTTGAGGGCGGAGAAGTTGGCAACAGCCTGTTATTTGTTAGTTATGGAAGTAATCATTCTTGTGAAGTACATACCTTGAGGAATGCGGGGATATCAGCGACACTGTAAACACCAGCATGGACCTGATCGGAGGAGAAAGTCGCGAGTCTGAACTTAGTCACGATACCAAAGTTGTTGGATCCACCCTTGAGAGCCCAGAAGAGATCGGGCTTAGAGTCTGCAGTAACAGAGATGACCTTTCCATTGGCATCAACGAGCTCATACTCGAGAACGTTATCAGCGGCCCATCCACGCTGGTTTCCGTGGAAGTTGACACCACCAGCCAGTAGAAGACCAGGTACACCGACAGGAGACAGACGGCCTCCAGCACATGCTAACTTATGCTCGCCCAGATAACGGTAGACATGACCCCAATCAAGACCAGGTCCGACCCAAACAGATTCCTTGTCCTCGGTCAACTCAAGGGTTGTGAGGTTGGACATGACAAAGAGGGGACCATCGTTGATGTTGTTCGCACCTGCGATAGCCATATGTCCACCACCACGCACAGCAAAAGAAGTAAAGCCAGTGCCCATCAACTTAACAGCCTCGCCGACCTGTTTCGACTCAGTAGGCCGAAAGACACAAGCTGGGTTGAGAATCTCATTGTTAGACCAGAAATTCTGCGCCTCATACTCATAAACAGCATCCTTGGGGGAGAAAGTGTTGTTAGGGAACATAAGCTTGAGAACCTCACAGCCATTGTCCGATCGCTGGGTGGCGCATTGCTCAGATGCATGTACGGACAGAGCCGCAAGCGACAATAGGCAGATATTGGTGAACATGGTGATGAAGGAATGGGAAGAGAATGTGATTGTTGGGCTGAGGTGCAGGTTTTGTGCGGATCGTGCATCGGCTTATTATCTATTCGTGGTAGGAGATTGTCGAACTAGTTCAACTGTAGAAAAAGGGTCCCGAGGGTTGTGGGTCACGATAATCTAAAATCTTATGGGAAGTCTGCGGAAGTTATTTCCCAAGGCCTGGTAGATCAAAATAAAGTGGTCAGAGTGCCGGCAGAAACAGACGGATACCGTCTCGATTATTTCGTCTGCTATTTTCTTGGCGGCTGTTTCTCTGAGACCCCAATGGCGGTGAATTCGCAGAGCCACTCTCAGGTCTGAAGTAGCCACCTCGATCAATGCAATTGGAGAAGAAACGATTTAGTTCGTGCGCACGGTACATGAGTGTGAGCACGGCTTTTTGAACGCAATCATTTCCTCATTCATCCTAATTCCGAGTCTTCAATGCCGATCCGGAAATATTCCGGGGGTGAATGTTAGTCACTCCTCCGGAGCTAAAGAAAATGAAGCCTCTGATTATTGGACGACGACAGTTCGCCCCGGGTTTTACGAGGTCCGGGAATCGCATCAGGGGATTGATCTGTGGGGTTTATGAAGTTCTGTATTATGATCGACACAGCTAAATATTATCGAGTCTGTGACCTTGTCCTTGTTTAATGGATGACTTGACCGATTTCAGTAACTAAAAGGGCCCAAAGAGAGCTTATATTCTACTTTGTTGGAGCTCTCCATGTGCTCAATTACCAGCTGTCAGTGATAGAGTAAATTAATTGTATAGGAAATCTTATGGTTATTCGCCACAGACCATATTGAAACAAATGAAGTTCAGGAGTGCAGTAGTTCGTCCCTCCCATGATCATCTGCCGGCATAAAACACCCTTGGCGAATCCTTCGCGCTGCCCCCTGGACAGCTACCTCGGTTTCTTCGGCTCATTCATCTGACATGTCACAAAACCATGTCAAAGCGGCAGTTCCTCATCTTGCAAAAAACGTGGTAATATCCCAGCAAGCGCAATAACGCCATACTGTAACACTGATAAATTGCGAGATCATCACGTACATGATGAAAGAACAGCTTTATATGTCAAAGCGCGGCGGTACTTTAGGAAAGCCCTCAGTTGATCCGAAGGTTAGTACGGACGAGCACTAGTCAGGTACGCAGAACAAGCATTGTCTAAGAGTTAGTTAAAAGACCGGTTGTAATCTTTATTTAAGTTGCTTTTTTCTCCTCTACCTTTTTTTCGAGAGAATTGTCTTTGGTGTTTGACAGAGCCTGCCGGATCATACCGAAATCATGTCCATTGAAAATGGAGTCATGTTTCCCATGGACCCACCGCCTGGAGTGGTCCGTGATATCAACCAGGTTCCCGCCGATGCTCCCCTTGTGGTTGTCACGGCCATCTTTTTCCCGCTTGCGACAGTATGCATGGGCATTCGAGTTTACACGAGAGCAGCTATTGTATGCAAGCTCTCTTTTGATGATTGTGAGTAATTTTGTTCCCGTGGGCTTCACTTGCTAACGTTCATAGATCTTATGATACTCTCCTGGGTATGCAATGTTCTTCTCGTGGCGTTCACACTGAATAGTAAGTCCTCACTACAGTCACACACACGGATGACTTACCAATATAGTGACAAATTACGGAATGGGCAAACACCTATGGAACGTCCCTTTCTCACCAGACTTATTCCCCCATTTCTCACTCAACAACCTCCTCGCAGCCATCTTCTTCTGCGCAGCTACAGGCTTCGCCAAAGGCAGCATCCTAATCTTCTACCTCCGAATCTTCCCTATGAAAGCCGCCCGAATCCTCATCTGGACCGCCTTCGCTTTCATCATAGGCTACTCAACAGCCTCAGTACTCGTCAACATCTTCTCCTGCAATCCTGTTCGGGGCTCTTGGGACCCTGTGGCTATGGCGACAGCAAAATGCATTAACAGACCGGTCTTCTACTTCTTACAAGCCGGCCTAGGAATTTTCGCAGATATTCTCACTGTCATTATTCCTCTACCGTGGCTCAAGACTCTTATGCTGCCTAAGAAACAAAAGATCGGAGTTGGCGTGCTTTTAACAATGGGTGCAAGGTAAGTTCCCCAGCTCTCGCTTATATACTCTATCTAACCGAAGCAGCGTGTGCATCATCAGCGTCATTCGGTTGCAATCTCTCAGTGTCTTGCTCCACAACCCAGATTTAACGCGTAAGTTTCAAGTTCTGCTTACTTTTCGGACCGAACTGACGAGATTAGATAACACGGTCTTGGCTTTGATGTGGTGCATTCTAGAATTGAACCTTAGCATCATCGGTGGTTCCATGGCTACTATCAAGCCTTTTCTTAGAATTGCTATTCCCAGGATGTTCAGCTCTGCTTATGGAGCGAGTGGGAATACTGGACCTGGTATTCATCTTGAGTCGAAGGATAGGAGTGGGTTTCAGCGATCCACGGGAACAAACTCGAAAGCACCACAGATTAGTACGCATGGGTATACAGAAAGCAGTGAGGATCTAGTTGCATAGAAGCGTTAGACGTTCTTATCGGAAATAAACAATAATATTAAGTATCACCATCGTTAAACTAACATGAGGTTGTTTATGGTAAGCAGCCGCTAACGCAGCCCTACTCAAATTCGCAAACCTTGATTTCTTTTCGGATTCTGTTCAAAAATGTGGATTGTCCCATCAACCAATGAATTTGTTCAATCATGACGGCTGTCTCAAGCTACGGCCATTTTTCCCTTGGCGTACGCAGAGAATTCGGCACCGCGGCAGCAAAATCGTAAGCCAAGGCGCCGCAGGGGTAAGACTGGAGCTTTTAGTCCGTCGATAGTGGATTTTATTCATGACGCGCCATTCAGTCGATAAATAGAGGATCGATTGAAACAGGATAATTTCAGACAATTCGCGTGCAGAAGAGAGTTTTATCTCTGCCGTCATTGTACGATTCTGTTTTCAGTGGCTTGGACGGGCGCGTCGATCATTGTACTGACTCGACCCAGATGACGACTTATAAATGTCATGAGGCTACATCAGTCAGTTATGACGTTTCTGATCACCAGAATCGTCATTACACGAACAAAATAAACCTGCTATACAATGTTACCTAGAAATAAATGTTGATATATATTCTGCTTTGACAGCCACAACTCAGCCATTCATCATCATCACAGTTTGAGTCATTCTTCACCATGGCGTACCACGACAACACCAGATACAACGACTACGGCACCACGTCCGAGCGCCCAACGGGTCTCTTGACTCGCTTCGTCCCCGATAAGCTCAAGCACTCGGGCCTCTACCGTTGGTTTCTCCGCTTGACACGTGTTGGACAATTCCTCTCGTCGATCATCTCCCTCGGCCTTTTCTCCGCTCGTCTCAAGAAAGTCTACAACATCGTTAATGTCATCAAGACCCGACGTGGCGTCAACGCTGCCTTTGGCGCGGTTGAGGGTATTCTCGCTGCCGCTGCCTTGTACACTCTTGTCGGCATGATCATGTCTCTGCTTCTCAAGGGTGGTGGTCCTCGATGGCTTCGCTGGCTCTGGGTTCTTCTGGATATTGCCTTTGTTGGAGGTTTCATTGCTGTGTCTGTTCTCACTCGACCTAATGGTGGTCCGGCTGGCCCAAGACGTTGCTATGACGCACAGGGTATTTCTGGTGTTTTCCAGAATAATTCCAACACTACTGATGACAGCTGCAACTTGCCCTGGGGTACTTTTATTCTCGCTATTCTTAGCACGTAAGTCACTACCCCACATAAGCTTAAGAATCGTATACTAACTTCTTTAGTCTCATGCATGCTGTTACTGCTTCCTTCCACGAGATCAAGGAGCGCCGCAAGGAGCATCACGTCGAAAAGCATCCCGAGCCTGTTCACCAAGACCCTTACGTCCAGCCTACCAACGTTCCCCAAACCCACGCTCAGCAGCCCCATGTTGCCCAGCCCCATGCGGAGCCAGGTTACCCTGCGCACCACAACGTTCAACCTGGCCATGTTCAACAGGGTCATATGCAGCCCGGTCATACCCAGCAAGGACACGTTGGTCACAACACAGCGGCCTACTAAGCTCTTGACGCTGAATTAAAGACGCGTTGAATATGACGTGCTCGTTTCAGTCACTAAATTACACGATAATTGTCAAGAACTGGATTCTTATCCCATGTGCAAATCTTTATCACGAGCAAGAGGTGTCGATGGAGTCGTGGACGTGGAAGTGGAGCTTTATACCATGATGGTGGTCGATAAAGGAAGGATCGGAGCACATAATGACTTTAATATATAGTTAACCATGATTCTAATTGATAATTACTATCTTTAATTTCTTTGACATATGCTGTGAATTAGTTCAGTTCACAGACTGTTTGATGGCTTTTTGAATGGTGACGATGCGGCTCACGATCAGATGATTAAGATGATAAGCGATAAGCGATAAGAGACAAGAGATAAGAGACAAGAGATCAGGGTAGGAGATGGGCGAAGAACGATAGGAGACTTGAACAATTCGGACGCCATAGCGGGTCTGTTCCGTCTGCAAGAACCAATCGTGGACTTGTGCTATGTGGATCATTGCTTATTCGGGCTAGGTCAGTCCCAAGACGACGATCGGATGTGTGGCTGACGCTAAGCGACCCAAGAGTGGATTGACACAAACCAATCATATGGTCGTTTCTTTTGTAGAGCTTTTGCGTAGATTTTCGGGCGAGCTGCACGCATTTTTGAACACAATCTTCAAATAAATTCCAACATTCAAACGTAACACCAATATTGACATCACAGGTATTTCTCAATTTAAGAAAATGAAGGAAGAAATTGTAATAGATATTAAAGGTACCTTAGATATCCATTTACTCAGGTTGTACGCCTACATGCTCGAAAAATGCGTCCCCTCCAGGGTAGTTCTGTCGCGATCACGCGAGGTAAGAAGTTCGCGTCTGGAAGGGGTGGACTTGGCACGGTACGTACCCACTCCACCCAAGTCGGACATGTCTTACCTCCCCGCGCGATCAAAGCCGGATTTAACTCCATGGGGAAATGTTCGGAATTGTATCGTGACGACTACGCGGGGATAAAGATGACAGCGTATAAAACACTATGATTCAAAGATAAAATTTACATATAAACAGTGTTCTTTGAACTTATCTCTATTATTTTGTGCGTTTTGTAATTATTTCAATGACCAAGATGACTCTCCTCTCATCAACCCCCAAAGCTGCCCGTACGTCTTCTATAATTAACCCCAGCCTTCGAACTGACTGACATACCCAGCAATCGTGGTCAACGGGACTTCCTTCGCCCTCAATGGAAAAAATGTCTCGTACCGCTTCCACGTCGACTCTGAGACTGGAGATCTCCTCCTGGATCATTTTGGCGCACCGGTAACAGAAGACCCCATCGCTCAAATCAAGTCCAACGGCGGCGGCTGGTCCACCCAAGCCCATCTCCGCCGTGAATTTCCCGACCTCGGCCGAGGCGACTTCCGCACTCCAGCAGTACACATCAAGCACGCAAAGGGCTTCACAGTGTGCGATTTCAAGTACAAATCTCACAACGTCATCAAGGGGAAACCTGCCCTTGAGAAACTTCCTTGTACTTTTGGTGCAGAGGAAGATGTTGAGACGCTTGTCGTGACGTTGCAGGATGAGCATAGTTCTGTGGCGGCTGAGTTGAGTTACTCGGTGTTTCCCAGACTTGATGCTATTGTGAGGAATGTGAGGGTTGTTAACAATAGCGATGATGTGATTGTTGTTGAGAAGCTGGCTAGTTTTTGTGTGGACTTTCCGAATGAGGAGTATGAGATGCTGCAGCTTCAGGGAGAGTGGACGAGAGAGTGTAATAGGACTCGCCGAAAGGTCGAGTACGGAACGCAAGGGTAAGTCTACGACACCTCAAATAGTTTCTACGACTAACGATGTGCAGATTTGGAAGCACCACTGGATACTCCTCTCACTACCACAATCCCTTCCTATCAGTCGTATCTCCCACAACAACAGAATCCCACGGCGAAGCATGGGGTTTCTCCCTCGTCTACACAGGCTCTTTCAACGTCGAAGTCGAAAAATCCCATCAAGGCCTCACCCGTGCAGTCGTCGGAATGAACCCCTGTCAACTCTCCTGGCCCTTGAAATCCGGCGAGACACTCCAATCGCCAGAATGCGTCTCCGTCTTTTCCAATCTCGGCATCGGCGAGATGTCACGCAAATTCCACCGTCTCTATCGTCAGAACCTCATTCGAAGTAAGTTCGTCAACCAGCCACGACCGGTCTTGCTTAATAGCTGGGAAGGTCTTTACTTCAATTTTGATGAGAAGACCATCTACAAACTTGCGCAGGAGACTGCCAAGTTGGGCGCTAAATTGTTTGTCCTTGATGATGGGTGGTTTGGAGATAAATATCCTCGTGTTGATGATCATGCTGGTTTGGGCGACTGGGTTGCTAACCCCAAGAGATTTCCCAACGGATTAGGGTCTCTTGTGGAGAGTGTCAACAAGCTCAAGGTTGCTGAATCAGATGAGAATTTGCAGTTCGGTCTGTGGGTTGAACCTGAGATGGTCAACCAGAAATCTGAACTGTACGAAAACCATCCTGAGTGGGTTCTCAGCGCGGGTACATACTCACGCAGTGAGACCCGTCAACAACTCGTCCTCAATGCAGCGCTTCCCGAAGTTCAAAACTACATCATTGACTCAATGACCAAGATTCTTGAATCTGCGCCTATCAACTACATCAAATGGGACAACAACCGTGCTATGCACGAAAGTCCCACGCCAGACAACCATCACGCTTACATGTTGGGTATATATCACGTCTTCGAGGTCCTAACAACTCGCTTCCCCAACGTTCTATGGGAAGGCTGTGCTTCTGGCGGAGGCCGTTTTGACCCTGGTATTTTGCAATACTTTCCTCAGGTCTGGACGTCTGATAACATGGATGCTTATGATCGCATTCATATCCAATTTGGTACATCATTGGTGTACCCACCTTCATCTATGGGCGCACACGTCTGTTCTGCCCCGAACGACCTTACAGGACGATCCCTGCCCATGCGCTTCAGAGCTCACGTTGCTATGATGGGAGGCTCTTTCGGCTTTGAGCTCGATCCGGATCACACACCTGAGGAAGACAAGGCGCAGATCCCCGAGCTTATCGCTCTTGCGGAGAAGATCAACCCTATTATCATCAACGGTGACATGTGGCGTTTGGTCTTGCCTGAGCACTCCAACTTCCCTGCTGCAATCTTTGTCTCGGATGATGGAAGTCAGGCTGTGCTCTTTGCGTTCCAGATTAGATCGACTACTGTGACGAATTATCCTTTACTGAGATTGGCTGGTCTTGACTCTGCTGCGAGGTATAAGCTTGATGGTGGGGAGACTTATTCTGGTGCGACGTTGATGAATGGTGGTATTCAGTATCGATTTGGTACGGATTATGATAGTAAGGTTGTTTTGCTCGAGAAGGTCTGAGTTTGGGTATAAAGATAGATTAAGAAACGCCAGGGGAGTATAAATGGTAGAAAAGAACTATGGAACACGACAGACGTCCAATTTGTGTGAATAGACTCAATCAAAAGACAACCCAATATCAGGATCAAACGCTTCACAAGTAATACTTCCATCATCCCAAGTAGTCGTCGCAACAGGTGTACTCAAGTCCAACAAATCAAGTCCACTTTCCGGTATCCAAGCCAAAGAGTCAACAGAGCTCTCACTCTCCTCCGAAACTTCTTCAACAATTGCATTCCTTGCATCACCAAGCATATCCCACTGCAGGTCAATATGAGCATTCGGGTCTGATAATGCAAATAATGTCTCTGAGTGCTTTAGCAAATTGGGAAGTAGATGTGATTGTGATCCCCGAACAGTGGATAAAGCGTGGATGACTACCGAGAGTAGATCTCGAGGACCGTTGTCGAGGGCGTTGTATGACCAGCCTGGTAGTTGCGCTGTGTCGGCGAGACTGACTCCGACATCAAACAACTTCTGCTCCTAGAAAAGACGTTAGTTTAGCTTAGTGAAGGAGTGTATGTAACTTACCATTCCAATGCCATGACAATCCTTAGACTTTGTCCCAACAGATCCCAAAGCAGCCATAATAATCTTTCCCGCATCCATAGGCAGCGCAGGAGGCAGCAACAGTCCAAACCCAGAAGCAGAAGACGGATTCTGCCCAAACGCTATCCTCCACATGGAAATCCTCAGCCACTGTTGTGTGATTAGAGTATCGAAGCGTTGGCTCTCAATGATAGATTGCTCAGGCTGGACGCTGCATAATTTATCATTGATGGTGTTGACGAGCTTCAAATCTTCGAAGCGCCGGTCGTCGTTCTCGGGCTGCCATTCGTATAGTGAGTAGGGGAGGGATTCGAAGAGGCGGATGTGGTTTATGAAATCGTGCATTACGACGGGGCAGTTGGAGTCTACTACTTGGGGTTTGTTGACTGTGCTTCGGAGCATGACTGATCGCCGGTGTTGGAGGGCAAAGGTACTAAACTTGTCAGCTTCACAAATAATAATCGCAGGAATCGGTTAACTTACCGTTCTGTAACAAAGAGTAGCCAGAATACTCGTCTTCTCTTCTCCCGCTCTCCATCGGGTAACCCGTAATAACCTGACTCTCGAGTAAGGTCAAGTGCTTGAGCAAGAGTAATACTCTGATTAAGATAAAACCACGCATGACGCGAATCATTGAGATTTCCATAACTCGCAAAGAGGAAAAAAGAAACAAGTATAGAATCCAGACTAGTATCATCAATGACACTATACTCCCGAAGGCAATTCTCAGCAAGCTTCACCAGAACATCCCCATCCAATTGTGGTTCGGGTGGAATCTCAGCATTAAGCTCATTGTCGGAGCCATCAATGCGTTTGTCTAGTCGTAGCTGCATTCGTGTAGCAGCACATATCGCTAGTATGAGAGCGTATCGTGATGGTGGTATTTCGCTTAGGCGGGCTGCGTCGGCGAGGATGTCGTCGTCGACGACTGGCATTATTGGGTAGAGGAAGCGCTGGAAGAGTTGGATGTGGGCGGTGAGGGATTGAGACATGCGTTTGCAGAGGTCTTCGGTTTCGAGGATTGAGTCATTGGATAGGCTTGGGATGTCTGGTCCAATGTGATGAGTCTCATTCAAATCTGGTTGTGAGACCGGAATGGTCCCCGGTAATGGTTGTTGTTGTTGTTCTTGTGCTCGAGTCTGTGGTTGTGACTCTGCTTGTGACTGTGCGTGTGGTTGTGTGTCTGTCTGGTCCCATGTCTCTGTTTGTGCCTGGGACTCGCACTCGCTTCTGCTCGGCCCAGTCTCTCTCGGCGTAACAATCTGAAACTGGAACCCATCACCCCCAAGACCCTGTCTCAACTGCGCCTGTCGTCTCCCTTGGCCCTGCTTAGGACCTTTCCTCCGAATACTATGCCGATACTGACACCGAAGATCCCCGATGCTGCAGTTCTTGCAGGGCAAGCCCCGATCACACTTGACCTTACGGAATCGGCAATTATCGCAGACTTGGCTGCGTTTTTCGGTTATAGTAGACATTGTGTTTGCTTAATGGAGATATAGTCGGGTGATGCTCGCGTCATTTGCTTTTTTGCTACCTTCCTATTCTCGGTCCGATGAATACAGCGGGGTTACATTGACCAATCCGCGACGAGAAACTATCGTCGCATCAAGCCGAGGGCTAAGCTTTTATTCAGGAAGGTCCAACTGGACTTTTCCTAATGGGGTAATTTTCGGATCGTCAAGTAGTCAAACGATCGAACCCTCCCCACGGGGCAAATTCTGCATTCCCCATGGGGATGCCAGAAGCAGGAGACGGTGAGCTAGGAAGTAGATCCGAAGAGTGTTTCTCCATTATATAATCTCCACGATGCGACCCTGATACAGCCAAGATCATCAGAATTCAATCTGCATCTGCATCTGCATCTCTATCATCGACAAGATGGGCAAAGAAACTCTCGATACTGCTGTCTCTCATGCTGAGGACTACGATGTCGAAGCGCCCCACAAGCCGGCTCAAGACACCACCGATCAAGCTCGTCTCGGCGCCGAAGCAGAACACAATCTTCCTCCTCTGCAGGCCGTCCGCAAATACCCATGGACAGTAGCCTGGTGTCTCGTCGTCTCCATGTGCGTTGTCATGGAAGGCTACGATACCAACTTGCTCTCCAACTTCTACGCCTATCCTGCTTTCGCGAAAAAATACGGTCATTGGAATGAAGATACCAACAACTACCAACTTTCTGCTCCGTGGCAGGCTGGTCTTGGTAATGCTGCAGGCGTGGGTGCGTTCTTTGGAACACTGCTCAATGGATACCTTGTGACCAAGTATGGTCACATCAAGGTCCTCATTGCCTCACTCCTTGCACTGAGCTCTTTCATCTTCATTGTCTTCTTCGCGCCTGATACAAAGGTTCTCCTTGTTGGACAAATCCTTTGTGGTCTGCCCTGGGGTGTCTTTGCCACCACTGCACCTGCCTACGCCTCAGAAGTCCTTCCTATGTCTCTTCGAGTCTACATGACCAGTTGGACAAACATGTGCTTCATTATCGGACAGCTCATCTCGGCTGGAGTCATGGCCGGTCTCGTCAACAAGCCTGCGCCCTGGGCATACCGCATTCCCTTCGCGCTTCAATGGTTCTGGCCTGTTGTCTTGATCCCCATCCTCTGCTTCGCTCCCGACACACCCTGGCATCTCGTTCGAATCGGCCGCCACGATGACGCTCTTGCGAACCTCCGACGTCTCCGACCCAGCGCTACCGAAGAAGAACTCCACGATACTCTTGGCCTTATCGTCTACACCAACGATCTCGAGGAGAAGCTCTCGGTCGGTACTTCATACAAGGATTGTTTCCAAGGCTTCGAGCTTCGCCGAACCGAGATCGCTGTCGTTGTCTTTGCTGGTCAAGTCCTTTCTGGTCTGAACTTTGCATACAACTCTACATACTTCTTCCAACAGGTTGGGCTTGACACAAACACAACCTACCATCTCAACGTCGGAGGAAACGGAATGGCTCTGTTCGCGACTATCATCTCTTGGGTCGCCATCATGCCTTACATCGGTCGACGAACAGCCTACCTGTACGGTATGTTCACCATGGCTATTGTCCTCTTCATCATTGGCATCCTCAACACTCGCACCGAGAACAACACTATCGCCATGAGCCAAGCAGTCCTTACCCTCGTCTGGACATTCGTCTTTCAGCTCTCAGCCGGTCAGTTAGGTTGGGCCCTCCCTGCCGAGATTGGTTCTACCAGACTTCGACAGAAGACCATCTGTCTGGCTCGCAACGGTTATGCCCTCACCAGTGTCGTCGCTGGTGTTCTTCAGCCATACTTCATGAACCCTACCAAGTGGAACCTCAAGGGCTACACTGGTTTCATCTGGGGAAGCACTGCTTTCTTGACTTTTGTTTGGGGATACTTCCGTCTTCCTGAGACTCGCAACAGGACCTTTGAGGAGCTCGATATCATGTTTGCCAAAGGTGTTTCTGCGCGCAAGTTCAGCTCGTATAAGGTTGATTCATTCAATGAAGCTCATGATGCTGTTCAGCAGACGGAGGCTAAGGCTTAGGCGGTGTGGCATCATGGTGGGGATAAGGTGTTCACGATTTATGCTATTGAGGTTGGGAATCGGGCGTTGGTTTTGTGGAATACAGTTTGGGCAACAACTCCACACTATCTTTAATATCATGAGTTCATCGTATAACCCTTCATCTCTTATGTGACTGTGCAATCCCTTGCCAATCAGTGATCAGCCTCCGGTACTTCGCTCTCACCAATAGTGATTCTCGGTCCCTCAAAGTTCTTCCGTCCATCAACAATCCACTGGATAAGCGAAATGACAATGATGACTCCAAATGCAACCACACAGTAATTCATGGTAGTGCCATCCACAGGTAGCGCAGGAGGGAACAAGAAAAGCACTGTCGTAACAATCGTGTAGACCAGTCCAATAATATTGGTCGTCCATCCAAGCCAATTTGGTAGCTTGAAAGCTCCCTCTGGCAACCGTGATCGTCCCGTGCAAACATGCAGAGCAATGGGAATGCCATAGCTGAGACCCAGAGCTACCACAGACGACGCGATAATGGCGTTGAAAGCGACCGTGGAGCCAAGATAAATGCAGCCAAACACGATAACAATAACGACGTTCAAGTAAAGCGCGTTCATGGGAACACCGAGCGTAGGATGGACCCTCCACCAGATACGCGACGCAGGGAGACCACCATCTCTCGCAAAAGCAAACATCATACGCGACGAAGTTGTCATGACGGCGATCGCAGCAAAGACCAGGCAGAGGAGAGGGAACATGAGGAGGCAGATAGCCCCGACTTTGCTGTCTGTCGCAAGATAGAAGATCTCAAGTAAAGGCCCAGCAGTAGATCCAATGATTCTATCCGCATTGTCGATACCGCCTGAGACAAAGAGTACCACAATGAGGAAGAGGAACCCGGTTGAGATGCCGATGTATTGACAGTACAGCATGATCTTTGGGCCTTCCAAGGCGGCGTTCGGGATTTCCTCGATCATATGGGCAACGGCATCGAATCCAGTGAGACCAAGACCGCCTTGAAGAAGTCCAAGAAGCCAAGCGATACCGTCAGGCCAGCCGGTGGTATTGATGAAAGTCGCAAATACATACTTGGCAGTAGCATATTCGGGCGCTGCACAAGCAAGCACAGTGATTGAAATGATGAAGAATCCAGCGATGCTCCATACAAGTGCTAAACCATTGATCTTCGGCAAAATCGAGTGCATGAAGGCATTAGTCGCAAAAGCAACAAACGCAATGCCAAGATATATCAAGAATTGATGCCATCTCTGAAACGCGTATTCGGGATGAAGAAGCGAAATAATGTTGATAATAAGGGTACTCGACAACGAACAATTCGTCGCAACAAGACAAGCCCAACCACTAAGATTTATCCATCCTGTGATCCAAGACAGAGGAATCTTAAGCGAAGCAGGCGCAATGGTAGCAACCCAATGATATTGCCCTCCGGAGGTTGGCTGTGCAGACAGAAATTCTGCAAGACTGGCTGCGAGGGATAGATTGCAGATACCAGCCGTGACAAGACCCCAGATCACTGCAACTGGGCCACCGGAAGGGAGGGCCAGGGAGAGTGATGCTGCGAGGGCGGTCCAGGAGTTGAGGATTGCAAAGGCTAGACCAAGCATTGTCCAGCGGCTGAAGTTGCGCTTGAAGGACTGGGAGTGACCCAGCTGGGCGAGTTGATAGTCATCGATGTTTGTAGTTTCTTTGATACTCATTTTGACATTGATAGTTACTGCCAAGAAAAGAATATTGTGATGGGGATAAGCTTACACTTATAGTTCCTACATCCTCTGATCGTTATCGGGCATGATGGGTGCTGCACGTGCCGTGTTCGCCGACGCTAGCGGATTGCAATCGCGGGGAAGATAACTCCAACGATGATTCGATGATTTTCAGTCACTAGAGCGGATTGATTGGATAGGTATCCACCGTTATCAAAAGGCGCGAAGGGGTGAGAGATAATGGCTGAGATCGACGCATTCTATTGGACTGGATTGACGAAAGAGCTGCCTAATTGATCGTGACAAAAAGTGCTAGTCAACTACCCGATGCGGTATCAATTTGGAGACTCAGATATCGTTCACTTCCCAGCTGCCTTTGATTCAACCTCTAAACTCAGGCAGACATCATATTCAGTCTTGCCTTTGTAATACTTACGGGCCTTTCTGTCTGCTTTTTGTCGTGCTTCACCATCGGCGTTTTGTTGCTCCTCGGCTGTTTCTAGAGCTTCCCCATGGCGTCCTTGTCAGCTCGGTTTGACTATCATCCCCATCCTTTTCCGGTTCTCGACAGCTCTTAGCTCGGCGTTCGCTCAACCTTGCGCTCAACTGCCTTCTCTGTCTCAACTCTGGCTCCCTCGATCCCCGTCTTGGCCTCTTCTTAGGCAAGTCATATATCTTCTATTCTCTGATGGAATGCTCCCTCCTCAGCCTTTCGTATTATGTATAACAGTTAGGGTTTCCACGGGTTAAACTAGTTTATTCCAAGTTAATATTAGCAGAGGTATAGAGTATTATACTAAGTAGAACAAAGTATTTTATCTCTTAATAGTAAAGAATTTTATTACTTCAAAGCTGTTCCAGCATGGAGGCCCCCTGGCAATTGTTAGTGACTTTCTCCTCAGTTGGAATAATAAGAATTTACCTGTAACTAACATATCTGCACCCGTTGTAAAGGAAGAAGCATCGCTCAGCAGATAGCTTACCATAGGAGTTAGGTCTTCTGGTACGCCTAGTCGTTGGACTGGAGCTCCGTTTTGGTACCAATCAAGGATGGCTCGTTTTTCTCCTTGCAAGCGGGCCAGGAGAGGAGTTTGGATAGCACCTAGTTAAATTCAACAAGAAGTATTGGGACTAGTTCTGGCGAACTCACCTGGTGAAATGCAGTTTACTCTAATTCCGTATTGACCAAGTTCTCCGGCTAATGGACCCATGAGGCCTTTAATAGCAGCCTTGCTGGCATTATATGCTGACTTTGGCTGCACTGGGACATACATTCCTTGTCCATTGATGCTGGCAATGGCGACGATACTTCCAGGAGTCTTGGTATCGACGAGATGCTGCGCAAGAAGCTTGATCACCCAGTATGTACCCATAATGTTGACGTTGAGTGTCCGTTGAGTGACCTCCCAGTCAGCCTGGAGCAGTGGCGTATCCATAACAATACCAGCCGCTGTCAGTGCACCATGTAGCTGGCCACCCATAGACTCGACAGCCTCTGTGAAGGCCTTTTCCAAAGATTCTTGGTTAGTAACATCACCTCGAATGTATGATGTCTTAACGCCATAGCGCTCGCTAAGAGTCTTGAACTCTTCCACTGGCTCGGGAGCCGTGTCGATGACAGCAACGCTGCCACCAAGTTGAGCTATCGCCTTTGCGCAGGCAAAACCGATACCTCCGCCACCTCCAGTAATAAGGTAGCTTCTGTTGCTGAGGTCAAAACGGTCGATGACTTTGACGTCACCAAGGTCACGAGGGTTGAAGGTAGTCATAATTGCTCAGTTTTAAGAAGAAGTGTGATACCAAGGTGAAAATCAGTTGACTGAATCTGTTGGCAATCAACAATTTGAATTTGCATACCGTCTGAATTTATATCCCGTGGCTGACCATCCGTATCTGAGATCTCGGAACGTTGCCGTGAACTATGTAGATTCGAGAGACACATCGGGTCACAAGCGAACCATTCAGATTGGAGTTCATCACTACAAAATGACGACTTGCACATCACGGTAACCCTACCCGATGGTCTACGATTGACCAACGCTTAATCCATAGGTGCGGGGTATGATGTGTAATCCTGTAAGCATGCTGATAACGCTTGTGATATGGAGTCGGGTCACCTCCCGGCGGGGACCCACCATCATCTGTGAGATACTCGGCTATCCAAACCGAGACAGGCACTTACCTATTGCTTCGGTCGACTGACGATTTGGAGTGCATATAGTACGGGAATGTTCCGAGAGCGTTATCCTATAAGATTCATGTCTCGCGCGTTCAACGAAATACGGAAGCTCAATACTGCACGAGCAAATTATTTTCTCAACAGATTGCTACGAGCTTCTTCAGTAGTACGTGTTTGCCATCGCTATCGACATTTTACCCCTTCAGCCAGAAAAACAATAGCCATGCCACACAAGCCCCGCGTCAGTCTAGGCCTTCTAACCTTCGGCCCTGAAGGTTCTGAGGCTGATGGAACTCGCATCACATCTTTGGACAAATTCAACGAGTGCCTCGACTACTTACAATCGCGAGGTTATAACGAAGTCGATACTGCCCGCACTTATGTTGGCGGAAAACAGGAAGCCTGGACCAGGCTTACCAACTGGCGCGACCGCAAACTTACCCTGGCGACAAAGTGGTACCCCTACAAAGCTGGCGATCATTCCAAGGCCGTTATCAAGGAAAACCTGATGAAGAGTCTAAGCGAACTGGGTTCTGATAGTGTGGATATTTTCTACCTGCACGCGCCTGATCGTTCAATTCCGTTTCAAGAGACTCTTGAGGCCTGCAATGAGTTGTACAAGGAGGGCAAGTTCAAAAAGCTGGGCCTGAGCAACTACGCAGCCTGGGAGGTCGCCGAACTCTGTACCATTGCAGACCAGAAAGGATGGGTCAAGCCAAGCCTTTATCAAGCCATGTATAATTGCTTAACTCGAGCCATCGAGGAAGAACTAGTCCCTTGTTGCCGCAAGTTCGGTCTAGATATCCTCGTTTACAACCCGTTGGCAGGAGGCGTCCTCAGCGGAAAGTATCAAAGTAAGGAATACTCAGATGACGGTGGTCGATTTTCTAGTTCAAATACTAGCTTCGGCGCTATGTACCGCGACAGATATTTCAGGGATGATAACTTTGAGGCTTTGAAGGTCATCCAGCCGATCGCTGACAAATGGGACCTTACACTTTTAGAGATTGCATTCAGATGGTTGGTCCACCACAGCAAGCTTAACGTCAAAAACGGCAATGATGGAGTTGTAATTGGAGTTAGCTCCCTGAGTCAGCTGGAGAGCAATTTAAACAATCTGGAAAAGGGCCCATTGCCCGATGAGGTAGTAAAGGTACTGGACAAGGCTTGGGAAATAACTAAACCGTCTTCTATCACATATTGGAGATAAAGGTAGTTGGATAGTTATGGAAAATAAAATCATTCTGGTCACAAGGTTATGTAAAGTCACAGGACTGTTCTTCAGGAAAATTTACCCAATTCTGACTTCGAGATTGGTCCGGGAATGACCAACTTTACCTTGTCGACTTAGATAATTGAGTTGGCGAGAATGTGTCAGGGGGTCAGCTACCGGGGGGTCAAATGTCAGGGTTCAAGGTCTAGTTCCAGGTCTGGAACCTAATACGTACGTACCTCTGTTGGTCCCTCCCTGTAGAGAACAGGGGGCGCAGGCGGCGTAATTTGGTATATAAAGCGTGCTTGTTGGCCGAATGCGATAACCCTTTTCGTTTTCTTTTTAATCAGGAAAATTGCATCTTCTTTCAATGTCTTCTCCAAATACCCCCGGCATGTCGTCCATCTCGGTCACGACCACGGCCGCAGCGCTGTTGGCGTTGACTACACCATTTCAACAGCCGACCGGCTGTGATTCACATTTCACCACCACCAGTCTTGTATTTACTTATTTTAACGACACTACTTACACAATACCTCTTGTTGTTTCGGAGCGGGTCGACTCATGCTATCCATCTGATTGGGACTCTGTAGCGCCAGAGAGTCGTCTCCACTTTAGCCCTGCTGTATGTCCCAGCGGCTGGACATACTATGAGATGGAAGAGAACGGAGAGATGGCCTCGACAGCCTATTGTTGTAATAGGTTAGTTTGCACATTTATCCTAGGCGACGTCTTAATATTCAGCTTTCTGGTTCGAGATACTGATACTAAGTAAACTTTCAGTGGCTACAGCTTGACGTATGAAGCTATCCTCTACAGCACTCTCTCGAATGCATGCGGGCGCTGGATGTCAAATAACACCATGAGGCTTGATGGTGACCGCAAAACCATAACCGCGGAGGACACATATATCGTACATGAGCCTTGGGCGATAACTTGGATGTCAGACGATACGTCAACCCTCACACCATCGCTTCCAACATTGACTAGTGGCAAACGAGTGCCAACGTGGACACCCGGCCAGCATATTCCGGACGGCAAATACGACCGGAAAGAGGATAATGGAAGCTTGGGCAGATTTTATGAACCAGAATCGGTGGTTGTATTTATTGTGCTTCCCGTTCTTGCCGGTGTGGGCATTTTCTCGTGTATTGGCTGTTGTGTAGCATCCCGGGTAAAGAGGAAGAGACGAGAGAGGGTGGCTTTGGAAAGGGCTCGAATTGAGAACGAAGCGGTAACGACGTCTGTGGAACTTCAGAATATATCACCAAACGGAAATAGAAAGTAACGAGTTTGAAAGAGCGTTAGGGTTGACGAGAGGTCTCTGTAAAGGAGAACAAAGATTGATGTTATGTTACGAAGCAAGAAAAGAGCACTAGTAATATTTAATAGCTACTTCTTTATTAGCAATATATAGCTTCAAAGAGGATTTATCTTTCTTTTACTTACGTAAAGGCACGAGTACCTATGTAGATACGTATAGCGGCGGTTTAGGCATTGTAGCTAATAAGAGCCAAGATGCTTACTGAAAGTAGTAACACCGGCCGGTGGACCCGGCTATAAATGGAGATTTAGTAAACTTTCATTTCCGGGAAAGCCTTTCCGTAAGGACGATGCCGGCCCGGTCTTTATTACTTATAGCGTTGCCTAGATAACTGTATCTCTTCATTGTCCTACCGTTTGTAAAAGAAATCCCCAGCCCTGAAATCCTCTATTCTCCCACCAGCTATTAAGAACAGCAAGACCATGAGCGCAATAGCTACCTATACATCCGATCGTGCACCTACCGTAAACCCCACCTCCTCGTTTTGGAATACTGACCCCAAAGAACTCGATGATTTTCAAAGCTCGTCCGAACTACCAACAACGGCCGATATCGTGATTATCGGGTCCGGGCTATCAGGCGTTGCCACTGCATACTTTATTCTCATGGACAACCCTCGTCCCCCCTCTATCGTTCTCCTTGAAGCGAGGCAGATATGTTCAGGAGCAACTGGCCGCAATGGTGGTCACGTGAAGCCTGATATCTTTTCCGACATCCCTAAATTTGCCAGGCTCTTTGGCTCGGCAGCTGCGGCAGAGCTGGCCGTCTTCGAAGCGGCTCATGTGTATGCTGTCAAGGATCTTGTGGAGAACGAGAACATAGACTGCGACTTTCATCTCACCAGAGCACTGGACGTATATCTCGAGTCCAAACACGCCGAAGAAGTCCGGGTGACTTATAAAAGCCTTTCTCAAAGAGAAGGCATGAACCTTACCGATGTGGCCTTCATTGGTAAGAAGGATGCCGAGAGGGTAAGCAACTCACCTAACGTTACTTTCAAACCCATTAGATCTGACAAAGGCTCTGTAACAATAGGTCTCAGGTGTAAAGGAGGCTAAATGCTGTATTTCATACACTGCAGCCCATCTATGGCCATCGAAGCTAGTTCATGACCTACTCAACAGGATGACTGAGCGCGGTGTCAGTGTTCACGCCCACACTCCTGTCTTGTCGGTAACTCAATCTGAAGATGATGAACCTGGGTCTTGGTCTGTCAGCACGTCTCGTGGGACCATCCAAACAGCCAAAGTCGTTTATGCGACCAACGCCTATACATCGCAGATCCTGCCTGAGTATACCCGAGCAATCACTCCAGTTCGAGGCATCTGCAGTCACATCAAGAGTGTCAAAGGAACGGAAACTCCTCACCTCGTCAATACGTACGGCATTAGGTTCGATAAATTCAACAATGATTACCTCATACCACGGGCAGATGGAAGTATCATCGTTGGAGGCGCAAGACAGGCATTCTGGAGGCAGAAACACCGATGGTTCGATAATGTCCGGGACGATGAGCTGATCGAGGAGGCTGTTCCATACTTTGACAACTACATGCAACGCCACTTTCGCGGATGGGAAGACAGTGAGATGAAGACCGATAAGGTCTGGACCGGAAGTAAGTTATTCTTGGTCGTATTGCACACGACATTCAACGTGCTGAACGCTGTTTTGACATTTGCCACAGTCCTGGGTTACAGCTCTGACTTCATGCCTCACATTGGTGAAGTTCCGGGAAAGCCTGGCCAGTTCATCATTGCGGGTTTTACTGGTTATGGCATGCCTAAGATTCTATTGTCGAGCAAGGCCTTAGCTAAGATGGTACGCGATGGCGCTTCTTTCGAGCAGACAGGTTTGCCTCGTATCTTCAAGACGACCAAGGAGCGGAATGAGTCGAAGTCAAGCCCGCTAGAAGAATCTTTGAAGTCCTTGTGGACTGAAAATCCAAAGCTGTAAATTAATGTTGTGTTGATTTGGCACGTATATTGGGGACTTACGCCCTGGTAAAACTCAAAGAATAGCTGTAAATTAAAGGATCCAATCCTCGTTGGGATTATGGTTGAGTGGTGTGTTGGATCCCCCTTGCTAGCATCAAGGCTGTTTCTGTAGTTAGCGATGTAGGTAAGACTTGAATGAAATCCGTTGCTCAATCTTTTACACAGAATCTGAAGACGGTCAATGATGTTTACTACGGTGATACCCTGATGCGAGAAGGCCGATGGTATGCGTAACCATGACGTTTTTACATCTTGTCCTAATATAGCTGTTCGTCGGGATCAGTCCCGATCGATGCCAAATAGCTATGTCCAGCTGGTATAAAACCTATGGGGAGTAGCCAGCTTCACCTCATCATCGCACCACTCAAACTCACCTTCTCTGGACTATCCACTATTCTCAAATATTCTCTTTGCAAGATCATACAGAATATCCCATCATGCCGGCCAACAACAAGCATGTCGTGTTCGACATTGTAGGAACTATCGTTACCTACGATTCTATCCTCGACGCTCTGGAGAGTAGGCTAGGCGATCGCCTGCGTGCTCAGGGCGTCAAGCCCGCAATGCTTGGCTACATGTGGTTTGAAATTTCCGAGCGAGAGTATACGTACCTCAGCATTACTGGGCGGTATCACCGTTTCTTCGATGTCTTCTGCAGCCTATTTTACCGTATGCTGTGGATCGGCGGCATCCAGGAGCCCAGGTCCTTCGCCTCGGATGAGGACCTCGCTTATATTGTCAGCCATTTCAAGGATCTGCCTCTACGTCCCGGCGCTGCCGAGTGCTTACAACTGCTACGAAACGCTGGATTCACCGTCTGGGGGTTCACTGCTGGCGATACGGAGCAGGTACGAGGATATTTCCTTAACAACGGCATCGACATGCCACTTGAGAATTTTGTCTCTTGCGATGATCAGGGTATTGGCAAGCCGGCCCTCGATTCCTACAAGCCGTTGATGAAGCGCTTTGGTAACGAGGAGAAATGGTTCGCAGCAGCTCACATGTGGGATGTGTCATCTGCGAGGAAAGCTGGGTGAGTTCTAGTCCGGAAACCTAATTTGAGCCATGCCTGACCCTGAGATGGAAATAGATACAAGGGCGCATACTGCACCATTCTGGAGAAGGAATCTTGTGCCGACATATTCGGCAACATGGACGTCATGGCCGACACCCTCCCGGATATGGCTCGCAAAATTATCCAAGCGTCCGAGGCCCAGGTATGATCGTTGAAAGCAATTTTGACGTTGAAATCAGAAGGTCAGAATACCAAGGTAGCAGATACCTACTTTACTCGCTTAGACGATGTACTTAGACGATGTACTGTCGATCATGTGTAGAACATAAACATAGTCATCTCTTTATATACTGCCTCTGTTAAATCTGTATTGGTACAATCATCCACTCATTCCAAGTTGATTGAGATAGCGGAAAACCCTCATTCAAATTTAGATCCACAGCGTGAAAACCAGTCGACAAGGCCAACATAGCTCTTAACGCTCCAACCCGTAACTGAACCACTGTTCTAAGTCAGGTAGTAAACTTAACTCTGCATAATCAGGCAGGGCACAGTCAGCACTACCTCCTACCATCTCAGAACACTGAGGGCCCACAAATGATCCTCCAAGAAAATTCAACATCTGATTCTCTTGCCGGGGAAATTGCAATTCTTCTGAAGCAATCTGCTGTGTAGCGACCCATTCTCGGAACTGACGATAACCATTGTCGGACAACTTGGCACTGCTCGCTTCTTCGTCTGAATCAAGGATCAATCTCTCAGATGCAGCTTCCAAAGCTGCCACTGCAGACTTCTCGCTGCTTGTCGAAAACACACCAGTCGATATCTCCCTCAAAAGCTCCATACCCTTTTTGCTAGCGTCCTGGAGCTGTCTGCTTTTATCAGAGACACATCTTGCCACAAGAACCAAGATAGCGGCGCAGCAAGAACTGAACTCGGTATAGGATGACTTCGAGAGGCGGCCTTCCTCTTTGAGAAGTTGGCAAAGATTGATCGTAGCCACAGCACTGTTGACGCAGTCATCTGCTAGGGCCTTTCGTAGTCTGAGCCATTCTGCAGCAGAAGTCTCTTTGTCTTTGACATCGGATTCGTCGAGAACAAAAGACCGACCGATCAAAATGTGAAAGAGATGGTATGTGAGGGCGAGATGTACGTTGGATCGGAACAAGGGCTTTCCAGGAGTGAGATCTCGACAACACGTTTCCTGTGAAAGACTCTGCCAGTAATTATAGTGTCTCTCTCTAATCTCAATAATGTCTTGTAGTGTCTTGATGCACTGCGATTGACGGGTGGCTTTCCAGTCTAACCTGTTCCTGATGAATATGGAATCTGTCGAAGATGGACAGAATCGGCAAACTTACATTATATCTCGAGCATCCTCGATAAGGATAGTAAGTCTTAACATTGTTATAGTATTCTGAAAAGTGCTAATTCGCCTTTTTGGCTGCAGCTCCTCGATATCGGTCGGTAGTATTGTATCGGTATCCGATCTTGAAATCGAGAAGGGCCTCCCATGAAGGATACAAATTCTCCTGTACAATGTCAGTCAATGCTCTAAGGTCGATAGACTCTTGACAAACCGTTCTAGTGCATATGCAGTCCACCAAACTCTCTTTTGTAACTCTATTTCTCCGGGCGATAGATCACTCCTCTGTTGTATACTGAACTGTGTTGCCGCCTTCACAGCGATTCCGAAATACGTGCATGAGAGTCCCGCTGGGTCGATGGGAAGCATGTATATACCGAACAGTAGAAATGCTTGAACACTCTCGATGGAGTCCATAGTAAGGAGATCCGGTATCAGACTCGATGCTTTGCGGTAGAATGTCAACGCAAGAGTATCATCCATTGTTTGGCTAATACTGTACGCATCATGCAGGGAGGCATCTCGGGGTAAGGATTGATGTAAGTGTAAAAATTGTATTCCAAGAGTGAATACCATGAGAGAGACACAGACCCAGGCAGTATCCTTCTTTCCAACTTGCGTTGGGTTGCAGTAAAATTGATCGAGTTGTTGTCGAAGTGTTTCCTCGCAGATGTAGAAATAATTTGTTTGTGCAAAGTAAAAAAATACATCAAGGAGAACGAAGGCGGACTCAGGCGGTGGGAACAGTGACACGGCTTCGAGAACAACCACGTCTCGAGAAAGAAGGTGTCCAGGAGGGGCCGTGTTGTTTACCGTGCCTTCTGTATGGAAATACTGCGCGTAGAAATCACCATTAGATTCATCTTGGAACTTCGGGTAGAGCGGACGTTGATTACCTCGCAGTCTGAGTCATTCAGCTGGTCCTTGAATCTCTGTTGTAGACGACGAGAAAACGCAGCATGTGAGAATTCTGCATGAACTGATATTATACTAGTATCAGCCTAGGGGCTCTTGACGTATAGGTAAATGACCCACCTGTCGACGACGGGGATGTCGCGTCTGTGTTCACATAGCTTTTACCATCATTACTTGAGCTTTCATTATCCTTGCCGTTAACCAAACGTGGCAAAGCCGCGTTGTCCGACGAAAGTTTGCTCATAACAGTCTCGAGATCTTCCTTGTTGCAGTGTTCGAGCCCGGTGAAGTGTCGCACGATATGCTCCAATGCTTGAATGCGCTCTACCTCAAAGAAGCCAGTTGCATCATCAGGTGATATGACGGGAGGTTTTTCCTCTGGGACGGAGACTGCCCCAGGAATTCGACTTCTCCTGAAGCGATTGCTGAACTCGCACGATCGGCCTAATCTGCTGCATCTCTCGCAAGGGACAGCACCAATGCACTTTTCCTTTACTTGGCGACAGCTATCACATCTATAAACTGTGAGTAATTGATACGAAAGTGTCGAAAAACAGTAGTAGTGAGATTCAAGGTGGCGCTTACGCTCTTGTTGACCTCCTTGTTTGTGTTTTCCTCAGATGAGGAGAAGCTGGCCGGTAATCCCTCCCTGTCTTGTCTGTGCCTCGTACTGCCGTGTTAGAAATCATTGTGATAAGGATATCCAAAAAGATTAATTAAGTCACAATACGCTAGTAGCAAACATGGGTGCCTGTGGTTTTTAAAACAGAAGTTAGTGACGAAGCCGACTTCGTAAGGGAGGCCGTAGATATCCGTTGGTGGGGCACCGGTTGGTTGTCAAAACTCCCGGGCCGGCCACCTACACTGCTAACTCTTTAAAGTTAGCTTTGAAGCTAATTCTATCTAATATGACCCTTGGGTAAAAGTGATGATCTCTTTTCTAGCTATATACTACTTGATTGCAGCTATTACTTTTCTTTTGTAAATTGGTCTATATGCTTTCAAGTGCTAGGAGAGTTTATCCAATGTTGCACGGTTAGTCGCTTTCGAGACGAAGCTGTACAGTCACTACATTTCTGTAAATAGAATGTATGTAGATGCATAAATCAACTGTGATTAAAATGACCAATGAATCTAAGTTATAACACTATTCTCACTCTTACTGGAATCTATTTGTTGGCAAGTTCCTTCTCCAACGCATCTGCCATATCGCCCAACGTAGCAAACTTCCAGTCGTAGACAGGGTTTTCTCGATTACCCATGGTCGCTCCCGGCCTCTCGATCCAACTCGACTTAATGCCAAACTTCTTCGCGGGTTGATGGTCATGATACTGACTCTGCGCTGTTTGCAGCACCTTCTCTTTAGGGATTCCAAATTTGGATTCAACTTCGCGCAGCATGTACTCAAAGTTCCTCGGGCTAGGCTTATAGCTGCCAACGTCCTGAGCAGTAATGACGAGATCAAAAGGAACGCCTTGTAGAGGTCCCGAGTTACTGCCAGAAAATGACTCGCGGTCGACGTTAGAGAGGACGACAAGCTTGTAGTGCTTGCCTAGGCGGCGTAAGGCGTCAACGGTGTCGGGAAAGGCGGGCCATGACCCGACAGAATCGCCAAAAGCCTTGTCTTGCTCTTTAGTGGTAGAGAGGCCAAGGCGCTCAGCAATTTGAGGATGGATGGTGGTGAGAAGCTCAGAGTATGCTAGATCGGGGGTCTTGTCTTGCTGGGCCGCCTCAGCCTGATGGTAAACATTCAAAAGATGCTCTCGAGAGAATTCGGCACTGTTGGCCTCGAGCAGCGGATTGAGACCGTTCAGAACGCCTGTCTCCCAGTCGATAAGAGTGCCATAGACGTCAAAGGACAGGAGGCTGTAGTCTGAGAGGTTGCTCATGGTAGAAATGGCGAGAAGTGGGGTTGTACTGAATATGCGACAACGATGAAGTGTGTTTCTGAGTAGGGATCAGTGTTTAAACAGCAATTATTTATACAAAAATCACAGTCTTGATGCTCTATCAAAATGTTAATGATGTAAGGTATGATATGAAAGCTTGCGTGTGGAATCCGGGGTAAGCGACTCCGGTGCCGGGTCAAGATGGTCAATTGAGGAGTCGACCGGCACACCAGGCATGGGATCGAATTGGGATGCCGGTCGTGCGTGCCGTGCCGGGAACGTCAACTCCCCGCCTTCCTTGTTCAGCCACGCGGACTTTGCCGAACTACATTCTAGCGCCACATTCCAAGCCACATTCCTCAGTCCGTACTGTTGTTTATGCAATGACCAGCACAGATTAGGCGTGGGTAGAAAACCAATAGCAGTAGTAAAAGTGGTCATGGTGGTAATGTTGTGTCTGTTAGTAGGGACTTTCCTAAAAACTTTGACTGCAGCTAGTGCTTTTACTGCAGCTGGTGAATATTATGCTGTAGTCTATTTCGACATGTGTTATGCTGGTAGGGGCCGTTCAAACATATTGAACTGTTTGAGAGCTACAATTAGATCTTTATACGACTTTAGTAATCTACTATATTATGATTCTGTCTCTTAATGGGCAAGGAAACAATATCGCCGTTGGAATTGAACAGAAGCGTCGCGGATGAAATGTCCAGGCTACCCTACGTTACCCCACCTCTTTACAATGCCGGTTCCGTGCCGGTGGTATTTCTGATAGTTCGGTCATCAAACATGGACAACCATGCTACTTATACCTTGATTTTGTGCTATGAAAGGACGGAAAATAAGTACATAGGATTTCAAAATGATCAGAATCAGACAAGCATCGTCGGCAGACTTACCCTGCATCCAGGCTATTGTTTTATCGTCCAATGTCGACAGCAGCAATCCTCTCTTCACGTACTGCTTTCCTCACCGCGGAAAATATCCGCAGGACCATGCATTTTTCCACTCAAAGTTAAAGCTCGAGCCTATGATTTATGGAAAGCATGGGGTTGTTCTGGTAGCTGAAAGCTCCACATTTGATCCTGATGGCAGTGAGAGATGGACCCCTGTGGGGATGGCCGAATGGACTTGGCGCTCTGCACAAGGGAGTGTTCCTCCCGTTTCCTGCATGACGGATAACTGGTTGAAATGTTGTTGCCGTGCGAACCCTATGTTAGGAATGATTTCTAACCATACTGACGTGATTACAAGGGAAATATCTCAGCTTTCGAAATCATATCATACGCTACCTCTTTCCGCGCCGCGATATCGACAGTGCGCATGAAAATGCCTTCTACGCAACACTGAATCAAGTAGAAGATGATTTCTGGCGCCCGGGGTATTCGCAAGTCATGCAACTGAATGCTCTCTATACTCACAGTGAAGCTTGGGGGAAGGGAGTGGGGTCGGCTCTCGTACACTGGGGCTTGGAAATTGCAGGTGAGGCTCAGGTGCCTGCGATTGTTGCGACTGTGAGTGCAGCGCGGTTCTACGAGAGACTGGGATTTCGGCATGTTTGCGCGAAGCGAATACAGGTAGAAGGAGAAGATGAGTACGTCGATATGGATAATTTAATCTGGACAGTCCCAAGATAACAAATGAAAATAACACAATACTTCATAAACTTCAAATGTCAACCCGTGATCGTCCTTGAGATTAATGCATAATGCCTTAAATAGCGGGATGGAATTACGAATAGTGGGCTTCTTCTATCTTTGCGAAATGTTCCATAGTATGATTGAGAGGTATCTCTGGGCCATGGACTCAGCGGAAAAAAGTAAGGTTAGTAGGCTCAATAGATCGCGCTCTACTTTCACCCTGGAATATAATAATGAGTGAATCTCACCCTTGGTATTTTAGCTCTATAATTCTTAATATTCTTATAGAATCAAGGCAATATGAGAGTCTAGCGTAACAAGAAGCCTGGGAAGATGGGCTCAGCCGGATCGATATAGAAGCTCATCCTCCCACAAAGCCTCGCCTCACCCTTAACTTTGGGAATACAAGCGGGAAATCCCTCGATAGGTGATTTCGCTTCTGAAACTATATTCGCCTCGAATTCAGACGCAATAATGGATCTGTGCGCCAGCTTGCACTTGTCCGGCCCCAATCTCCCTTGAGCATACAAAATCGCTTGTCGAGCACAGGTTCCAGAGCCGCAGGGAGAGCGGTCAATCTGGCCATCAGCAAATACAGTCACATTTCTTTGACGGACTGTCTCTGCGCCGTCACCTTCTTCATTGAAGAAGATAATTCCATAGCAGTCATAGCTGCCATGATGAGCCCGTTCACCCAGCGAAGCCTTGATCTCCCGACCGAGTTTGATGAATTCGTCGACATTGCGAGGCTCAACCATAAGTCCAAGCTGCTCGGCATCAATTGTGGCATAAACAGCTCCGCTAAACGCCAGATCCACGCAAACCTCAATACCTCTTGATGGTATCGTAACGGGTATGGACTTTGAGAATTGATAGCTGGCCACGTTGATGAAGTCTGCACTGATTGGTTTCCCGTCGATGACTCTCATACTAGCCACAACACGGCCCGATGGAACGTCAATCACAACATCAACATTCGCCTCGCCGGACTCTGGAGTCTTAACGAGACCATTCGCCACAGCCCAGTATCCCAACGCAATTGTGCCGTGGCCGCACGCTGTAGAGAAACCGTCTTTGTGCCAGAAAAGCACACCAAAAGCAGCTCCCGAATCATCTGGAGGGGTAACAAATCCGCCGTACATGTCAGCATGGCCACGGGGCTCATGACATAGAGACTGGCGAAGCTGGTCCAGAGGGTGTTGAGAGTTTGCGATGATATCGCGACGGCGTTGAGCGACAGTAGATGATGCAGGGAGAAAGGCCTCTGGGAGTTTCTCTACGATCCGGAAGGGCTCGCCTGCTGTATGCCAGTCTTCCGTTTGGATCCAGAAAGGTGAGGGTGGCATTATGTGGAATTGTAAATCTGATAATTAGGATTGCAATGGACTAAGTGCTAAGGTGTGTGTATGTGACTCAGGGCACTCGACAAGGCAGGTTGAATAGATATAAGGCTCCAATACCTTTTCTGTTCTATGCAGTCTGATCCGCGTTCCTACCCTGGAAACAAGAAACAGCTTGTAGATTCCGAAAGTCGGGACCGGCAAGTGGGTCAGCAAACAACCCGATGCATGGCGGGACACCCCCTGGCGCTCCGAAGTCGGCGCCAACAACCTCTTCTTGCTGATCAAGAATTCCGGGTTAACGAGAAGTCTTCATAAAGGGAAGAAGGGGTAGTATTGGATTATAAGTAGAGCACTTGTAATTTTTCATAGTACATTTCAGCAACATATTTATCCTAATATTATACCTTTTATTAGAAAGTAATGTTGCAATCTAAGGCAATTAATAAACTCAAACCGAGCTTTGTAAGACGTTAAAAGCCTAGCTGATCTATAGATCGAAGGAGAGGAAATAAAATAAGAAGAATAAAAAAATAAATAAAGTAAATATTGAGAATTACTGCAGTCTCAAAACTGACCAGTCCGTATATCTCCGTCACCGAACGTGTCAACTTCCATGAACGTTCTATCTGGGATAGCACCATAATACTGGACCCACTGATCCGTCTCGCGATTTTGGGCACCGATAGTAGCAATAGTTCCCCCAGGCTGGATGGTATAGTAGAAGAAGGTGATTGGGGTCTGCTGATCCTCTGAGATCACCATTTGAAAGTGGTTTGGCGCAGTCTCATCTGATGTAGTGAAAACACACCAATCTATTGTCAGCACCCCTGGCTGATTAGGAGTCTGCTCCACCTGGTATGTAACCTCGGCCCCTGAATCTTCAGGAACTATCATATCAATCCAGTAAGGGAAAATAGCGAGCGACTCAATATTTTCATCTGGTAGGAAGGCCAGATCTGGGACCGAATCGGCCCCCAAGGAGTCTCTGAGTGTAACAAGTCCATTGGGGCTGACATAGATCATTTCACTGGTTGCACCGTAGAGCGGTACCTGAAAAGGGAGCACGAGCCATTCGACACCATTGTCAGATGGCCTCTCGCCATTGAATAGTGTCAGTGGATCAGACAAGCCCTCTGGACATGCACGTGTTCTCGTCGGCTCAGAGCTTGTAGTGGTTGAGGTTGTGGCATCGGCAGCTGTCGTGGTGAAAAGACTGGTTTCAGCCGTTGGGAGGACCGTTGAGCTCGCGTCAAAAGAAGAACTGGTATCCAATGGCAGATCGGGCAGTGTGCTGGTATCAGTCTCTAAACTGTAGGATGATCCAGACGTAGTAGAAGAGTCAACATCAGAGCTTGCCGTGGAGTCGGTACCAGAGCTAGTGACACTTGTAATCTGAGAATCCGTAGTAGTGGGCGTGAGAGTTATGGTTGGCGTGGCAGTTGTAGATGGCTCAAAGGTAGAAGCTAGCTCGTCCGACGTTCCCGAGACATCCGTGGACAATGCATCCGTGGACAGTGCATCTGTGGATGGTGCATCTGTGGATAGGCTCTCCGGGTCTGGGGTCCAGGAGCTTAGCGGAGATGTGAGTGGCAAATCTGTGACACTGGTTGAAATGTCCAACGTAGAAAATGTTTGAGTAAGACCAGGTTGTGTTGCAGATATGATAGACGAAGAGCTGTTATAAAATCGCATAGAGCTCGTAAACACCGGTACGACGTGAGAAGTGAAAGTTGGAACATCTGTAGCGGAAGCAGCCATCTGGGTATCCTTTGTGGTCGTAGAAGGCGCTGCGTTGGAGGGAGACGTCGTTCCGAGCGAAACAGATGTAGACTCTGATAGCAGAGATGTACTGGCAGCTCGAGAAGAAGTGCTTGAGGGTACATAGCCATCCCGGCATTCGTCAACTAGAAGAAAACAAGTTAGCCTAGAATCAGTGGCGCGAAATGGTGCCCATACCTTCGATAATAAAAAGTCTTATAGTCTGGCAACCTGGAGGCGATGCAGTGAAGGTAACATAGACTTGGCCGCTCTCGGTGTCTTGACAGAAGCCTGCCTGACCATTTGGGAGGGCTGAGTTGAAAAATCGCAGGAATCCATCCTCATCAGCGAAGGTCTCAGTAACAGCCCCTTGAGATGACGCTTCCGGGTTGCCGAGTAGCTCCTTGAAACTCTCGCCGTTGTAGTATATGGGCAATGTCCCATCCAACAGACGACCTTGCACCAGGTTGAAGATAGTGGCATCAGCACAAATTTCTGACTGACTGCCAACAAAACCACGAACTGCCCTGGCCTGTAGATCTCGTTTGGTGTCCTGCGATTCTGGAACGACGCGGAGTATCACTGATCGGCCACTGGCTTCAGGAATCGGAATTCCAGTAGTTTGACTTGAGATCGAAGTGGTGACAATTACATCATCAGGAACAGAGAGAGTTGAGGGGATAGCTAGATCTGTAGAAAATGTCAAAGGTGTTTCGGAGATTTCTGAGAAAATGCTTCCTCCAGCAGAAACAGTCGTCGGGCGAGGGTAACCCCGTGATACGGGGACCAAATAAGTTGATAGATATGTTATGCACCAGGATTCAGGCTGTATTTGCTCATCTTGAAGAGCAATGGATGTACCAAAGAGACCTGCAAGTAAGAAAGGGAATAAACGAACAGGAGACATCGTGAAGAATGAGTGAACGCCTTGGTAAGACAGAGATTAGGGACTTGTCCAATACTATGAATTTCTGCGACTCTTAACTCCTCTGCTCTCAAACTTTTAGCTTCAGCCCTGTAAGCGGTCAGCCAACGAAGCCTAAGACATCTGGTGATTGCTGTCAATAGTTTAAGATAGTTTAATTTAGTGGCGAGCACCAGGTGGATAATATCTCAATCTAGTTGATGAGCTCTTGGTCTAGAATATGGTCCCATGTCATTGCGTCCAAGTTAAGGCATTAAGCGACATACTAAACTAGCTAGTCACAAACACTTCCTTGCTTGTATTGCCCCCCTACAAACCGCATACCAGAGACCAACCAACACAGAAATTTAGTGCCAACAGAACCACTAATTTCCACAAAATAAACAACCGCACCGGACTTTAGCCTTTCAGTCAGCCACAGTCAGGCTATCCATAGAACCGAAATTTGAAAGTAAACGAGCGCCCAATTGAACGCTAAGAGCAAATAGCGTATGGCGCTACGCGCTACATGGGTCTTCTGGGTCAGACACTAACGGGACACTATTTTATTCTAGCATGAAACTATTCATGTCGCCGCTCAGGGGAATTAGATAGACGTTGATGTATGGACGTAACATTTCCGCATTTTTAGCATGAGGCCCGCGTCCCCGTTGTGCCGTTCACAACACATTTTCTCTGCTTCTTCACTCACGCTGTCTGATCTCCAGCTACAGTTATTTGTTTGGTGCATTTTTGCTCTTCGCCCTCGTTAACTATGCATTCCAAGTCACTCCTTATCCCAGCGCTCTTTGCTGCCTTCGGAGTCGCTCACGATGATGTTCAGTACGAAACCCGCACAGCAACGATAACTCAATGCTTCACCCGCGATGGCCTGCATCCTCCGGCTACTGTCACCGTGCCTGGCCCGACATGCGTGGTTCACGAGCCAGCTGTGACAGGAGAAGCCATTATCGTTGACGTTCAAGCTCCCGACTGTGACTGCGGCTGCCCAACTTGTGTCCATACTCTTGAGTACACGACCAAGTACCCTGCTTTCTGCTCTACTGGTTTGTTTGAGCAGGAGTATGTCATCACAGAGACGTATAGTGGCATGGAGGCAAAGCCCACCAAAAACAAGCACGATCTTCCACATGGATTCACGTGTGAGGTTCAGACGTGTACTACCTGTGGCCCTGAGCCCGTTACTGCAACTATTACGCACCCTGTTGCGGGTCATTACATGAATGAAGTTGCAGCAACTGAAATGCCAATGGCGAAGCCTAGCACTGAGCAGTCAAGCAATGAGCAGTCAAGCAATGACCGGCCCGGCAATGACCAGCCCAAGAAGCAGCCCGAGGAGCAGGGAACCTCTGCACCAAAGGTAACTGGAGACAACAATGCTTTCCGATCAAGCGTCAAGCCCACCCCAGTCCCTTATTCCCCAGAGACTGCTTCTCCTGGTAAGTTCCCTATTGATGTCGTGATAGGTACAAAAACTAACGCTTGTACAGGAGAGCCGACAAATCACCCTGTTATTGTATCCGGCGCCGTAGGTCAATATTTGGGACTGGCTGGTGCTAGTGTTACATTCTTTGCTTTTATTCAATTCTTGTTCCTCTGAGTTTTCTCTTGAAGGCTTATTAATAACATTTAATCCAATAATATTTACTCTTCTTACATTTTCCAGAACTGTAAACTAAGATATTATTCAGTTTATAGAATAAGTTTACGATTCTAGGTCCTGGAACCTAATTATTTGTCTTATCATATTAAAGTAAGAGTGCGGTTTTGTGTTATTTGGATCCTCATTGAAGCTATTAAATAGTCACCGAGCACTTAAGGTAGACCGTTGAAGACCAACTTCTCACCCGAAATGCGACCTTGGCGATTTAATTTCATCGCCTCCTCCACTGTAGAAGGGCTAAGCTGTCCGATAGTACGAACCGGTGGCGGTTTCAGAGTTCCATCGTTGAGCAAGTCCTCCAACTGTCCGTGAAACTCTGCACTTAAATTGTGGTCTCCCATCTTAACCTATAAGGAACTTTAGTCAATGTTCGCACCACGTTTGGTATTCATGTAAAAGGTACTTACGGGCCAATGTGCCTTGCCGCGGTAGTTATGTTCCGTAGGAAACGCAGTGAAGACAAAAACTTCAGTGACTTTGACGTGTGACGGAACATCCTGAGTGTTTGCCTTGCCTGGTCTAACCGTACATAGCAAGCCTTCTTTGCCGCTGATGGTTCTAGCTGCAGTTGCTGACGAGTTTGAATTCCCGACCGTGTCAAAGACATTTTCCAGACTCGGCAGCGCCTGCTTGATCTTGGCGATGACATCCTCGTCGTTGTAATCGAAGACATGAGTTGCCCCACCCTGTCGGACCTTTTCGAAGTTTCGAGGGCTGCATGTTGTAGCGACTTCGATGTTGTAGAGTTTGGCTAACTGAATGGCGAAATAACCCACAGTGGCTGTGACCAATAATCAGCAAGTCTTCATACTAAAAAGTATCATAGGAAGCCTACTGTTGCCTCCCCAAATCAGCAGAGGGGCCTTCTCAGTTGCCCTATCGCACCTGTATGCCAAAGAATCATCGGAGAATAAAGCAAGCCATGCGGTATTGGCTGCTAATGGCACCGAAGCAGCTTGTGCAGGGCTCGTGTTGGTAGGGATCTTGAAGGAGAGACGTTCGTCCGCGATGGTGTAGGTGCTATCAACCGATGATCAGCCAAGCTGAAGAACTAGAGGAAGACAAGGGTCTAACGAGTATGCGCCCAATCCTTTGATCTCGCCTATTTGCGCAGGTGAGCTGTATGTTCTCCTAAGATCTACCAGGGTGGAACTGACCGCCCCAGATAAAACCAGCGATACTATCATCAGTCTGTAATTTTGTGACACTCGGATGGGCTTCGACTACGGTGCCCGCAAAGTCGCAGCCCAAAACTGCACCGTCTCCAAAAGCATTGACATCAAGCGCAAGCCCTGTACAAGATCAGCGCCATTGAAGCAAATGCGTTAATTTCCAGCCCTACGGTCAGTTGGGTTGAATGCGGCATATTCAACTTTGACGTATACTTGGTGTTCTTTCAGAGGAGGTAGTGTTGTCTTTTCTTGGGCGAAGCCTTTGCCTCTTTGAACGATGCCGATTGATTTCATGGTTGATGCTGTCACGGTGGTAGTTGGATGTTAGTGGTCATTGTGAAATGTGGGTGGCTGCGCTATATTTATATCATTCGGTGCTAGGTACCCACTAAGACGGTTTCCACAAATCCCCCATAATCTTGGCATCAACATGCGCAAGCCTGTAGACACACTTGAACTGTTGCCCATGTTAATTCTTGCTGCTCTGCACATGTAAGATCTTATATACTCACAGGAATGAATTTAGCATTGTCCAAGTCCCAAACTCCACTCAGTGCGTAGATATCGGCCTTGAGCACATCCAGAATCTCTACTTTTGATTTAGCGCGAGCAATAATAGCGCTTCCATCGATCTGGTCTGCGTCCAATGTCGCTCCTCCCATTTGATAAAGACCGGAATCAATGTGTTTGATCAATTCTTTGACATGGGTCCTATGATCCGTTTGTATTATTGATAAATAAAGAAATCTGCGGTCTTGTGACTTACTCTCTCACACTCATCCGCCTCTCCAAAGAGCCCTGAATATCGGGAATCAGGACAATCCATTCCACAAGAGGCTCTGATTCCATTTTGGCCATGTCGGTCTACTTGACAAATTGGAGCGAAATGACGCCCTAGACATTATCTAAATTCGGTGTATAACGTAAAGACACGCACAATCCGGACGCCCGATATCGGGAATCTTGTATCCCCGCCCTACGCCTTTTGCACATGTTCAGAACGCCCCTCGGCTTGCACTTTCAGTTCATCCACTTTACATAATTGACAAAACTTGAGACCGGTCGCATACAACTTAAGGTGCGCCCTAGCATGCGCCCTTCGTACCTCTCCACTTTGTCACCCCACCAATGCCCAATCACGGATGATCTATTGCAGGTGAACACTACAACGTGCAAAATCCCATCACTACGATAGATACTCGTTACGTCGTATCCTACAAATAATACAAGGTGGCACACCGTGATATCTGTGTTTCTGTCAGATCCTTATGTAGTACAAGCAGAAGACGATTCCAGTTTAGGAACCGGATCAATGAGAAGCTTTTAAGTTAACGGCTTGAAACTATCAGGTTGTTTTGACCTTTTATCAACAGTATCTCAGTGTATAGAGCATTTCCTTACTAGCAGGTTAAAGTATATGTCAAAGAAAGTCCTCCATTTAAAACGCTCACATTCATAAAATGGAGCATCCTCAATCGATGTAGAGTCCGAAGACGAGCGGTGATCGCTTAAAAACACCATTCTGCGCTTTTGTCCGGCCATATTTCTAACTATCATTGCCACCTCCACCTCCAAGTCGACCCTCCAACTCTCGCACAACGTGATCAATCAGCGATTTCTCAACGATTCCTTCCTGCCAAGTAATGCTGATAACGAGCGGTCCACCTCTTGTGCTGACACAGTTGAAAACGATGGCTGGACCAGCGACTACTGCACATTGTGTAAAGCTCAGTTTTTCCAGCTTAAGGCTGCTACCATCTGGTGAGGAGATGTCGGAAGTTGAGCCCAAATTTGATATCTCATACGTGTACTTCCTTTCTGTACCACCTTGACTTCGAAAATGCGACACCAGATCTTGAATGCGGTTTAGAGCTGTGACCATGCTGCCGTGTGGGAACTGGCCAGCCTTGGAAACCATGTCTACACCAATCGACTGTGCAAGTCCGATTATATGCTGCCATTCTACCGCAGAGCCAGGTTCGCATCCGTGAATCCTTTCCAGCTCTGCGCCGGAAACATAACTGGTCAAGAAAGAGACATGGTCGGCGATGTCCTTTTTGGATGCTCCGGTATGCTGTCGCACCGAAAGGGGTGTTACGGATCGAAATCCGTGCACATCTTCCTTGATACCGCGTCGAAGTGAGGTGCAGATCAGCGCATGTAAAAGTGCAGTAAGTGTAATCTTGGCCTGCTGGCAGTTTTGAAGGACAGATGATAGGTGATCGGCCGGGATGGTCAAAATTTGAACCATATGCTTTATGCTGACTGTGGGCGTTCTTGATATCGCTCCACCCGCCCATACTTTCCCGTAGCAGGCGTTGGGACTTTTGCAAATGGTGCAGTTGCATGACAGACAGTCCACATTTTCTTCAATAGCAGTTGGGGCAGCCCTCGGTTCGGTGAATGTCATGGGCCAGGGTGGCTGACCGACTGACTCCGAAAGCCTCTCAAAGTTCTCCATCAAAGAGGCATGGAAGGCGACGCCACTCAATCCGTCGGCAATAGCGTGGTGTGCAACGAAAGAAATGTCAAGCCTTCCAAGAGACGACCGGTCAGAGCCATGGTCCCTGCAGTTACTTTGGAAATGCTTCAACACGATGATCTTCCAGGCTGGTTTGTGAGGGAGCCAGTGCTCAGCATGCGCTTCACTGAGGACCCGAGACAACAACACATCTTCTGTTATTTCTTTTGGGTCAGGAGCGTTTGAGTTGACTTCATTACTGTTGATGATCATGAGGACGTCCCTATAATCAATTTGATCAACCTGCCTGTACATTGCAATGCCGGCTTCTGTTTCATCCGAGATGCCGTATAGCAAGCCAGGATGTTGTCGAATAGTGGCTTGAAGGCTCCATTCAAACTCGAATGGAAAACGTTCTTCGAGCGGTAGCAGGTCGGCTTCACTCTTGGGCGAAATGGTGTACGTTGCTGTCACGCATGCTGAGTTGTATTGTCCTAGAGCATGCCGTACAGAGTAGCTCCTGCCCAGAACACCTGGTAGAGAACCCATTAGCATCCAGAATATTCCGCAAATACTAACAGCCTATGAGTAACAATAACTTACCCAAGGTAACCGATTTGTAGCTGGCCATAATGAACTTTAATGTATGCCGGCGTGGAGAATTAAGAAAGATGATGTGAGATGAACGTACACGGGGATTGTGTGTTCTTATATACAAAATATCCTTGCTCACCCTGTATGATCAGTCTTACTGTATCGTAAGCTTATCGCATTACTAAGAAGTAGACATTCATCAGATGTTAATCACTTTCCTTTGAATGAGCAAGAAGAGCGAGATTACAATCTTGCACAGTTAAATGTAGTTACTTTCTTAACGAATTATCAATAGAACTATAGTGACATATAGCCATGTAATAGCAACGTCGGGACACCAGACACCAGCTTCTGCAAAGATTAGAAACGCTCATGTAAAATTGAAAGATGATTGGGTAAATACCGAGTAAAGTGTGAAACGAATAACACCAGTTTATGCTATCCATTGGTGTGGGGATGCTTGAACTTGGTGCGACCTACGACGCCCTACCGCGCCTTTCTGCACCCCTTTACGCCACTCTGCACCCTTCATGTCTTCTGAACTCGATTGCGGATTGGCCAGTGGTAACAAAAACTGTATGCCGAAACACACAATATCTTGGTCACCCAAAAATCGTTTATTTAACACTCAACATCAAGATTTGGGACCTAAGGACAGCAGACTGACGCCCATTACCGATCACTAATTCCATCATCGTTTTATCGCTCCTACTCAAGCAATATCATAAGGACTGCCCCGAACACTCAGAATGGCAATAGTGCTCGATCAGAACGACCTCTGGATCCCTCCAAACTTATCATTACGAAGACTGACAAGCCTAACCCTATACCTGAGCCTGGCTCGGCTGAGCTTTGGGCGCAGAATGCCTATTGCGACCACATGGTCATTGCTCGCTGGATCGCTGGCGCAGGTTGGGAGGCCCCCGAATTGAAGCCTTATGATGATATTCCTATTTCCCCTGCTGCATCATGCCTTCACTATGCTATACAGTGCTTCGAAGGCATGAAGGTCGACCGTGGCTTTGACGGCAAGTTCCGCCTCTTCAGGCCGAGAGTAATGCAAAGAGACTCGGGATGAGCTCGAAGCGAGTCTCACTTCCTGGGTTCGACCAAGAGGAGCTGGTTGAGTTGATCAAGGCATTGGTTCGTCTGTACTGCCCAAGTAAGAAGCTTTCCTCCTCGATGTTTATTAGATTTTGCTGACGATGCTTCGAAGGATGGCTTCCCAAGGATAAGCTCGGAAAGTTTCTGTATATTCGCCCCACTGTTATTGGTACTGGCCAGCAGATTGGAGTTTAAATTCCTGCTGAGGCCACTCTCATGATACTAATGGTAGCTTGGCCCGACTTTTCTTCGGAGTCACCCCCTGGCGCTCCACCAAAGCAGCCTGGGCTCCGTCTCCTTACCTCAGAACGTGGATCGGCACGGGCATGGCCAAACAGCTTTGGGTACGCTAAACTCTGTGCCAACTACGGGCCGAGCTTCCATTCATTAAGCGAGTGCCGCAAAAGAGGCTACGATCAAATTTTGTGGGTTCTTGGCTCCGACTCTCAGGTTACCGAGGCAGGCGGCAGTAACTTCTTCGTGCTCATTAAAAATCGCAACAATGGGCGCGTCGAGCTCATCACGCCGCCGCTCGATGATAAGATCATTCTAGAAGGCATTACGAGACGATCTGTCTTGGATCTTGCTCGGTCGAGGCTGTCATATCACTTGGATGTGGTGGAGATCAACTTTACTACGGGTGACCTGCAGGTAGCGTGGAAGGAAGGGCGACTTCTTGAAGCCTTCGTATCAGGCACAGCCGTAGGTGATACCGCAAGGAATATTCTGACCTGATAATGACTTACAGCACGCAGTTCTTTATCTCTCCTATTTCAGTGATTGGGTTTGAAGGACAAGACATGGACATCTCGTTGAAAGGATCAGTGCCGAGTGGGGGGTGTGCTGAGATGGTCAAGAGATGGTTGAGAGACATTATGTACGGGAACGAGGATCACGGGAACGAGGATCACAAGTAGGGCGTGCTTGTTGAAGAGGGATAGATCACTGACATTGTGCCTTGAACGGTAAACCGCAAAACTTATATCAGTTCGAAGTGTTAAGGTTAATGGCAGTGCATGGAGTCATGAACTTAACATCTCATTACGCGATTACCGAGATCTCGAACCACAGACAGACATGAAGTTCAACTGTGAATAGATCTTAACAAGGGGCTGCCTAATTGATCGTGACAAAGCGTGCTAGTTAACTATCCAATATGGAATGGGTTTGGAGTGTCGGATATTGTGTTATTCAACTGAGGGGAATTTCGGCATTTGGACTAACCTGTAAGTAAGTAAATATCTGATGGATCTTGCTAAGTGATGTATAACGTATATGCATGGTGGACGGGTATTGCTAATAGTAACATGATATCTGACTGGTAAACTGAATTTAACAAGCAATAGCAACCAGGCGCTGTAGCATTTAGTCAATTGTAAATTGACAGGTAGTTGCTTGGTAGATACAATCAATCTGCTGATTCATCCAGTTACGGGCCGGGAGATAGCCCAAACCCAATCCTGTCCATTACTTCCAACACTCTATTTAGGCCATTCGTATCGGCAAAGTCTCGTACTGTTGAACAATCCATTCCGGTATTCATGTATGCATGGAGAAGCTTCTCAACTTCAGGAAGCTGCAACAAGAATCTTACTGTAAATGAACGCCGAGATGGGTGCAGTTCAAATGCATGATCAAGAGGCACGAACCTCTCTGTAGACTCGTCAGCTGTCCACGCAAGCGTTGAGTCTGCGTTGAAAAGCAACTCAAGCATTTCCTTGTTCGAATGAATGTCGATGCCGCGCCTGCATAGTTCCGCAAAGAAAGTTCGACCCTTCTCATTTCTGCTGAAGAGGTCGACGTCTTTGTGCTGTAATAGGATGCTTAAACTTTCCTCGCTTTTTACATAATGTAAGATACTGTTTCCGAAACCATCTTTACGATTTATGTCCTCTGCGTGTTTTAAAATAGTATGCAACATCGCTAGCGGAATGTTCCTTTTTATCGCCACATGTATTGGTGTGTCTCCATTGTGATTAGGAGCATCAGTTGATCTTCTACCATCGAGTTCAAAAAGGCGCTTAACCACGACCACACACCCATTACAAGGTATTGCGCAATATCCGAGCATGAAACTATGCAGCGGGCTGTCGCCACTGGTAGTCTGTATCTGTAAGAGGCTCTCACAGTCTATATCCATCAGGAATGCAGCTAAAGGAAATCGCTTTTCGAGGAACGCCTTATGAAGCAAATGATCATGTCGATTTAGGGTTTGCTGATAGATTGCGTACTCTTGGCAGTTGGGATTTACCGAAAATGTGCCTTTTTCATCGTAAAGTTTTGGAAAGAGTTCGAAAAAATGTTTGTGTAAGGGCTTGGTATCGTTAGAGTGGTGGTAGCTACTCAGACCACCTGGGAAGGATTTGGCTTCTTTCCCCCAGGTGCCGAACAAGGTCGCTAACTCGTCTGCTATCACTAAGTTTATTGCCTCCTTGTATCGCAAGATTTCTTCTATTCCAGACAGCCTGAGCAAGAGGGCTACCGCAGGTGGGTAGTTTGTCAGGATGTCCTGCACGCAACTCAGAAGATCGGTCGCAACGGGAACGTTTGTGCGATGAGGTAGGAAAAGCTCCAACATATCAAAGTCCTTCCTGTGGATGGCAAGGTGGATGGGCGACTCCTCATAGGAAGTTTTTCTGTTGTGTGCCTGAAAAGGATCGACCCTGTTGTGAATGAGGTATTTGCAGATGTGGCCATGACCAGCTTCCAAGGCAACCCTCAGAGGCGAGATATGGGGATCATGGCCGAGAAGGCCAGCGCCTATGGAGTGAAATAATTTCACCTTCTGAAGATCTCCCGATCTGCAAGCATCGGTAATGTCCAATTTGCTAGTCCTTCTGCTAGTGGGGAATGTAATGATAGATTGCGAGTTATCGCTATGAGATGAACGAATGTGGTTTTGCAATCCTCGTTCTGAGGAAAAGCCAACAATGTGGAAAAAACACCTCTCGTGATTACATCGGAAAGAGCGCTCGTGGCCATCGAGATGGAGTTGTAGGGCGCCTAGATTTGAAAATCCAACAGAGAACTTGGAGCACGATATTCTGGGGCACTTATGTCTCTTCAGACCTTCAAGGTCTTGGAAATCCGCGTCTTCAGACAGTTTATCTCGTTGCGTGTCAACGATGTTCCTTATTGCAAGTACTTTATCTTGTATGGCCAGATGAAGGGTTTTACTGGTTTGGTTGGAGGGACTTTCCTGAGATATGTCGCCTGAGATGATGTTGTTGTATGCTTTCTCTAAATCTGATAGGGCGTCTTTGGCCCCATCGATCGACTGAGCAAAACTTTGGGCTGATGCCATATCGAATTCAGAATGTTCAGCTTTCTGCAGGTGTGACTGATAGTACATGGCAGCGTAGTCCAAAAAGGCAAAGTAGCCGGACTGAACGGCTTCTTCGATGTAACCATCCTCAGTAGTAGTGAATGGCCTGGAAGAGAGATATCGGGAGCAAAAGAGCGACATATCAATATGTTCCTGGAACAGGTCGATCGTACCAATACGTACAAGATACCTGCACAACAAGGTTAGTGTAAGCCACTACCATTAACCATGGTTTGATCATACTTGCTTGTCGTCTCGTGGATCATCGTGATGAATTGTTCTGACTTGACACCAGGGAAAATCTCACAATCCGTAGCATTTACTAGCGAGCTACAGAGCTGCTTACAAGTATCTGCCCGGAGATCGTCTGGGTCGCAATATGCTTCATCCGCATTGATACAAAATCTGGACTGTATTTCGCGCCATCGAAGTGGCCTCTCAGAGGACACCAGCAAGCCAAGGATCTTCTTAGCACTTGCCTGAGCAGAGGGCTCTGCAGCGTTTATAACACGCTCGACGATACGCCCGTAACTAGCTGGTTTAGTAGGCAATTGTGAATAGCGGAACTAGGAAGGTACTTACGCTTCATCTAAGTTGCGTGGAAATTGATCGCTTGTTAACTCGGCTTTGTACTCCTTTTTTGAGCCCATCGATGCTAGGTTTGCCAACACAACCTTCGTGTACAGAAACATTCCTAGCGTTGACGGTCAATATAGATACTTCTAGAATGTATTGTCGATCCTGGCCCAACATACCGGCTGAAGCTCTTGTAACCTTGAATATCAATGCTCTTTTGTCATCGGCCGTAAGACGAAATCTCTGACCAAGCATGGAGGCTTGAGCTTTGCAATACTCCCCGATATCCTTATGATGGTCATTTACGTCGTGAAGTCGGATCTGTGGGTACGACGACAGAAGGGGCTCGATTTTCCCATCTTCCTGTCCACAGAGCAAAAGTCGGACAGAACAGCCCCTCGACGAGGCTGTTCGAATGAGCTCTACCAGACACCATTTGATAGCATGTTCAGCCTCGCCATCCGTGGCCTCATCCAGGCCGTCAATTACGATGATATTTTGTCTTCGTGACAAAATGCAATCCAAGGCCAGACCCTTGAGGACGGAATCATCCAGGTAGTCCATGGAAGAGCACTGATCGTAGGCAAACTTCATCATCGCTTCGTCTCTGTTGATTATCTGGGTGATGATATGGCATAGCATGGAGCGAGTCGATCTTCGATCCACATCGTTGTGCTTGAAAAAGAAGTAAGTCAACAAGGGCCGCGATAAGGACTGTTGAGGAGATTTTCGCTTCAACTGATGAATTATTGTTCTTGCTAGAGTAGACTTGCCTATAGATGGGGGACGACTTTAGTAGGCAGCGTCGCACGAAAGTAACTATTTATAGACTTACCAGCCCCGGGGCACCCGGTCAAGAACAGTACAGAGCCCTGCTGTGACGTATTGGCTTCCCAAGATTTATAGGCATCATCAAATAAAACCCAGTTGCCAGAGGATCCGATAAGTGTATCTGGAAGCTGTAGCTGAGCTTTTATTTGTGGTAAAGAAACGTTCAGCTTTCTTTCCAAAAACGATTTAATTTCTTTCTCGTGCAGGATCTGACTTCTGGTCTGTTCGGAATGAATCATTCCCTCAAGGCCAGAGTTGATCTGCTCGAACTGACCTTTGGCGTACAGACCAGAGTTTTGTATCTCCTTGAGGATCGCATGCGGTTGAAGCTTGGTATCTGACAGCAATTCTTGCTTCTTCTTCAGGCTTTCAATGGTCGGCTTGACCTTCCGCCGGAAGTCACCCCAGGCCCATTGGAATTTGCCTTTCCAATCTGTCATAGTTAATACATGCATCGGAGAAGAAGTAGATGGAACAAACCTGGCCGGGAGAAGAAGTCCAAAATAGAGTGATGAAAGAGAAGAATGTCAGAGAAGTAATCTTCCAACACCCCACTGAGTCTCGTGTCGCTTTTGATTAGGTTTTGGAAGAAGGTCAAATTGTCAAGTGAATCAGCGATCTCCTCATAAACATCGAGAAGCTTTCTGATACAACCCGTCCATGCCGAAGCCGCCATAAGAACAAGTTTGATTGGGCCCTTGATTCTGGTTATTGACATTGAACTGGTAGTGAGTAAATAAGCTTACCCAGATAAAGGCCACTGCTTCGCTCACGTTGAGGAATATTGTTACAAGTTTCTCGATGTGTTTCATCGCGTCGAGAAACCTTTCGATTCTGCCCAACCTACAGAGGTTTTTTTCACGCCCAAGTTTCGCCTGCATCTTTTGAATCTCATGATCGATGGATTTCCGGTTCGCACCGCTGATCTCTTTCTGTTGGTCATCGGTAAGCTCACGTCGGAACTGATTCATGGACCTTTCCAAGCTGAGCGACTCTGGTGAGGCCATATTTTGGTCGGTGCCTTTAGTGATGGATCCTGCTCAGGTCAGACTGTACTGGCCAAGTTGCGAAATTTAATAGTCGACGCTGCATGCGTTGGGCACTGCGAAGGATTGCTTTGTTCGTTCGTAACGTTGATCAAAACCCGTTATTGACATAAAGAAAGGAAATGAGAGAATCAGATGATTTTCAGCGTCCGGTGCCCGTCAGTCTGCGTCAGCATCAATTTTAGCCTAAGGTAGAAAGGCTTGCGCCATGCAGCTTCGAACACCAGTCAGAACTGACCATCGACATCAGGGTCAGGGATCTCGTGCATGCACAGCCTGGTTGGGCAAACCAGCATGGAGATTATTTTCAGCGCCGCCTACAAGAATTTCGCCACTCTATTTGAATCTCGTATCGAATACCCCCAAAAAGTTCATTCCTCGCCGGAACCTACGATTGCGATATCGCCTTCCCAGACGCAAGATAATGGGACCTTCTAAGAGACAGCTTTGTTATGAGAACGATACCGAGGATGGAAACACGCCAAAACGTCTCGGATATGGAACCTCCAGCTCGAACGCGTCCCGATCTGAGCCTTTATTCATGGACGTGGACCCAGTACCCTCTGCAAACGATGGCGTGTCACAAACAACCACCGCGGGGCCCGTGGACGAGAGAATTTGCTACGGCACAGTGAGTAGCTGATTTAAGATTTATTATCGCATAATTGGAATAACCGCTGATGATTTGGAGATTTGTGAGGTCTATATGTTGCTGACCTCGAGCACCCAAATTCCGAAAGAGGCGCAGCCATGGGACCGGTATTGTTTGCTTGGTGTACAGGTCGATGCTGGTGCATGCTATCTGGCACCTGACCCCAATTCTAAGACACGACAACGGTCGTTTCTTGACGAGAACACAGGGTTGATTCTGACTTACGTTACTAACAAAGTGCCCCAAGTATCTTTTTTGTCGGTGGTTGGCGTCAGCTTCCTGTCTCGAAAAAGAAGCAAAACAAACAAATTAACAGTCCAAGGTACAATCAATGTCTACGGCCCGAGAAACCTCATGGGTGAAGTTGATCGAGCGCTGTCCGATATATCGTCATTCCTACAACACCCAGTATTTTTGGAACCGGGTGTTCTTTATATCAATCCCCAATTCTTTTATTCCAACGCCGAGAAAACCGATCTGAGGCATCTTGTGGGTCCGCCTGTTGAGGACGACACATATGGTACAGCTCAGGCAGTTGACGGGGCCATGGAATACATGGAAGACTGGTCTGAGGATGCTTATACAGGTGGATTGCGCCAGAGCTATCTGCACCCAACTTTCGACAAATATTTGCTTGCGACCAAACTCAAAGAGTATTTGTGCCATGAAAGCTTTACGAATTAGATTTGAGCTGACCTGGACCTTTTCTAGCCATCAAATTCGAGGAGTGGAATTTATACTAGGCCGAGAAAACGCTGATATCGCCAATGACGTGAACAAAAAGATGTTCATATCTATCAACCAAGGGTAATGTTCCGCATCCTTTGTTCCAAGTGTCAGCCTGTACTGACCTCAATATAGTCTTGTCTTTCAATCTGGCACACCAGGTCTTGGCGGGATACTCGCTGATGTGATGGGCCTCGGCAAAACACTAACTATGTTAACGGCGATTCTCTGCTCAAGAGGATTGAAGGAACGTTACTCAAGCTGCGGTTCAAATGGAAATGAGAATAATGAAGCCCAAAGCTCGAACTTGACACTCGTAGTTCTACCTTCTCGACGTACGTTGTCAAAACCAATCTATCGCCTAGAAGTCTACCTAACCGTGTCAAAGAGCTTCTAGATGTCTGGAGAAATGAAATTGATGAGCAAGTAGATTCCACAAATGCAACCTGGGTGGACAAGCTAACAAGGCTTAGGCGATTTCAACTAAACACCTTCCAGACAGAGGTTTTCCATGGACATGCGAGAGCCAGAAATGCAGAACGTCTTCTTCGCAGTGACATTGTTTTGACAACATATCACACACTCGAAAAGGATAGCAGTGGCAAAAGGATCTTGGATTCTATTCGCTGGTCAAGGATCGTGCTCGATGAAGGCAACCTCCCCAATCATCCAAGCCTGCCTGCAATTTTACTAACAATTATTACAGCCCATCACATACGTAACCCTTCCACCAGGATACACAAAGCGATCGTCGCTCTTCAAAGGGAAACGCGATGGTGCCTTACTGGAACGCCTATACAAAATAGTCTTGATGACCTGCGATCACTCTTGAACTTCCTTCAATTTGAGCCGTTCTGCCAGAGCCAGGTTTTTGAGGAGTATATAGTGAAACCGTTTAGACAGGAGCCGAGTACGGACCTTGAGTTTCGTGATCCTTCTTGGAATCTGAGAGCGTTGCTGAAAGCCTGCTGTCTCAGAAGAACCCAAACGAAGCTTGACCTACCAGAGACCTACATACGCACGATTGGAGTGGTGCCAACAGAGGCTGAGAAAGCCATGTTCAAGGGAATTCTCCTTGAGTGCCGTGAGGAGTTTGACAGAATGGCTGGTAGGGAAGAGGTTTCGAAAAAGTCCAACATCTTATTCTCGGCGATCATGAAGCTGCGACGAGTGTGCAACCACGGAGCTATTGGAGTCGGAGCTTCCACTGAAAATTGGTCAAATTATCTGACCGTCCCCACGACGAAACGAAGCATTTCAACAAGTCTGTCCTCAGAACCAGCTTGCGAGTTTTGTACTAAGAGCCTTCTGGAAGATGACTTGCTTGATGCGCTTGACAGCTGCCCTCTCTGCAGCCGTATTTTATCCGACGGAATCACTAAGACGCCATCCGCAGCATCATCGCCCCAGGATACACCTTCGCCCGCCGTGTCTATGATGGACATAGATTCTCCAGTGCCCTGTAATAGTGGTGTAGGCTTCGCATCGTCCGGTAATAGATCCAGAGCACAATCTTCAAAACTGTCTGCTGTAATCGACAATATTAAGTCGTCGTGCTTAGATGCAGACTCGAAGAGGTAGGCATGGAAGATCAATTGTCCTAATTCTGCTGACAGAGAATAGCGTTGTGTTTTCTAGCTGGAGAGATACATTGGATATTCTTGCGACAATGCTTACGGACGAGGGCATTGGATCTGTACAAGTCGATGGACGAAACCCGCTTCTCGGCCGTACAGCACTGATCTCAACATTCCGCCAGGATCCACTTATCAAGGTCCTCTTGATATCAATCAACACTGGAGCCGTCGGGTAAGTCTGTAGTCACGATGCCAGCTCCCAGTGATAACGTACTGATGGACGGTCAGCCTTACCCTTACGGAAGCAAATAAAGTTCACATCATCGAGCCGCAGTGGAACCCGACGATTGAAGAACAAGCTATCGCTCGAGTTGTGAGAATGGGACAGACGCGACCAGTGACCGTCTTCAAGTACATCACAGAGGAATCTGTAGAACAGGTATTCTTTATGGAGATCTCCTAATTGCTGATACTAGCTAACGCCAAAAAGTCTATAGTCAAAGTCCAGGAGAAGAAAACCCGAATTATCAAGCTATCGATGCAGGACAAGGACAACAATGGGTCTGATGCGAACTTGGATGTAAGATTAAGCCCCCAAATTCTTAACGACATTACTAAAATGATATAGAGGTTCAAGTTTACTCTTGACCCGAATGAATGGAAAGCCGATCTATAATCAACGAATCGAGTTTTACGTCCGGGGTTTAATCAAGAGGGGCTGACGGAGAATCCTACCTAGCTATAGACATCATGTTACTCGGTAACGAATTACACTTCAACCTGAAACACATGGCCCTTGATCTAAAACAACTTGACAGCAATCTTTATACCCACCTTCTGGGGGTGCCACTAGAACAACCTGAGTACACTTATGTAAATTTTCCTGCTCTTAACATATTCTCCACCTCCTCATCGGGAAGGAAGTCTGTAGAGTATTTCCTAATCCAAGATTGTTGATGCAGAGCTTGTTGAGAAGAGTGGGCCGCTTCTTCAGTCAGGTCAATCTCTTCCACAACCCCTATAGGCCTTTTGTGACCACGATCTGTACTCGATTCTCCCTCATCTGCAGCGACAGCGCTTTGCACCATGTTGACCAACACCTCCTCCACGCTTTGACCTAGTAATCTCGCCTTGAGGGATACTTGATATGGTAGTCTGCTGAAAGGCCTCGCTGGTGTAACTTGAGACTCATCGCTAGTCACGGAGGGTACTTTCCAACCTAGCATCAAGATCTCCCACTTTTTCATCGGTAAACCTCTGACGGAGATGCGGCAATTTTCCAGGTGTATACGCCAGAAACGGAGGCATTCTATCAAAGCTTCAGTTGCACCGGGCTTGACAAAGGATTGGAAATTCCAACCCCGCCTGGAGGCATTCTTTGGATTGTAGGGCTTGGCGGAAACATGATACTCTGGGGGCGTGAGGAGTGAGTCTGGCCTTATCCCACGCTCAACGGCAACTGTGTCTAGTATAAAGACACAGACCGTTTGCGTTGAGAAACCAGGGTGAATCGAATCCAACACAGCGTGAAGCAGGGTTTGATTCCGGGTGTGTATAAACGATGAGCCCGCGCACTGTCTCCATAGCCACTCAGGCTCCATAGAGGGTCTGGCACTTAGGGGAGGCTGCTCTGTCCTAGACACAATGTCCATTGCCGTGGATAGTCTGAAAATTGATGATGATGGCTCGTTTCTACCAACTTGGTACTTCAAGTAGATGCCGGTTACGAAGTCTCGTGCGTGAGGGCGTGGACAAAGTTTGATCAAAGGGATTTCATCAACCGACCCAGACCTTTCCGCTGCGGTAGGAAGATCTGCCCATTTCCTATGCCCTCTTTCGTCAAGACACCTAGTTCCAGTGACCACACATAGTCTTGATAGACAAGCAGCGAGGTTGTATCTGTCAGTTCTTTGCAACAGCCATCTGAATGCAGCGAGAGAGGTGACCAAAGGAGCCTGTTCAATATGTTGGGAAGGAATCTTTACATCGCCTATCTTGGCAAGGTCTTTGACAAGAGCCTCTGAAACAGCGAGATAGTTCAATTCTCTTGTCTGTTCCCAGTTAGTGGTTAGGTAGAATGACGAGGTAACAACCACATAGAAGATCTCGTCTGGGTGGGCCAGTCCTAAGAAACGTCGCTCAGTTTCTGTCCAGAGAAACTCCAGTTCATCCAACATGTGCCCTTGGACTCGAATAGGCTGCTCCATACATAAGAACAGCGAATCAATAAGCTTTTTCAAATCGTTGTTAGACTCAGCGGTACCGAGGAACTCATCAACGTTGCTTTCAGTGATCAGGAGACCAACGATCTTCGTAGTTATAAATCTGGAATCTCTAAGATATGCGTATTCGCAGTCGAAACTCTGGAGAGGGTCCTCGGTTGGTTGGCTGACCCCAAGTACACTCATTTCGCGGGTGCCACAATCCCAGTTCTTAACGTTTCCTACAAGAGAGAAGATGTCGGTATCGTGAGCTAAGCTTTGGGTATCGGCGAGAGCAATCTTCTGCAGGCTGCGGGTGATTCCTTCACGATAAATATCTCGAGCCCAATCTGCCATATAATCGACTATTAGAAGAAGTTGCAGCGCGTTATCGAGTGAGTCAACGCCGCCACTCCAAAGACGAACAACGCGCTGTGGTACCAGTCAGATGACGTGTTGACGTTCAAAATAGAGACACTCACATAAGACGTCTTTCCCTTGGTAGTATGGATATATGCAGCAGATGCCCTCCACTGCTCACCTTTATAAGACAAAAACCAGACGAGCGGGCCGGAGTCCCACTCTCCATCTTTTTCAGCAGCCTCGGCTAACTGGTGTTGTATAGAAAGCATTTCTCTGATAGCGAAAGCAGTTTGAGCCTGAGTGTCGGTAAAGGCATCACTGCCCTTTTCCGATTTTGCTTCAATCACAAGGAACGGGAAAACAAGAGGGTCGCCATCAACCCTAAACGGACTGTTTCTGACAGTACCCGCTGATTGCAACAGTCGGGACAGCCTCTCGGTAACCCGAAGCCCATATACGCGATCAGGACGGTCTTGACGCGTTGGTAACTCGGCTTGTAATTCCGGCGAGTAAACGATAGCCTCTTCGGCCCTATCATCAAACAATGGACTGATGCCTTGTTCCTGGCTAAAGAATTGATTAAAATTGTCTTGGAGCTCATTAATATTGAACACTTACATTTCTCCAGCAAGACCGTTCGCGTTGCACGTACAGGATTGACGCCTGCTTTGCCGAGCCTTGAGAGAATTAATCTCATCATCACCTGGCTGCGTGGCCGCAACAACTTCCTGCTCAGATCGCCAAAGGCGACCGCGACAGTTCCGGCTAGTCAATCAGTGACAACCCATGAATGCAGATAAGATTGAGATGCGTACCATGTAATCTCTACAGAAAACCGGGCCATGACTTCGGATTCTAGCGACAATCGCCAACCGCTTTCATTTCTCCTACTTTCTATACACAGCTTGGCTTTCTCTGTGATGCGCTTGGCGCGCCTTTGAACTTGAGACCTCCAAGGAGATCGCGTGAAATCCGCCGATATGCTCTCGCGATATTGTGAGTAATCTGTTTTGCCCAGTTGCCGGATATGGTTAAATATTGTGTTGCAAGTGTTTGGCCATTGTGGCTTTGCGATAGAATCAATTGGTCCATCGAAGAATATGTTATATTTCCTCATCAGCCGTCGCTGGAGTCCGCGTTGATTCGTTGCCATTTCAGCTGCAGTTAATAAAATTGTCTTGCTATGAGATGTTTTTATGGGTTATGGCTCTGCTAAGTACATAGACATGGGCCTTAGCCAACGGCCGGCTGTGATACCCCGCCACGTAGTTGTTTCGTTTGTCGCGCGCTTGCGTAGTCACATGCAGTCAGACCAACAGTCACCAACCTAACACGATTTGTTACAAGATGGGAAATGCACAGCCCACTGGACCTGAACCAGCTTGGAAAGGCTGAGTAAGGCAGAAAACAGTTGGCCGCTATCTGGATAGATATTAAAGAGTGGATATCTCGGCCATATACCGGCCTTGGTTAACAATATGGCCCTATAAGATGCAGTCTCGTTATAAGAATGGAACTGAGGATATCAAGTCGCCGCAATAAGCTGATTGGGATATATTTAGCTTGACTGCCTCGCGATCTGAGATGTATCTCGGTTCCCCCGTGACTTTATCGCTGCCCCAATATATCTGAGGGCAAGGCCTTAGGTATGAAAGAATATCTTGCAATACAATAAGTTGTAGCCGAGTTATAAACACAGCGATCGAGGTCTTAGCTGACAAGGTCCATATATAACTAGCCCTTAAGATCAAAATGCGAAAGGACATTCCGCTAATAGTTGCTGCCTCGCTGTAAATTACAAAGTGAATATAGTTACAGCTACAAGTAACAAATATCGCGCTGAGTATCTAGGACTAATGTATGCACTTGATAGTAAACTGTCTAAACGACTAGCTCTTAACTATATAGATCCTGTTAATCGGAAATAAAAAAGAATAAAATAATACTGCTGTGATTGAATTTACAGTAACCTTAAACGGTCAATAATATAAGTACATCTCGTTTGAGGTCCACTTCTCTGCGAATTACCCACCATAACATCATCACGACGTCAAAGTCGCAACCGCGTCATAACCGAACTAACAGAATTATAGCCTAGAAAATCTTTATTCAATCTCTATGATTCATGTTCATCCCTGAAAAAACTGCCGGATATGCCGAGGAGAAAGTGAAACTCGACGCGAGTTTACCGTCATCAACAAATCGTCATCATCCTTTGGTAGTAAATATATATGAACCACCCGCCCCGGGTTTCAGTAAACCATTTTCCAAGAACTGAAATTAAAATGTCTTCCAACCACCACGACAAAATGTACGACACAGACGATCGCCAACCCCATGTCTCGATGGAAAAGGTCGACGCGCACTCCCCACCAGAAACATGCAAACTCATGACCCAAGCCGGTATCGCTAAAGCCAAACTCCCCTGGCTAGATCTTATCGTCAAATCTTTCTTCGGCGGAATTTTCATCTCGCTGGGCTCCCTCTTCGATCTTGTCGTCGCTGGCGGCGCACCTCAACAACGCGAAGCAAACCCATCTCTCATTACCCTGCTCGCAGCATTCACGTTCCCCATCGGCTTCGTCCTCGTCATCTTAACAAATGTCGAATTGGTGACGAGCAACATGACGGTTATGACGTATACCACTTTGCAACGAAAAACAAGCGTTTATGACCTTTTGAGGAATTGGATCGTTAGTTATGTGTTCAATCTGGCGGGGTGTTTGTTTTTCGCTGGCGTTTTGGCCTGGTGGAGTGATACGCTGAGTTCTGACGCTATGTCATCGTATGCGGTTAAGCAAGCTGAGATGAGAGTCAATGTTGGTTGGGGATACAGCTTTACGAGGGGAATTGGATGCAACTGGCTTGTCGGGTTGGCAGTCTTCCTTTCAATGAGCAGCAAGGACAATTTTTCCAAGATTGTTGGTATCTGGATACCAATCTGGGCATTGTAAGTTCCAGGACCAACCATTAGGATCAACTACTGACATATCTCTCAGCGTCGCACTCGGCTATCAGCATTCCATCGCCAATTTCTTCTTGTGCCCAATCGGTATGTTCTACGGAACCAATTTCGGTGTCGGCAAGTTCATCTACATGTCTATCATCCCAGTCACGTTGGGAAACATCGTTGGTGGCGCACTTATGACGGGCGCATTTCTGTGGTTCTTGTATGGACGGGATGATACCCTCGCTACAAAGACAGGACAACCGTTGAGTGGTGAGAATAAGAGGAGGGATACGAACGGCCGTGAAACAAATGCACAGACTGTCTCGACAGAGAATGGCCGAAGAAGGGGGAATGATAGTATGGTATGAGAAGGATGGGGAGGGTCGGTGGATTGGTGAGACGATAGAGTCACTGTACAATCACTTCTACGGAGATAATTGGTTGAGGGACGAAAACGACTTGATTGCCAATCACATTTTGGTTCACAAAGCTCGGCACATGAGACAGAGCAGATAATTCACTGGTTGTTTTAGAACAGATTCACCATAGAAGAGTCTGCAGTGAGAACTTGCACATATTGAGAAGCCACCTAAGCTTTTTACTGTTATTAATATGGGTGAAGAAGAGAAGCAGGCATATATGTATTACAATGAATTATGTTTATCTAATACTCTTAATATGTGATGTCTATTTTATCTTTGTACTGTTGATCAAAGCATCCCAAACTCCATTTATTACACAGCCTTTGCAGCAGTCTTCTCCTTTGACTCTCCCGAGCTGGTGATGCCAGAGATAACACCCTCCTTTTGTTGCGACATTTCCTCCTCAGAGTCATCAGTTACAACCTTTCGAGTCTTACCCCAGCCGAAGTTGTCCATGTTGATCACAGCGTAGATCATGACAGCAATGTTAAGGAAAGGCCCAAGGAAGACAAAAATAGCAAGACCCAGGAGGAACTGGGCTCGCTCTCGAAGGTTTCGGGGCAACCAAGTAGCCATGACGATATAGTAAAGCAGGGGAATAATCATGACACCAGCGAAACACATAATAAGCCACCAGGGTTGGCTCATGAAGGCAACAATCATACAGCCGATGGATGCAATGACGAAAACGTTCAACGACCAAGTAAGGACGTTAGAAAAGGCAACAATCCGCTCCCACCACTGAGTATTCCAAGCACAGAACAGAAGTAGATCGTTGCTGGTCGCACCTAGAGTCCATCGACGGCGTTGTGAGAGAAAAACGTTCCATGAGTGGGGTACGTCAGTGTATGCTCGGGCATGGAGAGCTTGGCGGGTCTGGGCATGGGGGAACGTAACAAGCAGCTGGCAAATGTGGTTACGGTCCTCGGAAGCTGTAGCACGGATACGCTTGATCACATTCAAGCACCCCTAGCATCCCGCAGATCTAGACTCTAATCCAGCATTTAACCCCTGGTCTCACGATTTTCTTTCAGTGGATATGCAGATTAACACTCCAAGTAAACACTGTTCGTTGGCTCGGCGTGTGGGGAGATCCAGGGAACAAGGTTGAATCTTTTTCGACAATCTCGAACCGGGAAATCTCCACGTCACTTCGCTATAGCTCATAGTGCACCTCAGCTTGCGTTGGTCTAGGGCTGGCTGATCAATAGTGCTGGACCTGTTGCTATTAGATTTCCAGGTTCTCGCGTTAGCCCAGCCACGTTTGATTGATCTGCAACCAACAACAGTCCATCGCGGACTTTTCCGAGCCGCTCGTCGACCGCTGAAATCCATAGTCCAGCCAGCGAAGAACGTGCTCAATTAAAAAAAGAAAACACTTTGGAGAATCTTGGTGTCTAAAGGCGAGGGTCAACGAGATTCGTTTACACCGCAGACTATTACACTTAGCATCATGACAACGAGCAGGGGGACTCGGACCATCGGTAGAGCCTGGAAACTGAATCAAGATGATTCGATCTTTTTGCGGTGGCGTCTCAGCTCTGAGTGCTCTGGAGCAGATCTTGAAGTTTCAGCGAGCAGAGTTTTCTCTCCTTCTGGTCGGCCCAACCGACTGGCTGAGGATTATGTGACAATCGAGTCTGGTGAGGAGGATTGAGGCTGCCTGAAGCCTTCTAAAATGGGGGTCCAGGCCTTTGAGCATGGAAACATAAGAAGTTGGAGATGGGCTGCTCTTGTTTGAACTATTCGGTAGAACATCACATCGCAATTTCTCTTAATCAAGCTTGTTTTGTTTATTTACTGAATTTCTCACCTTCGACGATTTTCCGAAATGCCTGGCATCACTTCTAGCACCAACATGGAGGATTACGCTGATATGTTGACACCTTCTGATTCTCCCTCCGAATCCCCCTTCTACCCTGTCACTCCTCCCCTGAGCTCCGTTCCCTCGGAGACAGATCTCACCCTCAAGACCACAGCTGATATCACCTCTGAAGACATTCCCGTTGTAGCCGTTGTTGGTGTTGGTTATGTTGGAACACATCTCGTCAGCTCCTTCTCATCCAAGTACCAGGTCATCAGATTTGATGTTTCAGAGAGACGCATCAATGACCTCCGCCAAGAGTTCAAGGGAAACATGAGGGTCCAGTTCTCCCGTACCCAGAGCGATCTCGTCTCAGCTACCCACTTCCTCATTTCAGTGCCTACTCTCCTGAGACCCAACAAAACCATTGACTCTTCATACCTCCGCGATGCCTTGAAGATGGTCTGCCAGGTGGCCCGTCGAGGCTCAACTATCGTTATTGAAAGCTCTGTCGCTGTTGGCATGACTCGCGAGCTGGTCGGCCCCATTGCCAAATGCCTCGGACTCTTTGCTGGCATGTCCCCAGAGGTATGTGACTTATTGGTCCCCTTCCTAACATTGAACTTGGCTAACCCTCATGGCACAGCGCGTTGACCCCGGCCGAACCGAACCTCCTGTCAAGTCAATCCCCAAGATTATCTCTGGTCTCGATGATATCTTGCCTGGCTCCCTCGCGGCTATTAACCGCATCTACTCCACCATCTTCGACAATGTTGTTACCGTTTCTAAGCCTGAGGTTGCCGAGATGATGAAGCTATACGAAAACTGCCAACGTATGGTCTGTATCGCTTATGCGAATGAGATGGCCGATGCCTGTATCCCCCACGGTATTGACCCTTACGAGGTATGTTCTGAGATGTGTTACTTTCAACTTTACGACTTGAAAACTGACATTTAAAAACCCAAACAGGTATGCTCTGCAGCCTCTACCAAGCCCTTTGGCTACATGCCTTATGCCCCTGGTGTTGGTGTTGGTGGTCATTGTATCCCTGTCAACCCCTATTATCTCCTTTCCAATAGCTCATTCCCTCTCCTTGAGGCTTGCTCGTCGGCTATGAATAACCGCCCAGCCAAGCTTGCGCATCGCCTACTCTCCTCCCTTCCCATCACAAAGCCACGGTCACGTATCCTTGTTGTTGGTCTGGGCTTCAAGCCTGGTCAGTCTCAGCTTGACAATCCCCCTGGTCTGGATCTGGTGCGAAGCCTCGCTGTTTCAGGTGCTCAGGTTGACCTCACATGGGCCGATACCCTTGTTAAGCAGGAGGCCGTTCCTCAGGTTCAGCGTCTTGCTGAGCACCAGTGGAACAAGGAGTTCCTGGAGACCTTTGATGTTATTGTGGTGGCTATGAAGCAGCACGACATGGACTTTTCTCTGCTGGCAGACTTGAAAGACGTCCGTGTTGAGAACTGGTGCAAATAATGATCAGGTTTAATGATGTGTTTCGGTGCGACAGTCTCCTTTGGTAGCGCCGTGATATCATTTTAGTTGAGGTTTCTTTTAATGGTAATATAGATAGCAAATAGAGCAATACAATTTTTACATTATAATATTAAACGTTATCAAAGAAAGATAAAAAGAATCCTTCTAAGATATATAGGATAAGTCTATAAAAGTAGAATATTCAGCAATTACTACTTATTAAGAATTATAACTTTACTAATTTTAGAGATGAACTTGTAATAATCCTTGGAATACCTATATGGGACAGAGAATGTAAGGGGGAAATGGGTAATAGTTTTAGACCTTTAAGGGTCTTAAGCAAATACTTTATGTTGTCAATTGGTATGGGAGTTCTACCATGTACGACGTAACCAAGGTTGGATGTAATGTCTTGAGTCACTGGGCGGGGTCTTGAAGATTTTGACACTTGTCAGGCAATCAGCCACGTGACCAAGTGACATTCGGAGCAAGGCTTCACCGAATTTGAGCTAGGAACAAGTAAACAGCAGTCTATTGCCTACTAAGTAATGTTCAGAAATGCCAAGATCTCGGGAGTCTCAATCACTCAGCAGAACGCATCGTGTGACATTAATTGACTGGTAAAAGAATATCCAGCGCGCGGTCAGGTCCTTCGCCAATCGACTAGGCTCAAAGTAGTAGAAAGTGACCTATAATCCTAGCTCTTCAGGCATGTCAGCTCGGTGTTAGCGACGCACTATCGATTGTTGGCCTCAGTCGAGACGCGGCCCCTTGATCAGCTCTCATTTATTTTTAAGGTATCTCGCCCCTTGATCAATAACGCAATTGTACAATCGAGTAATTCTCAATCTCACTTCCAGAAAACATGACATCTTTACGAAAATTCACTTTATTGGCGCTTGTTGCTATTACACATGCGCAAAGTAATAATGCCTCCCCAGCTGAAACAGAACCCGAAGACTGGGAAGCCGACCAGTGCGACTGCTTCTTGACGGATGGGCTGGAGCCCGAGTACTATACAGCCCATCGGTTCTGGGACTTCAGAAATCTGGCTGAATATGCTGGCATTCCGGCTACCATTGCTGGCGAGAACGACACAGCTGATGCTGACGTTATAAGCAAGTACTTCAAGAAAAAGGAATGGAAGAACTTTTGGAAAGTTCAAAGCTGGAGCAACCGTAGAAGCCATGATGCACTGGCCTACGGTGCGAGATTTCCTATGGTCAATTCAGCCAACAACATATACATACGGACCGACCCCGACAAAAACCCAGACTCTGAGACCTACCTAACGATGCGCACAAACCGTCAAAAAGAGTTCCAGGTAGCATCCGAATTTGACTCGGTTGACCGGTTTCAATTCTTGTCAATCCGATTTCGGGGACGTATAAGAGGTGCTGCTGGAGCTTGCATGGCTATGTTCACCTATGTCCCCGCTGAGGAGATTAAGAACGTTCAAGAAGCCGACCTAGAGATCCTCACACGTGAAGGCACCGATCGCATTCATTACACGAACCATCCCGGCTACAGCATCAGAGGTGAACTGTATCCTGAAGCTACACGCAACACCTCACTTCCCGATACGCTCAAGTGGAACGACTGGGTTGAACACCGATTGGATTGGACACCGAATCAATCTATCTGGTACGCCAATGGCCAAAAAGTAGCCAACATCTCATTCCAAGTCCCACGAGACCCGTCGCTCATGATCTTCAACGCCTGGGGTGATGGGGGAGTTTGGACAACCAACATGACCACTGGCGAGGAAGCGTATATGGAGTTGCAATGGCTTCAGATGCTTTACAACGTCAGCGATGCCTCTGCGAGCAAACACAAGCGAGAAGCGCAAGACGCTGGACCTCGAGGAAGATTTCTGAGAGAGAAGCGTGATGGACAGGAGAACATGTGTAAGATGGTGCGCAGTATTGACGAAGAGCCTGGAGCTGGAGTTGTGACCTGGATGTGGGGTAATAACACTGCAGCGAGTATGTTCGCAGGTCATAGTGCTAGGGGAGGCCTGTGCAGCTTGATAAGTTGGGTATTGGGATTAATACTTTTAGCACGATGGATGTAAGAAGATAATATTCTTATTTATTTAATAATAGTTTAACACTTAGAAAAGAAAAAAGAAAAAAGAATATTACAGTCACTTATACCAAGTCTATTACTAATGCGATCATTAAAAATAGAAAAGGATAAACAGTCCTGCAGCTAATCAACTATAAGTTTAATCATTTACTGGTCAATTAAGAATATATTCATCATAGACCTAAGTCTGCAGTGAGAAGGTGCACATGTTGACGTCATGATGTCACCTACAATGAACACAAATATATAAGAAAGGAAGGGGAAGAGAAACAGCATCTTTCAACTTCTTCCTATCATCATTCTTACCTAGAATACATATCAATACCATCAAAATGCTCACCGGAAACACCTTCGACCCAAACAATGACATTCCCGACCTCAGCGGAAAAGTCTTCGTCGTAACAGGCGGCAGCGCAGGAATCGGCTACGGCATCTCCGCCCACATCCTCCAACACAACCCCCAAAAGCTGTACCTCCTCGGCAAAAAGCAACACCACCTCGACGAAGCAGCCGAAGGCCTCAAGAAATTCGGCGATGTCTCACGCGTTGAATTCGTGCAGGTCGAGTTTGAAGATCTTCACCAGACGGACCAAGTCGCCAAGAAATTAGCGTCCGAGTTGACGAGGCTTGATGCGCTTGTCCTCAACGCCGGATTGGGCGTGGGGCCGTATGGCGAGACGAAGGATGGGATTGATAGTCATATGCAGGTCAATGTCTTTGCGCAGCATCATTTGGCTATGACGCTTTTGCCCAAGCTTGTTGCTACGCCTGATAGCAGACTTTGTCTTCAGTCGTCAGACATGCATCGCGCAGCACCAAGCTCTATCAAATTCGCCAACCTGGAAGAAATCAACACAGACATCGGTCCAGCCTACCTCTACAACCGCACCAAGCTCGCGCAGATCCATCTCGTCCGCGCGCTTCACCGTCGCAAGCAACGAGGCGAACTAGGCATGAAGCCCGGCCAAGCGCCATGGATCAACGCAACGCATCCCGGCGGTGTGAAGACGGATCAGCAGGAGCAGGCCATTGATGCCTATGGGACTTTGGGAAAGGTTGGTGTTGCCCTGGTCAGGCCCTTTATGAAAGATCCGGTTGATCAGGGCTGTCGGCCGATTTTGTTTGCGGCGACGAGTGATGCGATCAGAGAGGAGGGAATTGATGGGTGTTATATTGTTCCGGATAGGAAGGTTACTGAACCTACCTCACAGGCACTGGATGAGGAACTGGGAGAGCAGTGTTGGAGGCTTACGGAGATGATTCTAAAGGAGAAGCTTGGGTCTGCTGCGCAGTGAAAAGTCTCATGAGAATTATCTAGAGTCGGATTAGTAAGAAGAAGCCCTACATTATCCTTATTTGCTGTCCCGTTCTGTGTCAGTTTGATGTTTGACGGGTAACGCAATTTTAAAGTTCAGCCAAGGGATGCTTTCGGCCATCAGCCTCACCTGTCTCACATGCAAACATCAGCATAGACTTTATCTACCGTTCTTCGAGACGGTACCCCTCACTTTGCCTTTTAAATATTTTTATGCAATCCCTCGCTCGCAATGTCAGATAAACAGGGTCGAAACACAGCAACTACGCGTCAAAACACTGGTCGCGATGCGTCGTCAAGATGGCCATGGAGGTCTTTGGGTCTTATCGCCGCCGTGCTCGCCGTCGTCCTCCCTGCCTTAAACTCCAATTTACCTTCGCTATGCCACCAAGCACCCACCGAAAGAGCCCAGGATCAATTCACCGTCAACATCCTCGAGAGTCTAAGCTCAGATAGCTTTCGGGAAAGAAGCATCCAACGGCTCGCAGGCGCCATTCAAATTCCAACAGTAGCATACGACGACATGGGCCCAGTCGACCAAGACCCTCGTTGGAACATCTTCGATGACTTCGCAGGATACCTCGAGACGACCTTCCCCACTGTCCATGAGAAACTCAAGCTTGAGAAAGTCAATACTCATGGCCTGTTGTACACATGGATGGGCAGTGACCCAACGTTGAAGCCAACGGTTTTGATGGCGCATCAAGACGTTGTACCCGTTCCTGAAACTACTACCTCACAGTGGAAGCATGCGCCTTTCAGTGGCGAATTTGACGGTTCCGCTATTTGGGGTCGAGGTGCGTTGGACTGCAAGAACACACTCATTGGATCTCTGGAAGCTGTGGAGGCTTTGCTGGAAGCAGGATTCAAGCCCAAACGGACAGTCATTCTCTCATTCGGCTTCGATGAAGAGATCTCTGGTCACCATGGAGCGTCATTCCTCGCATCCTTCCTCCTCGACCGTTACGGCGAAAACGGTATCGCGCTCATCATTGATGAGGGAGCTCCCATTCTTCCTCTTTGGGGCACACACTTCGCTGTGCCAGGCGTATCAGAAAAAGGCTACGCAGACGTCGAGATTATCGTGCGCGCCAAGGGCGGTCACAGTTCTATGCCTCCAGTACACACCAGTGCTGGTATAGCTGCCGAGTTAGTCACCATGATTGAGAAAGCGCCGTATACGCCTCAACTTCATGAGGATAATCCGCTGTTGGACTTTTTATGGTGCGGTGCTGAGCATGCTCCTGGTTTCATGATGGGTCTGAAGTATCTGCTCCCCAAGAAAGGGCAGACTGGTATCTTAGAGAGTGTTAGGCGGATGTTGTTTCCGCGGCTAGTGTCAAAGGTGAATCGAATGGCTGGATACCTGATCTCGACGACACAGGCGGTCGATGTGATACACGGCGGTGTCAAAGTCAACGCGCTACCCGAGCGAACAACCGTGTTGATAAATCACCGCATCAACATCGGCGACACATCCGCCCTCATTCGTCAAAAGCTCACCAAAATCACCAGCGAGGTAGCGAAACGTCATAATCTCACGCTCCACGCCTTCGATAACTCGACAGAACAAGAATCTTCAGTTACCATTCGTTTCATGGGCAGTGTTCTCGAGCCCGCACCGATATCACCAACATACTCCACTGGAGAAAGCCCATGGTCTGTACTCGCCAGCACAACGCGCTCTCTCTACGGAAAGAATGTTGTTATGGCGCCCGGTATTATGCCTGCGAATACCGATACAAAGTATTACTGGAATCTGAGTCGCCATATTTTTCGATATTCGCCTGGTTGGGATCCGGAGACGTTGTCAATTGAGGGGATACATACTGTTAATGAGAGGGTTAGTGCTGTTGCGCATGTAAAGACTGTTCAGTGGTATGCGAGCTTTCTGAGGAATGTGGATGAGGCGAGATTTGAATGTGACAACTGGCGTCTCCCATAATGTAGAGCTTAACTTCTGAAGAACAAGCGAAAGGCCGTCAACTCTATAAGTCAGTCGGGTTTTCAGAAGGCGTGCGTGAAATGTGACCATGAGTTCGCGTTCACGTCAAGCTGCGGATAATCCTTCATAACGTATCTCCCCGGGTCGTTGAAGAATTAGGACTGTTATGCGTAAAGGTTAAAGGCAAAAATGTGTTGATTGTAATAACGCTATATATAAGTCTGTTCCTTTTCTATATCCACGCTTCGTAATATGTATCTTAATCCATAACTCATCAATCCTGAATGGTTCCGCAAGGATCATAAAGAAGTCAAATCAATCTCCGAATGCCATTGTGTTGTTTTGTGTTTGAATTGAAGTGCCTGCTCCTGAACAACACTTAAAAGAAGGTAAAGAAGGTAAAGATAGAATCAGTTTGGTTAGTTCCGCTCCGAGAGTCCCTTGCAACAGGGCTCAGCAGATACAAGTTCAGCTGGTAGTCCCAGAAGTAAGGCCTCCAGACGGCCAACTGCTGCCTCGTACATGTGGTCATGGGCTTGCTCATGGCTACTTGCTGTCTCGGACTCAGGCAAAGAAGCAAGTCTGCTCGGTTCGTTGAGCTCCTGAACACGGACGCAGTCCCGGCTATGATTGCGCGATCGTAGTGACCGGTTGGAACTGCCGCGTCTCGCCCAGTACGGTTGGCCTTTAATGGGGGCCTTGAGGGTGTAGCCTGGTACGACATTTTCCTCTGTGGACTCGCGAGCGCCAATGTGGATCTGGATCTCCGGGATGTGATGTGCTGCACAGGCACTGATACGAGGACTCTCGCTGCCATCCGGGCCTCCCTCGAGAGCACGACGACCGAGTGCAAGCTTGTATGGTTTGCGCACCTTCTTCCCCATGATTGCTAGAAGCGCAGGGCTCGTACGCGTAAAGTGACCGGTTGCCCACCCATAATGAGCCGACGGAATCGTAGTGCCGCCTGAACCGTCAGATGTTGGAACCAGGTCGGGGAGATAGCTGTTAAAGTATCGTTTGAGTTTGTCGTCATCGAATTCGATCTTCGAATGCGAGTGAAGCTGTTGAATCATCCACGCGAGAGCAGCATGAACAAAGCTTTCCTGCCCGACAACTACCCAACCCAAGTCGCCATGGTTACCGAGGAAGAAGACTTGATGGACGTTCTCTCCGGTCATGTACGTCGGACTGAAAGGTTCTCTCGTCTCGTGTAGTGAAAGGGCATGAAAGGAATACTTGACGTCTGTACAAGCGGCTGTTAGCATAAGAAATGATTACTGTGGAGATAACGTAGTGATGATCAAGTGCATGGAGGACATGTGTACTTACTGTTTGGAACTGTCGAGACACTACTGTCCTTGCTCTTTCCCCGACGAAGGAAAGCTAACGGCTTAGCTAGTCCGAAGAGAGGAAGGCCCAGGGAACCAACAGTGTCAAAACAACACTGGGCCTCGACTTCGACATCAGTATGTCCTATCAACTGTTAGCGTTGAAGCTTGTGGGGCATGGATTCGATCAACACTTACGTTCATAGTCGACGAGTATTTGAGTGATAAACGATTCGAAATTAGGGTTCTCTTTGCACTCTCTGTACAAGGCGTGGAAGAATTCATTGTCGCCATGTACGGGTAGACCGACAATACTCAATATGAGCGACAGGTATCGAGCAGCCCAAGCCCCTGCAAAGAGTCGTTAGCCAGTCTTTCTTTCAGGAAATGATTCGGATATGCGTAAAGGGACAGAACAAGTGGCTGTTCCGGGACTGACCTCGAGAATACCCGCAGAGGATAATTATATCGCCGGGGCGATAGATTTTAGAGATGCTTCCTTAGCATGACAAGGTCAGGAACAGAGCCTCAATGAAAGATTTCCGTCACTCACTGTAAGCGCTGATGACGTTGCGTCTTGTTCCCCAACCGCAAACCCCTGTAACAGTCAGCTGAGGAACATACGGGGCGACAGAGAATAACAAACCTCCCCAAAACAGATCGTACCAACTATCGTCAGAGCCGACGCCACTAAAGTTAATCGGAATAACGTTGTGGGCCTTGGAGATCAAAGTGGGTAGGACCGAGACAACGGTTTCGCGGGAACTGGCGAAACCACCAGCTAGGGTGCCTGGTGCAAGTTAGATAGTGGGTCCAGAAGATGAGAAAGAAGCTGGCTACCATCGAACGACACCCATAAAATTCTTCTGCTATCGGCAGCGGGAGCGGAAGTCATGGCTACAGGTTTGCGCTTGGTGTGGCTAGAGACAACCGGCAGATGATTGCCGGACCCTGGCCAGATTCAGGCAGTAGTGGGGAGAAAAGGGTCGATGGAGGTAGGGAAGGGTAAAGCGATTTGAAAGAGATAACAGCTGAGACTAATGTAAAAAGTGAAATGATAATTATGATATTAAAGAAGGGCAAAAAGGAAGGATGAAGAAATATTAGGGTGTTGGGGTACTGGGTTAACAGAGGAAAGGGGGTTAGCCTCTTATAGGAAAGCAATACACGCGTAACCCTGCCAACTTACAAACGTGAGCGGAGGAAGGCTGGATCCCTCAAGTTTAGCATTATGACGTCTCGATACGTATTCACGCTTTTTGCTGTAGGAGCCCTTTCGTCGTTACTATTTTAATGATGATGATGACGGTATCTTTTCAGGAGTAATGAAAATGGAAGTCCTCTGCATAATTTTTAGTGATGATGACGACGGTATCTTTTCAGGAGTAATGAAAATTGCATAATATTATTGGATATTATTTGTCCGGAACGACCATGTGTTTTTCCCGGGCAGACCCTGGACTCAGGTGAAGCCTGTCATAACCGGCTAGTCTCGTTAGCCTTATGCATGTTGTAGGTCCTCGGGCGCTTGGTTCCTGATTTAGACTGTCTTTAGCTTAGCCAGCTTCAGTGTGAGTTAAGAAGAAAATCGAAGCTGGAAAGAAGAGGCCTTGCATGTGACAGAGAGATGCATTCCTAAGGGCGTACATAACAAAACTATTGTGTTGATTTATCAGTAGAGATTGTAGTACCTCTTTCCCAGAAAAGCTCAAACTAGCAGTACTAAAACAACACAATGATAAAAGGTTCTCTTTATCATCAGTCTCAATGTAAGTAGAGTGGCAACGGATTTGTTTCAAATGTCAGAAAATTGTCTAGAACAATGGAACATCTGCCACAGTGGATAACGGGTACAATTGGCCTTCTTTTCCCTCCTCTCGCTGAACCTCCAGCCCCCTTGTCCCAGAGCTAGATTTTACGGGGCAGTACTGTGATCGATTTTGTGGCATTACGGGTCAGACTTAGCAACTAGGTACCCAATGATTGTAGGAGTGTGACAGACAGCTTACAAGTGTACTGCCCTGTACGTACTGCAAATTACGCCACGTCCTCGTATCGGACCCAACAAATTCGATAGCGTTAGAGCCGGACCCAAGCCACGGTATAATATTGTGCTGATGTAAATCGTGCCATTTGTACGAAAACAAACAAGGAAACCTGAGCGAAGCTGCGCTGGACTGGTTTTTGTGGCTGCAAGCTTGCGGGGAACCTCGATCACTTTCCCGACCAGGATGAGGCTTGAAACTGGGGACTTGTATTCCAAACAGAATTCTAGAAGAGACGCCACGATGGATTTTGGGCTCAAAAGCCACTATACGTTGGGGCGCCAAACGCTTGGACATGGCCCGGATCCGGTGAAGTCCGACCCCTTAGATGAGTTGCAAAAAAAGCAATACTCAAAATGCTTTTTTTACTATACGTACGTACTCAGAGGGCATGTCAAGTATTGCTCTTTTTGGAACCTACCTACCCCTTAGAACCTTTTACCCCACTGGCTCCGTCTGGCGAATACCGAATCTTGACGAAATTGATCAGTCTCAGGAAAGATATTGTGTAAGGTTAATGCAAAAAAAGAAAATGCTCCGGGGCCGATTTCTCAGCCCTCCCCAGAGGATCTTTGCTTTTACCCAGTCAATTCTTACTTTCAAGTACCCGGAAGCTTAAACACTAGCGGATGAAGTAATTCAGGCACGCTTGCTACATTTGACTTACCACTTAGAAGGTGCCGACATGACATGTTTCACAGATATTCAGTTTACAAAAATGGGTTACCCGGGACATGAGCAAAAAATAAGATATTGACCATGAAGCCTCATAAATGCAAACGATTCCCATGCAAGTCTGATACTTCAAGTTTTTCGCTAGTGTAACTTAATAGGTAGCCAGTGTGCATTCTTGATATTCTATGAAAGGTAGGAAGATGCATTTGAATCATTAGCAATAGGCTGTTACCGGCAAGGTAAACGGAGGGGAACGGCATTCATTGTTAATAGTAACCACAGCTTTTAATGCTTATCGTTGTTCCTTATCTTATCCTCTATCTTATCCCTTATCTGAGTCTTTATCTTATCTGAGCTACAGTGCCAAAAGAGTAGCTCTAGATATGGTACTGTATAACTCTTTATCTTATCTTTGTCTTTATGTAATCATTTCCTGGTCTTTGGCAAGCTACCCTGTAGGTTATATAATTATCTAAAAATATTGATAAAGACTAATAATATTTTGTTCTGCCTCTGAGATTTCACATCAAGCGCTTAGTTATCCTGAGATACTGCCTACAGAGTAGGTAAATAAAATGCATTAGAAGATTGATCCAACATGAAGAAAGGAACCACAGGTCAACGAAATTTAAATCAGCGCGGGCATCGTGGTTAGTCTGATCAAGTTGAAAACTGTGTTTCCTAGAAAGGTCCTGCCGAGTACCTAGCGCGAGGTTAAGTAAATATACAAAGAAAAAGCAGGAGTGATATCCAACGCCTCAAGCACCATTGCTAGCAGATAAATGTACAAAGGTGAAAACACGATTTGCGAAGTCTACCCTCGGGTATCCTCAAAGGTGACATTCCACGTTACTTCCTTATTAATAATCAAATCTTGACTTCCCCCCCGAGAAACCTCTTCCTCTTCTGTGATATCATCCAAACTGCTCCTATCACTCCCACGCGTGACCGTTGTCCGGTGCGATATCATGTCTGGTCTCCATCTATACGGTCGCCCGTTACTCGAAACCGTTCCCGTAGGCGAAGGTGAATTAGGCGTGGAACCACCAAATGTTTGCAGCGCTATCGATTCGGGCGTGCTTGGCGCTGACGTGTCGACTCCAAAGTTCATGCCAATGTTGAAGCGAAACGACTTCATGAAGTTTTTGAGATTTGGCATTGTTGCAGAGATGAGAGACCAAGCGACCATAATTTGTTGGATCATCAGGGCTTTTGTGATGTTGAACTGTGGCTCGACGGTTGAGGGAAAGTCTAATGCTCGGACGTGCACGGCCGACAGGGCGAGGAGCGGGAGGCGGAATGAAAATGCGACGACGACTTGCCATCTTCGATTACAGGCAAGATTGACGGACCCGACGAGTTGGAAGACAAGCGCGAGGGTGAGCACTTCGAACATTATGTCGAGGACCGCGATGGCTATCCAGCGTTCTTTCTATCGAGCAATCAGCGTTGTTTGAAGATCGAGAATAGATGTTGTACCTGATGGGTACATGGGTTATTTGCGTCAAGCAAGCCATTGACATCGCAGTCGACGAGGAAAGATATACACGCGCCGGTGCCCCAAAGCACTGTAAAGACCAAGAGGGCCGTGCAGAATATCTCGCTTTTACCGGGTTTGCAGGCGATGATGCGACGGATAAGCGCGAGGACTGAGCATTTGGCGAGTGTCAGAGCTGAAATGAAGAAGATGGTCGCTGCGACGGTAGACTGCAGATCCCACGGTTAGACACGTCCAAGAACAGCCCAATGAACCTCACCCTTGAGCTTATCACCCATTGCTGCGGTGCCGTAATAGAATTCTTTTTGCAAAGTCCATGAGTCAATCCAACGAAGATAGCTATTGATTGACCAATGTGCAATACCTATCGCCACTCAGTCAATTGCTTCTAGTGCATAGAGGACAGGCACTTACCGTCGCCACACCAAATAAAACATCATCCAAGCCAAACATGCGTCGCTTAATAAAAGCTCTCGCCCCAGCGGCATGCAGAGCGTAGATCAGCGACAAAATAGTAACGATCCATAATTTTCCCGCATGATCATCCGGCGTAACAGGGGAGAATCCGTTTGAGACGTTCATAGCAGAGCATCAGGAAGAAAAACATTCGAAGGAAGGACACTTTGTATTGTTTGAGGAAGGAATTGTTTTTCTTAAGATTCTACAGAAGAGCTTATTGACGTCTAATTGCAGTCCTTTGTTTGTTTGTGAAGAGTTTATTGTTGGTGATATGATATAAAAGTTGTACGGAAACAGCCTCGTCGGCGGGGGTGCTTGACCACACCCTAATTTCGGCCCCACTACCTTCTCGCCCCGAGTATCTACAAGGGTTTATTTGTTCTGCGGCACGTGAAGAGGTGCTAAGGACGATCCGAAATCCTGACATCTGAAAGCTGAATCTCATGTCTCAGAAAGTTCAGCAAACATGGCCGAATCTGTACCTCAATAGATCATTAGCGGGTGAGGGGGATAAGACGCCACAGACCAGATTTGGGTGTCAATAAGATCTGGCCACTACTTTATCGGTGGCGGAGGATGTCTAGAACTGTTGGTTCTATTGACGCATGAAACCATGCAGGAATTCGGAGACGGGAATATCACCTCATTTTGTTGGTGGTAGTGAAACAAGGGAGCTATCTCCGTTGACAGAAGGGGGCAGGATCTTATTGTCAAAATTCAGATCCAAGAAAATGATCTGATATCAACTGGCGACAATGGATAGAGTTGGCACTAAACGATGATCAATAGGGATAAACTGCCCGAGTACCGGGACGGCACGATTGGTTCCCGCTGGTCTAGGCTCAAGGGGGTTTGGCTGTTGGTTGATATCCCTGCTCAGTACAACATGAGACAGGGTAATACATGCATGCCTTGAACCAACAGAGCAATCGGAAGGAAAGAAGAATTATCTTGCGCCGCCCTCCTGCGTTTTTTTATCTGCCGATCTTGAATCCTTTTTATCCTTCGATCTTCTCTGTTTTTCGTTGTGCTTTTTCACTCATCTTGTTTCTTCAATCGGCTTCGTGTTTGAGTCGAGATAACCGTCAAGATGTCGGGCAACGACGACAAAAAGTTTGTGGACGTACATGATACGCCTCAACTTAGTGACAGCGACAATGTTGATGAGAAGAAGGGTACTGCGGCCGATAGGCTGGACATGTACCGCATGGGCAAGACCCAAGATCTGACGGTTCGTGCGATCATCTGAGCGCTCTACCAGATCTAACAGGAATTGCAGAGAAACTTTCGCTTCTTGTCCATCTTTGGCTTTTCCATGATTCTCATGGCATCATGGGAATACTCTCTCAGGTAAGTCATAGCGTGATTAATGTTGATCAATTGCTAATTTCCTAGTGTCTCAACGATTGGTCTCGTCAACGGTGGTACAGCCGGTCTAATCTGGATGTTCTTCATCTGTTGGATCGGCTTCATCTTCGTCAACATCTCAATGGCAGAGATGGCCTCCATGTAAGTCGAATGACCCCTCTCAATTACTTCACAACTGACTATTCCTCTCCAGGGCCCCTACGATCGGAGGTCAATACCACTGGGTATCTGAATTCGCACCGCCAGAATACCAAAAGCCCATCAGCTACCTCATGGGCTGGATGTGTGTTCTAGGCTGGCAAGGTGCCTGTGCTGGATCCTCTTTCATCGGCGGTACACAAATCCAGGGTCTTATTGTTATGAATAACCCAAGCTACGAACCAAAGGGATGGCACGGTACTCTTCTAACAATCGCCATTGCTGGAATGTCGGTACTGTTCAATACCTTCCTCGCCAGAAAGCTTCCTTTGGTCGAGGCTTGTATCCTGGTCGTGCACGTTTTTGCCTTCTTCGGTGTGCTGGTCACGCTGTGGGTTCTCTCGCCTCATGCTGATGCCAAAGATGTCTTCACACAGTTCAGCGACCGCGGGGGCTGGGGAAGTCTTGGAGGTTCTGCCCTCGTGGGTATTCTCGCTGGTGTACTTCCTCTTCTTGGCGCTGATGCCGCTGTGCACATGTCGGAAGAAGTCCGCGACGCGGGACGCACCATTCCCCGCACCATGATCGCGACCACTGTCTTCAACGGTCTTTTTGGTTGGATCATGGTAATCACGTACTGCTTCTGCATCGGTGATCTGGAGCAGGTCATCTCCTCGCCGACCGGACAGCCTTTCATGCAGGTCTTTCTCAACTCGACAAAGTCAGCTAGCAGCGCTACCGCTATGTCGTTCTGGATTGTTGCCATGACTGTCTTTTCGAACTTGACTATGGTTGCTACAGCCTCGCGACAGCTTTATGCTTTTGCGAGAGACCATGCTGTCCCTTTCGATACGTGGTTCTCTAGAGTTCCAGCAGGATGGGACGTCCCTGTCAACGCTATCATCACAACCTTTTTCGTCTCGGGTGTCTTGGCGCTCATCAACATTGGATCGCCTGTCGCATTGAACTCAATTACCTCTCTCGGTACAACTGGACTTCTCTCCAGCTGTATGGTCTCAATTGGTTGTATGATCTGGCGAAGATGCACGAAGCGTGAGCTTCTTCCCGCCAAGCTCAGCCTCGGTCGATGGGGTCTACCCATCAACATTGCTTCTGAAGCATTTCTCGTTGTTATCTTCGTGCTGGCATTCATGCCTGGTAATCCCAACCCTTCACCTGCTGAGATGAACTGGAGTATTGTCATGTTTTTGGCCTTGATCTTGTTTAGTTTTGTTTACTACTTTTTGTACGGAAGGCACCGATATGAGGGGCCTGTGGCTTACGTCCGCAAGCTAGAGCAGTGAGAAGGGAATCGATGGAAAAGTTCGCCTAATAATAAAGGAGGCGAAGATACGTAATTTAGTTCAGGATCCGTTGCATAAAATAGTTAGTTTGAAATATCAGCGGCCACCATTGGTGTGGGTAGAACATACAATGAGTCACTGTCACCGCTTATGCTTATACCTCGCATCATGAACTAACGGTTTGGCTTGAGCTAGGATTCCGGTGAGGGTACCATCATGGGACCTCATTGGTCGCGAAATGACTGTTGGTTGAGTCTTGATCGAGGGTGTAATGGGTGGAGTCATTCTGCAAAGTCAAGGCGTGAAACACTTCCTGGCCTGCAGACACCACGCCATACGACCGAGCACACGCAGCGTTTAGCAAGGGTCAGAGCCGGACCAATTGGTCCCCGGCTATGAGGGCAAGACATTTAAGAACCCTTGATCTGCACGCTCAGCCAATATCACATCCTGTTGATCTCTCACACACAGGTCATCATGTTTGGAATCACACTGCGCGATGCACACTACTCAGAGCTTCCAGAAGTAGCTCGAGTAATGTCGAGAGCCTTTTGGAAGGATGTTCTCTTCGGTGACCTCATCCATCCCCATCGTGAACAATACCCTGAAGATGTCGATCTTTACTGGCTTCGTCGCGCCCGAGTTGTCTTCTGGGACTACCGCTGGCGCTTGATAGTTGCCGTTTCCAAAGACGACAGCGGCAAAGAGACTATCATCGGTATCGCCCAATGGGAACGGTTGGGTGATGGAGGAAAAAAGCTCGAATGCTCAACCTTGGATCCTCGTGAGTTAAGTCAATTTCAGTTTTCATGAGCCCATCTAACCCACCAGGAAACCTCCTCAAACCTCTTTCGTCACTCGGAATGAGCGTCCACGCCCGTCTCTATCCCAACCGCGCCGCCGACCCAGCCCAAGAAGACGTCGTTGAACGCGCATACCCGTGCTTCGACAGCATCTGGAGCGGCAAGCGCGCTGAATCATGGTACCTTGCTACACTGGCTATACGTCCAGACTTCCACGGGAAGGGAGTAGGGAGAAAGCTTGTCCAGTGGGGGTTGGAGAAGGCACAAGAAGAGAATGTTTGTGCCTCGTTGGCCGCCGTTGAGGGGACGGAGGAGTTTTATATCAAGTGTGGTTTTAAGGAGCAGTTTGGGAGTGCGAATAGTGGAGAAGGGAATCCTTTGGCTGATATACCTGGCGCCCTCATGTTTTGGTATTGGCCAAGATCTTGAGTGGTCGAGTCTTGTTGAGAACTTGGTTGAGCAGCAAAATGCTGGAATGTTGACAGAAAGGTTGACAGCTATCATACTGGCTGTCATGACTGGAATCTAAGTCTATGTCTATATAGAGGCAGTGAAATATCTTTATATGAAAGCCTGTTTCCAGCTTATTTTACTTGAGAAGGCTAACAAGACTGAAAGGTACCATCTGCCCTGAATCCCCTTGACGCATCGGTGGGAACATCCATACTGGCGTCGACCAAACCAGAAAGACAACAACCCACGTATATCCAACAAAACGGCGCATTGGTCTTGGTATAGCGAGTTGTCGGGTCATCCCTTGCACAGCGTCCTCAACCATGACTCCAAATGCCTGCAACAAAAAGAACTTCTCACAAGACCACATGTCTTCAGCACCCAGCCTGTAGACAGAGACCATGGGATGGTGCATCAGACCAGACAACAAAAAGGCTAGAGTGAGACGGCTGTATCTCGACAGCAAGGTACCGCGGCGCAACCTGAGGATCTTGTCCGGGATGAAGTCTCCCCAACCGGTGAGTTGTCTCCGGTAGAGTCGATGCCAGAAGGTACTACGTGTCACATTAGCATAGGTTTTACAATGACGGTAGTGTTCTACTTACCCCCAGAATCCTCGAACGGTATAACAAGCACTAATAGGCCCGTTCAAAGATGGCCATTCATTGGGCTGACTTAGTCCCAGCGCGAGAGAAGCGATAGCTGCGCAGGCATTGTTGAAGCGATTACAGACGAATGACAACAGCCAATATCCGAAGGTACCGGCAAAGCGAAAGCTTAGATCTTCAACTGTCAGGTTTGAAAGGCTGAAAAGCGTCTCTTTGTCTCGGGTGACCAAGTGTCCTTCAGGGAGTGGTGCGTTCAATGCGACATCCAAGGTAAGATAGAGACCAAGAAGCTCGATCATCTTGGATCTCAACAACTGAGCTCGAGTTTGAGATTTCCGTCTTCTCATAGATACATCGCCTCGAACACCAACACGACGTAGGTTGAAGTATAGTTTCACTCCTCGGAAGAGCAGTGTGAGGTTGCTGACGCGACCCTCGGACTTATCGATAAGGTCCTCGGCGTCAAAGTGGGAGAGAAGAAGTTGCTCGGCACCACTGACCCAAAAACCCCAGCTCATGTTACAGACCGCGCATTTCTGAGTGGTGGTCATCGATGTCTCGAGAATGGCAAGATGGAAGACGTAATTAAGGTAGCACAGGATGGCGATTGCCGTGAGTCGGAACAAGATAGCATTTTGGCGGGTGAAGACGACTGTCGATGAGAAAGTGAACAGGTAAATACAAATTGTACCCCAAATGCGGAGTCCCGACGTCACTGGAAGACTCTCCATGTCGGGCGTTTGTATGTAAAGTTGAAGTTATTTTCATTATTTCTCAACCTCTCTCAAATCTACACTAGTGCTGACTCATCACGTGCCTGTAAGACCTTCCTAATGCATCGCCATATCATCAACCTTCTTCTGCCCAATAGCATTAGCTCCAACAAGCGCATCCGGTCCATCAAAAATCTCCGCCACCTCTTCAAGCGAATGTCCCTTTGTCTCAGGAAAGAAGAAGAAGATCAAGGTCAAATGAATCGCGATAGCTACACACCACACAATGTAGTACTTCCACGAAATAGCTTCCATAGCAACAGGGTTCGCAAAAGCGTTGTACACACCAGCTAAGTTACCGGTAAGTTGGTACAGCATGGATGCTTTCGCGCGGAGCGAGTATGGTGTTGCTTCCATGATGTATGTCGCGCCGATGGGCGAGATGGCGTGGTAGAAGAATGAGAAGACGAAGATCATGGCGAGGACTGCTCCGGCGAAGCCAATGTGCTCAAAATTCTCTTGTTGGTTTCTTGCGGAGCAAATTGTCCAGATGATGTAGGAAGCGCCCATACCAGACATACCAAGCAAGAAAAGGGATCGACGACCAAATCTATCAACCAGCGTAGCAAAGACAACGGCTGAAGCAAAACCCCACATTTGAAGACCGCCGTTCAAAAGAAGCTGGGTTTTGTGGTCGGTGATGTTGATCGAGTTGAGGACCTTGGCGAGGTAGTATGAAGTCAAAGCGTTGCCGGACCATTGCAGCATAGCGGGGATGTAGAGCGCGAGGAAGAATCGGTGCCAGTTACCCTTTGTTGAGACCCACTCAGCCCATCGGGACTTCTGCTGGACTTTCTCGATCTCGAGAGTCGCTGTAATCTCGGCCATTTCGAAACGTGCGAGCCGCGAGTTGGGATCGCCATAGCCGTGCCATTTGACAAGAATATCCTGTGCTTCCTTGTATCGTCCCTTGTAGATCAACCATCGCGGCGATTCAGGCGCGAACATGACGAGCGAAGCTTGAATGACTGAGAAACTGGCCTGTAGAAGGCTAGGCAATCTCCACGCCCAGGAACTCTGCATCTGAAAGCTTCCATACGTAACCCAAGCAGCAATGATAGCACCCAGAGGCCAGGAAACCATCATGAAGCTGACAACTTTTCCACGGTGTGTAGGATATGTAACCTCGGATAGTAAAGGCGGTGCAGCAGTCGACACAATTCCGAGACCGAATCCGATGATGAAGCGCGAGGCGACGAACATGCCGTAGTTGTAGGAGCAAGTTTGAACGATGGCGCCGACGATAATGGTGAGACTGCCGCCAAGGATGGGAATTCGTCGACCGAGCCAGTCGCAAAGTTGAGAAGAGATAAGAATCGAGATGAGGACACCACCGTTGGGACCGAACGTCATGGCTCCGAGACGGGTTCCTTTCGGTTCGCCGAAGTAGGACTGCCATTGTGGAAGGGACTGAGCTCCATTGAGCATACCTATATCGTTAGTAACCAGTTATTTTCTTCAGGTTTAGAGGCACTTACTTGCGTCAAAGCCAGTGGCAGTCTGCGTCAAAAGACCACTCAAAAGCAACAAGTTCAACTTCCATAGCGTCCAATCCTTGTACCACGCCGGACGATCCTTAGGAATTACGTCTGCGAGAACAAGACCTTGAAAGTCGTTCGACTCGGCATCTTGAATGTGCGCTTCTTCGGTGCCCTGCTTCGAAGTCATGGTGTTCGGTGTCAATTGAAGAGTTACCGTGACTCTACAGCAAAGATGATTGACAGTGTCTCCACCATCTTTATATCTGGAGTGACTCGGTTCCTTCCGAAGCGCTCGTACCAGAAACAAGCACAAAAGCCAAGATTTTCCCCCAGAATTGCCGTGTTTAGTTGATTGTCCCGATGCCCGATGCGAATTACCCCAGATCTACCCCGGATGTGAACGTTACTAGGCTCGGTTAAGTGTTCCCCGCACACGAGAGTGGCGTCTCGGGGGAACCGGAGCCGAAAGCTGTTGGTGACGGGGGCCGGGAGAAGGATCGGGTGGCCTTCGTCCGGGGCCCGGTCATAGTTATCAGATCAGGTCGAATTGATACGCGTATATGAAATAAGACCATGATCATAGTAAAGTCACATGGAGACTTGATCTGGTCATCTGATCAGCACAAGTGATACCAGGCTTGCCAGGTTCACCTTCAATGCGAGGTTGTGCTCTGAGCTACTTGTAGGGTAACCTTAATCGCGTCGCGATATCTCAGTCGCCACGCGACAAAACATTTCCAATTGGCTTGCTACAGTACACTTTCTTATTGCTAAAAACTTTTCGGAATCTCATGAAGATTAATTCCTTTGCCTTTTTTGTGTTTGTCGGGATCAATTTTGACGCAGATAGCAACACATAATTTAAAACTTTCTGAGATGTGGATTATCAACGACGCACCGACACTCCCTGATTCACAAACATGCTGCGTTTATCGCATTTGACACTAGAAGAAGCAAATCCAGTGAAGCCAATAATTTATGTCACTAAGTTCTAGAAATCTTTATATATCTAATTTTTGTTAAGTCTCTTCGCCTCAACCTGAACACATTCAGGAATCCACTCCTCCAAGCTCTCACATTCTGGCTTCCATCCCAAAAACTTCCTCGCCCTCTTCGCATCACCACGACTGTTCAATCCCCAAGAAAGAGCCTGGAATCCCAACTTCTCCTGGGCTTCATCAACATCCAGCACCTTGGTCTCATCACTCTTGATAAGACCTTTGCTCTTGGCCTCCTTGGCAATCAGGGTAGAAATCTCGCTCCACTTATGGGTACCATTTTCAGCGAAGAAGTAACCTTTAGGACCCCAGATCTCTTCATCGTTCTCTTTGGAAGAGGATGCTGCGCGTTGGGAGAGAAGCACGATTAGACTGGAGAGATCGTGCACGTGGACGTTATCCCATTCCGTCTTTCCGGCGCCAATGATGGGTCCAAAGCCCTTTTCCAGGGTTGTTTCTGCGAGACCTGGGATTTGGCGACTTCGTTGGTTCGAAGGTCCGCGACCTGTGCCGTAAATAGTAGGAGGACAGACAATGGCAACCTTTACAGCGGAAGTGTCCTTAGCTGCTTCTTCGATAACGATCTTGTCGACGTCGCGATGGAATGCAGTGTCGGGGAGGGATGTGACCTTGTCAACGCCCTCGAGATCATCATAAGATTGTTCAGGGAGGGGACCCTCGCCATAGCGTTTGTTGTCCATGTCATGCCAGCAGAGAATGCCCGTGCCACTGATGTGAATCCAGTAGCCGGGGCTGGAGGCGGAGTGGGTAGATTGTAGACCTGCTCCGATGGCGCGTGCAGCGCCTTGGTGATCGGAACTCTCAGCGGTATCTACCGCCGTCAGTATTTGGATTCGCTTCAAGAGCTTACGAACTCACGAATAACAATATCAGCCTCGGAAGCGGCCTTCTTGATAACCTCAGAGTCATCCAAGGATCCAATTGCCAATTTCGCATCGGGATATTGTTTCTGAACTTCCTTTCCCTTATCTTCGCTTCGGACCAAGATGGTGTACTTCCAGCTTGGCTGGGCCTTGGTCAATGCGTAGAATGCATCACCGCCGATGTAACCGGTGGTACCAGTGCTGGACTTTGTTAGTCAATTGAGACTCAATTGCAGAGGAGACATACATGAAAACGTTCTTGGATGCCATTGTGTCGATATGTTTAAGTTGTCTTGATTCAATTGATCGATTATTGCTGCGTTTGAAGCACTTATATGGTATTCCTCGTAGAATCTCCCAGCCCTTTCTGCTGAGAGATCAAAGACGTCAAAGGAACCACAATGACGTCGTGGGGCGCATAACGTTATCTCTTAACATGATAAGGTTTGCTCACAAATTGGGTGCATGCACTAACAGCCACGATACAGGGCTTGGATAAGCTCTTTTCCAGCCCGCTTCAATTATTCGGCAAAATGACAACTCTATGACTGGACATCAAGTAAACATGTTTGCTTGAAAATGGAAGCGAGGCGAAGTTCAATTGAAGCTGCAAATTGGAAATAATACCCCGGGCTATAACAGTAGTATTGAAAAGTTCATCCCAAAAGACTGCCACACCTATCAAGCTCTCAACTTGAAGTATCTAGCAAAGAACATAGAGTTCGCAGCCAGGACCACAGGAACAACGCTAACCATCTCGCCCAAACCAGCATACCGAGGCGGAATGCGAAACTTGACCCAAGCACCACTAGCCATTGTAATGGCCAAAATATTGTAGACAGCTGACCAAACAAAATTAAAGTACATGCGTTGGAACCCAACCTTGCTGATGTCAAGCAGGAACGGGATACCTTCCAGACCGTTCAACAGAACAACATCCGCCGCGTCTTGGGTCACGTCGCTGGTGCTGCCCATTTGGACACCAACGTTTGCTTGAGCAACAGCGATGGCATCATTTGTTCCATCGCCACAGAAGATCACTCGTTTTCCTTGGTCCATCAGAGCAGCGACGTAGTCTCTCTTCTCAGGCGGAGTACGCTCACCGATAACATTGTCTGGTGAGATACCAACGGAAGCTGCAACAGCCTGGACAGCCTTTTTCTGGTCACCTGAGACGAGATGAACGGTGATATTGCGGGACTTGAGCTCACGTATGACCTGTACTGCCTCTGGGCGGATTTGGGATGAGAGCCCAAAGACGATGAGGGGGATAGAATCGCGTGTTACAACAAGTGTGGTGAGACCACTATGCTGAAGACGCGACACATCTTCCAGCTTCTCAGCTTGAGTCCAACGAGCATTGCCTACTCTGAGAGTCGAATCAAGGTAATCCGCCTCAACTCCAGCGCCAGGTATAGCATGGACGTTTACTACCTCAGGCATAGCCTTGACGGTGAGATACTTCTCAATAGCGGCAGAGACAGGATGTTTACTACCAGAAACGAGAGCTTTTGCCAAAGCGAGGTTATCAGACAAGTCCCCATTCAAATTGACCTGTTCAGTCACGGCGAGCTCGGTCTCAGTGATCGTACCAGTCTTGTCAAAGACAACATCAGTAGTCTTGCGAGCTCCTTCGGTGGTGTCCGCAGACTTGATGATGACACCACCGCGAGCGGCAATTCCCCCTGCGACAACAAGCACCATGGGTACAGCAAGTCCAAGCGCGCAAGGACATGCGACTGCGAGGGTAGCTACAGCAAAGGTGATGGCATTGCCAACACTCTTTCCAGCGCTGTAGTCAAGAAGTTCCATACCGCACGCGACCCAGATCACAAGAACGAGAACGGCGATGGCGCCCATGGCTGGGACGAACCAACCAGCGACCTTGTTAGCTAGATCTTGAATCTTCGGAGTCGAATTGGCAGCTTCCTCGACGAGTTGCGCAATGTCAGTGACTGTGTTTTTGCCAGGAAGACGCGTCAATTGAGCAGTGACAGTACCGTCGCCATTTACAGTGCCAGCGATTAAGTCACTACCCTTTTGCTTCACCACGGGTAGTGCTTCCCCTGTCAGCATGGACTCGTCAACTTCGGTCTTGCCAGAGATGACGATACCATCAGTGGGTACTCGGGAATGAGGCAGAACCTTGAAGACATCTCCATACTGAAGAAGACGAGCGTCAATCTCGGTATCACCTTCCTTGGTAATAAGTACAGCTGCGATGTTCTGCTTCGACCGAAGGGATACAGCAGAGACCGCTTGAACACGTGCAAAGGCGGCGATCAATCGACCAGCTAGAATAAGAGTGATGAGCATGGTGCTAGTCTCAAAGAATTGACCTTCATCAAGAGGATTGCCAGCCATCTCAAAGCTGAAAGCCACGATAGAGTAGACGTAAGCTGCCGTGATGCTGATGACAACGAGCATGTCCATCTCGACAGTTCGACTGTACCAAAGAGCAGCGAGAGCTGGACGATAGAACTCCGGGATAGCGATAGCTTGGACAAGTGTACCAAGGGTCAATCCAATGATACCCTCGGTCTTGTCGTCCACCAGATCTTCGCTCCAGGATACTACTGCGACAGGGATAGTAAAAGCGGCCGCTAGGAGGGTCTTTGTAAGTTGATCCCAGAGACGGCGGCGGCTGTTCTCAAGCTGAGCGTCTCCACGAGGCTCTGCGAGACCATTGCACCGATCTTTGATCTGTTCCATCAAGTCTCGAGCACCGATAGTTGTTGGTTCGTATGAGAGACGAACTGTCTTCTTGTCAAGAGCCTGCACGTCGGTGACGCCTCGAGGCGAGTTCTCGATAAAATGCTTCGGTGAGGCCAAGACATCAAGAAAGTAATTGCCGCCGATGATTTTTTCAGCACGAATCCACTTGCGCCGGATACAAAGCTCAGGACTGTTTCCGCATTGGTGATAGAGTTGTTGACGGTGAATTCTCCTTTGCCCATGACAAAGTTGACCTGAGCGTTGGACACGCCCGCCGTATTGGCAAATATACGCATCAACTTGTCTGCGCATGAGGTGCAGTCCATACCGCTTACCAAGAAGCCGATTGTTTCGATATTCACTCCGTGTTCGATATCAACCTCAGTCTTGGAGGTTGTGACAGCAGGAACTATACTCTTGTTCGCGTGATTGTGTGCATGTTTATGCTCTGGCTTGGCCTGGCTGGTGTTCGATCGGGTGCTCATACAGCACGTCTCAAGGGACGTAATCCCCTGCTCGATCGCGCTTCGGCAGATACAACGGATCTGTTCGAGATAACTGCTATACTGGTCGAATGCAGCTTCGAGATGTGTACCGCAAGCAGTTTCGGAGTTGTGGTGACCAGGTTCGTGCTCGTCGTGATTCGGATCTTCGTCGCAAGCTTTCTTGCACTCGACTGCAGCAATCGCTTCAATGCATTTTTCTAGGGATGGGAGTAAGAACAAGTGAGCTTCAGGCTTTTGTTTGGATGAACCCACCACTACAGTGTTCTTCGCTGCCGCAACAGGTCGAGGTCATGCTGGAGACATCAGAATCGTCTGGGCAGCAGCCTCCATGCTCTTCACCATGATGATGGTCGTCATGCTCGGCAGTGGAGGGTTCGTGTGCGTGGTTGTGTTGGTCCGAGCTGGCATTTACATGCTCAGACTTCGATCCACAACATGATGCACCCATGGTCATAAAAGTATACCTGGGATAATAAGGTATTCAGAAATGATGTGGGGTTTTAAAGATGGTTTGCCTAGGAATAAAAATATTTCATGTAAAAGAAGTGGTAACACGCAGTCGGGACGTGATATATCATGAAACTGAGTGTTCCGCGGATGGCTCCACTGCCGCTGTTGAAAGTCCCCCGCGCCCCGTTTCCGCGCCGCGCTTCCGCTGTTTGCGCTCACTATCCTAGACTTCACATACACAAGAGCGCAATAAATCAGTAAAGAAGTTGACATGATATTCGAAATTCCAATGCTAGACGATGGGTATAATAGTAGCTCGTAATAAGTTCCAACTTTTTAAGCCCCCGGTAGCTCAACCTGCAATGATCCTTTGTGCCTCTGCTATCGCAGCCCTGACCTGATCAACAGTTCTAAAGCACGCGCAAGCCATTGTCATATCGACTTCCTTTGGACACACCTCGGTGGGATGCTTGGTTATCGTAAGTGACTCAGTATTTGAACAACTCGCCCCAGTTTCGCAGTTCTCATGGCCTTCGGTATGTGACTGACTCTGTCTCGCCGCCAATTCATCTCCTAACTGCACAAGACAATCCAACTCTCCCTTGAGACTTGCTTGCAGGAACGCCACATAACTAGGTCCCTCGAGAGAAACCTCAACCATATCTCCACTATCAGGCTGTTTCCCTATGTAAAGCTGGATCGGTGTACCAGAAGCCAGAGCTTGTTGCTTCTGGGTGTAGAAGAAGTCGCCGTAGGATGAGCCGATGCTGGATAAAAGAGAGCCTAGTAGGTAAACGTTGCGTGATGTGCGTGGGCTCTTGATGGATTGGAAGCAGATGGTACACTCCAGGATTGTCCTCGCTGACACCAGCGACCGTTTCAGGATTTTGAGGGTTTGGAATGTCTCGAGGGAACTTTCTATATCCGAAAAATGCTGATTGACTAACTCAATACACGAACACTTCTGAGAAGGTGTTGTTGCGCTCTCAATATTCCGTGATGGGGTCGTTGCATCCACTGGCTTATCTCTGATTGTAGCTTCTGGGGACTGGTTAACGTTGTTGTGATCCTGTGTCGTGGACGCGTTATTGAAGATATCGGGTAGCAATGGTGGCCCTCCTGATACAGCGTCTTGGTCTGTCGAGAAGTCCATATCGAAGGAAGGCAACGACGAATTACCCAGGTCGTCAAAGAATTGATTCATGACACCAGCAAAGTTTCCTGTCTCAGGCGACATTGATGCCACACCAGTACTTCCAGCGCCATACCTCAGTGACCGTCCTCTTTTCGGACGGCCTATAGCTCTCATAGGCGAATACTCGCATGTCAAAGCGAAGTGAGAACATCGTTCACATAGAGGCGTATGCCGTGAACATCTGACCTTGCGTTTCCCTGAAACACGTCATCAGCTGATGCTTACAAATGAGAGAGGAAAGAGACTGACTACATGGGTCGCAGGCGCGGTGCTGGGTCTTGTCACTTATACTTTGGACGTTCATGCTAGGCGCTCGCGGATTGAGCGTGTCTGCTGGTCTTTTAGAGATAGGTGCGGCCATCAAGGTTCTCAAACTGCGGAATTGCCAAGGAGATGAGGAGAGCGGAACGCCGAGGGATCAGCGCTGAGGGTTTTGCGAATGGCGATTGGTGGACGAAGATGTCTCCGCTTTACTGTTGCAGCCGAGATGAGAGGTACTTTCAGATAGGCCGGTACATACAAAGGCAAGGGAAGTATTAGAGGCGGGACACATGGGGACAAGTAGGAAAAGACTCACAAATTATGAAAAGAATATTTCAAGGTCTATCAAGACAGACTAATTGATAATGAACGTATCGGAAGTAACTGGGTCTGAAGAACTGCCCGGGGAGGTTATGGGGAAAGGTATCTCTTTAACGTACCTAAACCCCGCGAAGTGTACAGTAGGCCCACAGCTTCCAGTGAAGAAATATTCCACACACTTGCTGACACCATGCGGCTTTCGCGTGTCCAGGGTAAGACATGTCGGACACCAGGTGTTATCAACAATCGTGAAAGCTGATAGAACCACAAAGATAGATTGATCAGGCTGTCGCATGACCGTAGTTTTGAAGTCGGATAATCGCAGCGGTTATCCAACAGGTCGTCGTGAAGCTGTCGCCAACGTTCTTCGTGCTTCCAGTTGTGAAACGATCTTCACATTCCGGATCGGGAAATCGAGACTCCATCCAATGGCAATAGGAATTCGTTAGCTGGTGGTGTTCTACCATCAACATGGGGGTGGGAGACAATGGTTTACCCCAAGGTGCTCAACTATGGCGAGCACAGCCTCGGCAACAGTCAACTCCGTAACATCAAGCTTCAGATGCAAAGGTTGACCCTCCGACCACTGATAAAGCTCGCTAGACTTTCGCAAATGTTCGACAACTAGCGGTTCAGTAAGTTTCCCATGGAAACCCCTCTCGTAAGAGCCCAATCGACGTAGGTTTTCTTCCCTGCTACAGGACAAGGTGATGGGTACAAGGAAAGCCTTGTGACGATTGGCCAGGTTGATGTACTCCTCCATAACACCGCGACCGATAAAGTCGTTGGATTGAAAGTCGGTGAAGACATGGATGGAGTTTTTTGTATCGGGTGATTTGGCTATAGCGTCGAAAATGACGGATCGAAGGGCGCGGCGCGCGGGTTGATACTCTGGGCTGGAGCGGGGGAGGATGGCGTCGACTGGGTCGATGAGGAGGTGGTTATGGACGAGCTTTGCATTGCAGTGGGATAGAACTTCGACTAGTTTCCGGGCGATGGTGAGTTTTCCTGTGCCTGGGTAGCCGTTGATGTGAATAATTGGGAGAGCCATAGCTGCGGGATGGGTGGTAGCTAGCAAGGTAAAGTGATCGGATATGGAGAGGTAGAAGTGAAGATGAAGACAGGATGTGAGAGACGTGGCAGATTAGTGTGGTACGGTCATGTTAAAAGCTTAACTTAGGGTATGTCAAGCCCTGGATGATATTTATTGGATGAGGAAGAAAGTTCCAGAACAAAGTTATGATAAAGCAGAGTTGACCACACGTCGAACAGCGAGGTGAATTTGAAAAAGTCTAAATTTGAAAAGCAAAACAAGCTAAAGTAGAAACAATCTAAGTATCAACAAGAATCCAAGTATATACACGCAATTTATCCTGCCATTCTATACCCATGCGCCAGATGATCATATCCATATCCCGTTTAGTTCAATAGCTCGTTCAAGTCGCGCTTAGCGTTTCTCTTGATACCACACTTGTTAAGACAAGCATCAATACCAAGAGCAATGTTGGCAGGGATGTGCTCGCGGAAAGACTCAATGTCCTTGCCATCAATAGTCTGAACACCACCCAGAGTAGCAGAAACAACATCGCCATTCAGAGAAAAGAAGTTCTGGGCGATCTGGTTGACACCAGGGTCAACGTTGTCGAAAGCAGCGACAAAGACAGCATCTTCACAGTCAGGGTTGAACTCCTGGTGAATAGCGCCCTGGGGAAAGACAGCCATCTGGAAAGTATCCATAGTGTTGGCAACAGGCTTCTGACCGTTCTCAGTGACAAAGTTGGTAACAAGACGGCCCTTGACAATGATGTTAAGCTCAGTAGCGCGGTTGTGCACATGGGCAGTGTTCATGCCACAAGGACCCAGGAAAGCAACGGTCATGGAAGCGCCGTTGCCGATAAGAGCAGGCATGGTGAGGGCAGTAGCAGAGACGGAGCGTCCACCCTTGCCCTTGGATTCTCCAGCGCCGGTGGCGGCCTTGAAGTCGAAGATGAAGTCACCGGGCTGGTCGAGGAGCTTGAGACGCTCGACTTGGGTGGGGGCGGTGATGATCTTGGAGATGAGGTCCCGGTCACCACTTCTTGTGTTGATGGGTACGATGGGTGGGAGCATGTCATCGATGCTGGCTGCGGCGCGGGATTGGTGGGATGAAGGGGCGCTGGGAGCTGCGAGAGCTGAGCCGGCGAGGAGGAGCATTGATAGGAACTGCATGTTGATGGTTGTGGAAGAAGTATTAATGGATAAAGTCCAAGATGTTATTGTAATAAGATGACTGAAGAGAGTGATTAGTTGATGAGTGAGGTGAGTGATGAAGATGTGATGGTGAGTGATAATAATGATACTTTAGACAGCGATGGCAATGCTCTTATATCCACATCGTCTCCGGCATCACAGCACGATGCGCTGTTGATGTTTAGACCCCAACGTGCTTCACCGCTGACCGTCAGCCCTACTGCATGCAATTTCATAATTTTCCCATCAAACTAAATTAGTGTGGCAGTGAAAAAGTCACTAGTTCATCCCATGATAATGCTGTGATCTCAGTAGCTGTATCTCAGCTCCCACTTCCGACCAATTACTCCGTTGAAGGATCACTCAGCCCCTCTAGGAATAGCAGACCTATGAATGACAAGGTCGCCGATTAGTGGAGACCTAGTCTACTTTGGGTAAGTAAACAAGCCGAGCTGGCCGAGCTAGTGAAGCTGCGCCGCTTATTTCGCGACTCTACCCAATAAGAGCCTCAGACGAAGATCCCTGCTGTCAGATTTCTCCCGAAAGGATCACATTAGAGGATCTGTACTTTGGTTTAGGGCTGATGGTAAGCTTCCTTCGAGTCCCCGGCGAGGGAGGCGGTGTCGGAACTAAGCGAGGCTGACTGCGCTCGAGACCTGGTAAGCTTAGATAAAACTTCTTACCCCGAAAATTTGGTCATGAATGCATCTCGTGGCATAAGTAGAAACATGTCCCGCTAAAAAAAGGTTATTCATCAAGCTTATTTTTATCTTTGTTTTTACTCATCACTTTAACATGGATCTCAGCGTGCCATCAGGCTACGAGTCATACTCCAACCGTCTTGATCCTCATGATGAAGTCGAAGAGGAAAAGGCACCAAGACATGTTTCTGACGAGCAGGCTCTTCTGAAGCAATGTCGTGCACCGCCCAAGTCTGCTGGGAGTTTGGATACTGTCCGACTTTCTCTGCGTGTTCTTATTCTTCTTGTCAATTTGAGCATTCTTAGTTTGTTGGCCCATGCGGTCAATGTGTGGAAGACTACGCATAACTCTGTGGATCGAGATGAGAATGGTTGGATGAGGACGAGATGGGCTACCATTGATATGCTGTCTACGTGGCTTATGCTAGCTATGGGTGCGTTTGCATCTTTTGTTCAGGTGTTGGCTCTTGCTACTCGTCTCAGCTTTGTAAGTCATCGGATATCTTCAAGCTTACATCACATGGTCTAATTGGAATAGTTCCGGTCAATGCGCGATGGAGCCATGCACACTGTTGCAGTCTTGGTCAGCTCTGGTATCAATATTGCTGGATGGATCGCCGTGACTATCTACTTCATCGTCGACAAGGAGGTTCTCCGCAACAATCACTGGGATCTCTGGTCCTGGACCTGTCAGAACAATTCACGACAGAGTTACATTCCCTGGGCGGGCTTATGCACAGAATTGGTAAGATATCAATTTATGTACTGAGCCAAACTTGTACTGATGATGTGATACAGACATACACCTTTGCTGCAGGACTTGGTGTGATGGTGCTGGAAAGTGTTTGCTTGGCTGCATTTGTTATTTCGCTGCGTGGTATGAATATTCTTGGGAAGTACAACAGGGCTAGCTCTGCGTAATTTGGGGGCTAGTGACAGATTCTTGGCGGAGTATTTGGGGGCGAGAGCCATTGCTTACTTCAAAGCTTACTGGGAGTTTCACTGGAGGGTTTTGTGGAAGCCATTCAGTTGGTGATCTATAGTACATCCATTTCTCTTTCGAATGTTCAAATGTCTGATAGGTGACGTGCCTTTCGATCATGGTCTGTAAAACTTATGGAGGTACTCGCCTTTTCGACATCCTTCCCTACTGACAGCGTCGATCCACCATTTAAAACATTCTTTTTGCAGTATGATAACTGAGCAGATTCCAAGTCCTAGGTACAAGGAGGACTAAACATATACCGTGAGCTATCCTAATGAAACCTCTTGCACATCAATGTTGCAAAGTAACTAAGTAGAGAACTATAAAAATAAGCATAAGCGTGGTGCCCATTGACTGGTGGTGATGTCTGATCTTGTCAAACCGCCCCAATAAGCGGGGTGTCCTGCTGCCTAGCATGCATTGGACGACCCATATCTTACCACCTGAGCCGTTTTCATATTTGGAATTCCACTGAACAGAGCTGGAAAGGATGGGGAGTTTCTTGTCTTTACATGCAGTACTCTCATAGCTGAGACTCTGTATCATCTCACTTTTGAAATCCCCAAATTCGCAGAGGACCTCATCCATAGCTTTCAACCACCGCTTATGAAGCTTGGTAACATAGTGTATCTTTGTGTATTCCCAGTAGTCTGGGAACCAGCCAGCATTTTCCCAATCGATGATACCGGAGATTCTACCATTTTGTACCATGACATTTCTCAGATTCAAGTCCCCGTGTGTAAAGACAATCTCATGGCCGGAGGTGTGGGCAATGCTGGGAAGTGCTCGCGTCTGAAGAGTCTTGTTAAATTCGTCCTCGTCGACGAAGGGTCCGAAGAAGTCCCCTTGTTCTTCATCCCAGGGTTGACTAGCGGAAATACGGAAATCGTGGCAAGGACCACCAACAGCATTGCAGATAGAGTGATCAGGAGCTACCTGCTTTGGCATTGCCCGAATCTGTCGTAGGTATTGTTGCAAGTCCCTTTTAAAACTGTTCATCTGGATTTCGGTAAACGAGTCAATGGAAGCGCCTGCAGGTCGTCCAGGAATTCGAGACATGATCAAGTAAGTGGCTTCCGAGCCGGATACCAAGTCCAAAGGGCGAGGGACAGGTACAGTCGTATGTTTGCGCAGCTGTTGTAAAGTACCATACTCGTTGACTAGCCCTCGGTGCTGCTCTGGGCTACCCTCCTTTAGATACATGCCAAAGGGGAGCCGTTGAACTTTCAAACTGGATGATGACCCGTACAGACGAGCACCAAGACGCCACATGTGAGAGTAAATCTGCATTCTAAGTGGAGGCGGCAGTAGTCGACAGATTGTCGAGAACGCAAGGGCGGCGAAGCCCGATAATTGTCGGTGGATAAATGAAGTGACTGCAGTGGTGATTGGTAGAGGTTGCGGGTGTCTGGAAGCAACGTCTTTCGCAACTAGACTCCACCGTACAGGCTCCGCAAAACTTGCCCATGCCTCCAGCAGGGATGAATCCGGAAGGGCTATGCCGGACTTAGAGTGATCCTCAAAGGTATACCACTGGATTGTTGTCATCTTGTCCAGAATTGAGGGCCGGTCGGGACCGCCAATAAGGATCAGGGAGACGGTATACTGTGTAGATGTCAGAGAGATCTTCATGGACATTGGCTGTAGCCACTTTATGGATAGACTTACTTCGGGGACTGTTGTCCACTGAACCTTGATATAACCCTGTGACAATGCTGCCGCGGCAGATTGGCGGACTAGCCAATAGTTTTGAGGGCCATCAGGACGAGTCCCGTTGTCTCGCAGTTCTCGAGCCACATCATGGCCTAGAAAGACGTCAAGTATCTCGGATTGAAACTGATGGAGTACCTTGTTAGCCACTGTTGGCATGGAAAACAAATGGAAAAGGCGGGATGGCGGAGTGGTCTAACGCGATAGGCGATAGGAAAAATAGCCCTGGTCCTACTAACCTTTGTAACAGACTTATCGATGGAAGGAAGTGGCGACACAATCAAGGGATCCAGAGAGGAACCTTCCAATCCGGTGATGCAGCACCTGGCGTCATCTCGTGCATGAACCTTGTCGACCAGTTCTTTGTTGGGTGATCGTTGTTGGGACCCATCTGCCGATCCCTATCAGAAGTGAATCACAAGGAACAAGACAGGGAATATGACTCACAAAAGGAAACCAGTTCGTTCCAATTAGTGAGAAATGGTTTCAGGTCGGGAATCCCGGCGCCTCTCTTGCGCTCTTGGAATAGATACCGAGCCGAAGCATCAGGGTCAGTCGACAGTTCAAGGTATCGCTCGAGAATCCAGTTCTGAGGATAGCGCAGGTCTGAGTCCTCAATGGCTGATAGGGCCTTTTCCAGGTCGTATGCGTTATCCGTCATCTTGCCGCCTGCTATGTTTTGGTTCAGTGCGATGCGACGCCGCGCTTTATGAGGAAGGTGAAGGTTAGGTTTCTTTGTCCGAGAGTGGGTGAGTTGACAAAAACAAATCCACGTGCAACTAAACGGTGCACGGCCGTGACAGCACCTGTAACCGCGCGCTAGCGGATTCACTACGGGTTAACGCTAAAAATAATTCGACTTGAGGTTTAAGATGCGAGGTTTGATGAAAGTCTTGGAGCAGGCAGGGAACTAGAGCAACATGTTGAAAGCGGGGAGTTGAAACACACTCATCGCGACTATGCGTTGGGTTTTTGACTTGGGATCTGAGGATGATATATGACAATTTTCCCGCTCATTCTCCCACCGAGTAGTTGAGATCAAATTCCAACTGACATGCTTTCGGTCTCCAATGGTCCACATATTCGTTTCCTTGTCGCTTAAAATATCACCGCCCTGCCTCGTTCACACAATCCCTGCAATCGAAACATCTGTGCGTCTGCTTACATGCGTATTTACTTATCCCGCAAAGCGTATTGTGCAGATCATTGACATCGTCCAGCCCTTTCTTATAATCAATCTGCGTATCTTCAGCGTAAAGCGTATTCACAATGTAAAGCGGCCAGATTGTCTATGGTGTTCAGCTAGCTACAAACAACACTTGCTACAGAACACTTACCTATATAATTGCACTAGATCCTTCTCTATATTATGTTGATCAAATCTTCAAGCTCAACCATTTATCTACAACACTATTCAAGTCAATCAATTCTTATACGCAACTCGCCACCATGGTCGCTATCAAGATCTCCGCTTTAGCCCTTTTTGTGTCTTTGGCCACTCTCTCTTCAGCGACGCCTATTGAACCCGAGGCTCAGACTCTTGAAGCTCGCGCCAGAGGCAATGCCGTTGTCTACACTTCCGTTGGGCCATCATGTGATAGGGTTGTTGAGCGTCAGGCATTCCAAGGCGATAACGTTCACATCTGTCATGAAGTGACAAACATCGGTTCCCTTCGGGTTGAAGGAAGGTACGTAAACCATCAATATTCGTCTTTCTATGCTACGGCGTGACTAATGCATTATTTAGTGGTTGCTTGGTTAAATATTGGCAAAATCGCGGATGCAAGGGGAAGGGCGTCCAGGTTCTGGACTCTTACTGTCAATCTGTCCAGTTTTCCTCTTACAGCGTTGATTGCCCTTACAGGAGCAAGGACCGAGGCCAGCAGACATGGCCTTACCCTAACTAGGTCTACGTGTTATATTTGGTGCTGAGAACGTGTGGGGGTGACGTTTGGGGCGATGAGATTGGAGTTTATTTTCTCCGGGCACTCCGGTTTTCTCTCCTGTATTCTATTAAGCCAGAAGAAATAAGAAACATTCCCTATACTTACAAGAGCCTATCCATTGATTACCCGATTGTATGGGACGAGCTGTAGGCGCATTATTGTGGTTGTTGTAGAAATGTGCTTGTGGTTGTCAATTCTTGATCTTGGCAGAAGGGGGAAAAGCCGGATTGAAGCGAAGAGGGCATTTTGTAGCCAGCCTATACCTTCTGTTAGACTAAGACGAAAAGGCGGAAAGAAAGAAAAGTTGGATCCCGGCAGAGGAGAATAAGACTGTAAACGTCTTCAGAGAGATTGTTTGATGGACGAGTTGTAGGTAGAGTAGTTTCAGCTTATCACAAGTTTGAGAGAAGAGGAGGTTCAGGGCAAGGCAAGGCATCCTTCTTCTCAATAATAGTTTTAATATTAGATATTGATGAGTTTATTGTAATACGAACAGGTCAATTCCTTGACTCAAATACTAGCTTGAGCGGACCAGGCGCTGTAGTGAACTGATCCTTCATACTCTTCACGGTCAAATCCGGGTCCTCCCCTGGAGCAAAGGCAAAGTGGAACTTGGATACGAACAGGGCCGTGACTACGCGAAGCTGTGTAAGTGCTAGGCTTTTACCAACACATGAATATCGTCCTTTGATGTCAAGTCAGTCATCGTGAACAGTTCGGGACCGGGATATATACCAGATGCGAATGGCCGAAAGGACCGGCTATCTTTGACCAAGTCGGGTCTGCTGGTCCAGCGCTCGGGTATGAACTCATGAGGGTCGATGTAACATCTTTCAGCTGCAATTAAGAAAGAAACGTCAGCAGGGCTTTTTTGTCCATTTACAACAACTTTCTGCCGAAGGTTATAACTCACATCGAAAAATACTATAACGTGGTGATACAATCGTCACGTCACCTGGGATGAAACGTCCTGCTATCGCCATCCCTTCTGGTGGAGTGTCCCTGTTCCCTCCAGTCATGATGGCAGGGTAGCAGCGCATAGTTTCATCAATGATGGCGTTCAGATGCGGTAATTTCTTCAATGCCTCTCGGTCTGTGACATCGATTTGCTGGAGCTCTTCGTATAGTTTAGACTGATGTTCGGGATGTTTGGCGAGCAGATAAAACACCATCGTCAGTGTAGGGCCGGTCGTATCACTGAAAAGGATCAGTATTGTCTTAAGGGGTGTGAATATTGATATCACAAACCTGCCTGCAATGATACCAACAACTGCTTCGCCAGTCAGAAGGTTCTCGTCTTTTTCTACCGAGTCATTACAAATCGAGTCAGATATCAAATAAGATGCGATATTCGTGGCTCCGTTGTCGTTCTGGCCAAGGTTAGTCACAACCCTCGTTGATCAGGTTGTAGGCTGAAACTTACTTTGATACGGTCTTGCAGACGCTCTCTGCACCAGTTCACTGTAGCGTGCCAGTCACGCACGAGCCAATATCCTTTCAGATACTTGAAGCCTATCTGTGCCAACCACGGCGTCATTTGGCATGGCCCTAGAATCTTCATCGCACGACGGAGATTGTCGACGGCCCAATGGCTCCCGCTGCTGCTGATCATGTCGAAGGATTCAGACAGCATGAACATACCCATCACGTCGAATGCATACCAGTATGCCATATCTCTGAACGGGACCACGATTGCTTTAGCAGCATGAGTTGCGATGAGCTTTTCCCATTTCTCTGCATGGTCAGCGATCTGGGACTCGTAGATAGGAAGGTCTATGTACGGGGCATTGGTCAGCAGTCAACTTCAAAGGGCAAGATCAAACCAAGGCCGTAACACACTCTTGGCAGAGACAGCTTGCATCCAGATCCTGCGGCGTGCATCATGGAAAGGAACGTCCCGGAAGTTGACTAGACCAGCTGCGGGCCACAAGAAGTCATAGAAATCAGACTTGCGCGTTTTACTTCCGGGTCCATCAATTTTTACAAGCGTCTCTGGATCAAATATGGTTATCTCATTTGGGCCTGAAGATTCAAGAAAACGTATTAGCCGGTATAGCTTTCATCGGAGGTGGGTAACAACCTGTGCGCACGAAATCTCCGTACTGCTTCCTCATCTGCTCCAAGAGCAGGTGGTTCTTCGCTCCGACGCAGTTGGCGCTGTGCCACAACTTAGAAATCGCAGCCAGTCTCGGACCAGGGAAACTCTTCAATCTATGGAAGAAAATCCGATATACGACAATACTAATCAGTAGCGACAAGGTGAGTATTGACATAAAGTATAAGACATTGATGGCGTTTCCCATATTACTCCCAACCCCCCACAAAGTTTCAAGACCGTAGAGAACTGGGAAAAAGCATAGCCAGGTTTCAATGATGATGGGCGCCTTCAGATGCCATTCGCCTTTGCGCAGGATTAGGTGGTGGACGGCAAGTCCAGCGACTACGGCGGTCAGGGCGCGAGAGGTCGCCGCAGTTTCGAAAATCGATCCATTGTAAGAACTGAACAAATTCCAAGCGGTTGTCTGATCGAATGATACCATTGTAACTGGAGTCGCGAGATTGTGAGAATGATCCATAGAAGTTTACGATATCAAAAGAAGTTTTAGCCGTGAATGGGTAAGGAGAAATAACATCTGCTTTGCATTTTCGCAAGTATGATAATCCCTTGCTTTTGTAAAAAGCCGTGCGGCTTACATCAAGGTGGATTCTTGCGAAGACAGGTAAAATACGCAGAGGAGGCTTATGCGGTGGATCCAAACAGTACTAGCGGTGGGGCGGCGCCGCTGCATTTTAACCCAGATACGCTACAAATACGCTGTCAATACGCTATGAATACGCCGCAATATCGTTGAATACGCTACACCAATCTGACCTTGAAACCATGGAGTCGAGACTAAGTCAGGACATGCAGCTAGGTTGTCATATATATATGGCACAAGCCGCACCTATCGTTGTTGAGTTGTCGTTCGCTGGTATTGGAGTCTTCACCCCAAGCTATATCTTTGCCAAAATTCTCCGTTCTCAAAGCAGTTCTTGCATCGCAGGCACGAACAAAACCTTTATTAGCTTTCTTTCACAGAGAAGTCAATAGGCAGAGTCCTTTCGAGTTGCGAGCCTTACAGCAATTCGATTATGACCCCCACCAGTACGATGGCCCAACTGACGTCGGCCTTTCATCCATTGGAAGAGAAGACAGCCTTCGGATCTAAGAATACCCATGGCTCGCCGATAGTCGTAGCCTCCGAGGCTCGCATCCCAGACCGCTCTCGTTTCTACGCAATCAGGGTGTTCTGGGCATTTGTCAAGAGCGATATCTTTACATTCAGCACCCCTGGGATTCTCTTTGGCATGACTGGTGCTCTCTCCAATAACGAACTACTCGATGGCCCTCACTCGCATCCAATCGACATACTCGGCCGTTTGCCAAAAGTTATCCTCTCGAACGTCTTCACAATTCTTTTGTTCAACTTTGCCAATCAACGCTCACCAGCTTCGGTTCTGGAAGACAGCATAAATAAGCCGTGGCGGCCAATCCCATCAGGAATGATCACCCCGGATCAGACTCGTCGAGCTGCTCTGTTCGTTTCGCCCATCGCACTGGCTTGCAACTACAGCATGGGTGTGGGAAGCGAGGGACTACTCATGCAAGTCTTGACATTTTACTACAACGATCTTTGTGGCAGTGACGAGGTCGTCCGCGACGGCATCATCGCAGTGGCTTATGCAGTTGTCAACACCATGTCTCTCAAGATTTGCATCGGACCTGAGAACACCGTGAGCGCGCAAGGAATGATATGGATAACAGTCATAAGCGGCATCATCCTCACGACGATGAGCGTGCAGGACCTCAAGGATCAGGAGGGTGACAAGGCCCGCGACCGCAAGACGCTGCCGCTGGTGATCGGGGACTTGCAAACACGCATCATCATCGCCTGTTCCGTGCCCTTCTGGAGTGTGCTTTGTGCGAGCTTCTGGAATCTCAAGCCCGGTATCGTGGCTTGTCTTCCCCTTGCGTTAGGGGCTGTGGTTTCCTGGAGAGTCTTGGTGAAGCGCACGGCTCAAGATGACTCGAAAACCTGGAAGTTGTGGTGCGCTTGGCACACTGTGATTTATTTTATTCCACTGACCAGGCTGCTCTCTCAAAACTAAGACTCAAACCCATCAAAGTTCATTAAATACATAGGAGGTAGATGAAAACCGAGGGAAAAAGAAGTTGACGTCTCATGCTTTCGCTCCTCTATTGTCCACATGTAGCCTCAACTTTGCACGCTCAACTTCTTCTTTATATCAGCTTCAGGCTTGCAAATTGCTCCACCATGTCCCCGGAAAGTCTGATCTGTTCATTATTCCGATTCGTCCGTACAACATAGTAGTTGCAGGTGCCCAGCCTACAAACATAATGCCAACCACCAGGATTTCCACTATTCTGACCAGTTACCTGAGATTTGCTGGATCGGCCGCAGTGACATAGTGGATTGTTAGGAATATTGCCTCTTTCATCTACAAAACCTAAGAACTTCCCACAGTTCGTACACTTGTCGTAGGGACGGCCTGCATTCCCGTTGCGATTCGAACATCTTGTTGTTTTTCGTTGGCTGGGACTATTGCAAATGAAACATATCAGGGGGTGTTTTGGCCCGGGAGCGAGACCCAGATCTTGGACATTGGACGATAAAGTAGTGGACAGTTCGCTAATATCATTGGAGATTTGGGAAGAGATAGACCCGTGTACCATGATTTGAATGGAAAGTTCGATAATTGTAGGTTAAACCGAGTAACTAGAAATTTGTTTTGAACTTCAGTTTCTGTGTAATGTGCAAAGCAATGGTTTGTAGCTGCAGGTATATAACCAAGAATGCCGCACCACCAACTGGAAAGTTCCATTCTATGCCTAGCATGATTGTGAGAATCAGGCATCCTGGTCATCGAGACGCAGCCAAGATACATCTAGGACTATATCCTTGGCGTTAGGCATCCATTACACTTTGTCTCCTCATAACATCTAGCTAATAACAGACAACCACGTAAGTCGCCGATCGTCAACCCAGACGTATACCATGTCTGACAGTTATGAGAATTAGGTGCGTGGGTACAGTCGAATATGCGAAGGAGGCCTCACCACATGCGGGAGGCCGACCATCTTATACCCCGCAGTCGCAAGCACAAGCGAGCCTCGAAGGTTCAGTACTCACATTTCAGTTTCAGTCAATGGTCCTTTATGCCGACCTACTCAATTTTCGTCGCGACTATCAAACAATGGACTCGCCTGATCGCAGATCCCATTGTAGCATTATGAAGCGACGAAAGAGATTACTGCGTGGAGCCACCAGACTTTAGGAAGCTTTCTTGGCCTATCGGGCGGGATATCTTGTATGAAATTCATGTCACGAAAGTTAAAGAAGTAAAAGAAGGACAGGACTCTACAAATCTGCTTCTATATGCTTGATTTTCTAGGCATACCTTGATTCAAGATTTGTCTCTAGGTTTAACAAAGAGGTTGAAAGTTTTAAAAATATACTGAAGGTACCAGATGATAACATCGTGTCGGACGTGTTAGCTTGCTGTTGGAAGTGCCAAGGTATAATAGAAACATTTCAAATCTATTTAATAAAATTTGAACTATTGCTAACAATAGTTTCGTTTTCTGTTGGTGGGTCATTCCGTTCTCCAAAGATCATTAATTCGTTGGGTTACCTCTGGTTGTTGAGCTTTGAATTGGGCAAACGGCGACAGGGGTGATGTCTCGCAAATCTGTTGGCGGAACGATCAAAAGCGTTGGCCACAATTGGTCACAAATATGCGGTCACCTGTGCGAGGCCTACCGTCATGATGGCCTGACGAGGCATTTTTGGCTGTCTATTGTTTTCAGCTGCGGTCCGTCAACTCATTATTTAAGAAGTGGCTGAGGACTTAAACCTCGAGCTGTATACTCTGAATTACTGTTTGAACTCTAACACAGCCTCAAGTATTAAACTCCATGCCAAGATGGATATCAAAGATGTCTCAAACGAGAGCCAGTACATCGGCTACCTGAAGCAAATTCAGGCCGCTGCAGAACGGGCAGCCCGAAGAAAGGGTCAAGCCGTGAGAGATCACCCCCCTTCTCAACAACTCGTCTCGTCCTTCATGATGAAGCTCATGGCCAGCTCATATCGCCCTCAGTCGACCGAAAACACAATCGCTACCACGCAGGTCCCAGCGCCTTATCCACCTTGCATTCTTTCTGCCAATGACCTGGAACCCATCATGATCTCTGATATGAGACTCGAAACCCATCATCGAGGGAAGAAGATCATGCTCCGCGTCCTCACGCCCCCCGATCGTATTACGGCTGTGATGGCCATTGTGGAGGATGAGAAGGGAACCGCTGTGTTGCTCCAGCTCTATCACCAGCCTGACGAGACTATCGTCCCTGCCACTGAGATCCTCAAGCCAAACATGGTCTACATCCTCAAAGAACCCTTTTTCAAATGTGCCACGGACGGTACATACTCGCTGAGAGTCGACCATCCTAGTGATATTATCCGGCTAGACGGAGCTGACGACCGCATTCCCTCGCACTGGAGGCCATCGATGGTGATCTCAGACAAGAACAGCACTGACATTCGAAAGCAAGGCAACAAAGCTGTACAGGCTAAGAAATGGGCTGAAGCACTGCGACTGTATGTTTCTCACCTCGGCTTGTCAGACTCTGAAGATCAGACCAAGCAGTTGGGCAGCCGATAGCACGTAACTGACAGCCATCTAGGTACTCTTTAGCTATTCAAGCGGGTCAAACTTTGGAAGAGAGACAGCTCGCTTTCCTCAACCGCTCGCTTGCAAACCTGAACCTGGATCGACCGAAGCAGGCCTTGTTGGATATCGAGCAAGCCACCAATCCTGCCATGCCATCCGAAAAGTCACTCTTCCGCAAGGCTCGAGCATTGTATGAGCTCGGTGAATATCAGCAGAGTCTCGAGACATTGGAGAAACTTACACAGTTGTTCCCAGAAAATAATGCAGCCAGCTCCGAGAAAGATCGGATCAACGAGCGACTCAAAGAACAGCAGACAGGCGAGTACGATTTCAAGCAAATGTATAAGCAGGCTGAAATCACACCTCCCTTCATCGACTGTGCCACCTTCTCGGCGCCGGTTGAGATTCGCGAGTCGCCTGACCAGGGCAAAGGGCTCTTCACCACCAAGGCGGTCTCAGCGGGAGAGCTCCTTCTCTGCGAAAAGGCGTTCGCCTATAGCTTTGCTGGCGATGAGCAATCCAGAAAACAGACCAAAATCCTGATGAATCTTGCCACCAAGAGGATGGTAATGGGTGGCCAGGCACAGCTCTTGACCTTGATTGTACAGAAACTGTACCACAACTTGTCGTTGTCCGCTGAGTTTGGAGACCTTCACCACGCCGATTACCGAAAGGCCACGGTCTTGGAGACTGACGGTACCCCTGTAGTCGATTCGTGAGTTATCTTCTGTCAATTTGACTGATATTTCAGCTGAGTCAAGCGACTAACCGAGATTCAGATTCCTGGTAGAAAAGATTACCTCCCTTAATAATTTTGGTGCTCCGAGGACAAGTCGCGAGTCATTCCTCCGGGCAACATCCAGCAGCAAAGATATGACGGGTGGCAAAGACTTCGAGTACACAACCTCGGGCATTTGGCTCCTCGCGTCTCGTATCAATCATTCCTGTGTGGGCAACTGTCGACGCTCCTTCATCGGAGACATGCAAATCGTGCGCGCGACGAGGGACCTCGCTGCTGACACTGAACTATTCTTCTCCTATCGTCTTCCTGTGCCCTTTGAATCTTACCAAGAGGCCCAAAGGGGCTTTAAAAACTGGGGGTTCACGTGCGACTGCGAGCTGTGTTTGCGTAAGAAAGCCACGTCTAAGTCCGTCCTCCAGAAACGCAAGGCATTTGCCGACGACCTCCAGAGGCTCCTTGGTCATCCTGACTCGGGCAACGGAGCCAAGGCGATTCGACTCATCAAGGCTCTCGAGAAAACCTACCCGGCAAACAACGACTGCGCCTTCCGGCTAGAATTCTATGACGTCTACTTCGCCTTCGGCGCCCACCTGATGAAGGACAACCAGCTAAATGATGCAGCCAAAATGATCCTCAAGGGCCTCGAGGCCCTGGGACACAGCATCATTGCATGTCCGCCCAATGACATTACGGATCGGCCACGACTCGAAATCAAACGATGGGGGGTGGCGAGTGACGCTGCGCCATGGGCATTCTACAACCTTGCGAATGTGTATCGCCAACTTGCTCCTGAACTATGCTTGGCTGCAGAGCATTACGCTGAAGTATCTTATGCCATGGTTGTGGGCGAGAAGGAAACCTGGCCTGAGGTGTTTTCGGGTTCTTCGTGATGGACGAGCCATCTGGTTTTCTGCAACTTGTTACTCTGTACTGGTAGCAAGTATACACCAAGTGCAAAGGCTTTGATGCGGTGCTATGAAATGCACCGGCAGTATTGTTCGCCATTAGGGTTGATGCAACGGCTTAAAGCGTTATAACATGAGAGCCTGATTTAGTTGTGTACCAATAGGAGAGTGACAATCGATATTTTGGCTGTAAGGGCTGTCAAGCTAAGACGGGATGCGGGGTATTATCTCTGTAGGTGATACATCACCGTTTTTCAGTAGTTACAGCAACATAGAATAGATAGAGGCTTCCTCTGTGCTTAGCATTAGCCTTGAAGCCAGAGTCTAAGGTGCTGACGCTATCTAAGTAAATCCTGACTTTCGAAACAAGCAGATAACATGATCAATTCGTCACAGTCTCTCAGTGGGAACAGCTCGCTCCGTGCTGGTGTGCCTTGACTCGGGTTGTGAGGAGAGTAGATGAGAAATACAGACTAATTTCTGTTGACGTACTCGAGCTCGACGCTGATGTCACATGCTTTCGATCCTCATTTATTATCCACACATGCACAGCCTCAACTTTGTACACCTCACTGCTTGTCGGCTAAAGTGCTGCCACTCTGCCTCGTCCACACAACCCCTGCAATAAACGCCTCACAGCAACGCTCAGCCACATGGACCCCAGAAAGCTGTGCAGTCACTTCAATCTGACCGTCCCCTCACGTCTTCCTTCCGTAAACTCTCATTTTTCTCACTTCTTTCTGCTTGGGGCCGTTTGGGTCAAAGACAAGTGTATCGTCATCAAGAGTCGAATATGAAGCGATTGTGACGAATTTGGAAGCCGAGCTCTGTGCGGTCAGACAATGGAGAACGTATCTTCAGCTCTAGGCTTCACGGCCAGGCTGAAGCCAGAAATTCGGCTTGCCCAGGCCATCTCGGAGTTCAGCGCCTCGCTCCAAAACAAGAACCAGCGCGCCAGATTCAAGAACTTACACTCACAGAGTCCCCCAAATCCGGACGACATCATCAGGCTCACTGAAGAGATTAATCGGGATGGTGCTAGAGCTCACCGATCTTGGAGGCCGTATGGCACTCGACTTATCGCCATTTTGGAACGGATGCGCCATTTTGCCCCTATCGGCGATGTTCTAGTAGGAGGCTCACAGAACCTCATCGCTTGCGGTGTCTGGGCTGTACTTCGCTTGTCTCTGGAGGTCCGTGTATCTGTATCATCGGACGTCACATTGCTAAACAAGGCAGACATCGCTCTCTTTTCTTTCCTACTTCGAGAATGTCACCAACATGATGATGAGACTAGGACGGTCCTTATCTCTACACAAAGACTTCGCAATGCTGTTTCCCAAGTGTTCGACGCTCCAGTCTTACATGTGCGAGTACACTATCGTCATGGTTAACATCTGTGCTAAGATCGTGCACAATTGCGCCAAGTCTGTCCTATCCCAGCTGGCAGCGTCGCTTACATCAACATTTGACGCCGTTTTTAAGCCCCTAGAGTCAGACCTCGCAACCTGGGCCCTGTCAATCGAGAAACAAGCAACGGTCCTCCTTGCTAAAGCCGAACTTAAAAGCCACTCGTCAATTCTAGACCGTTTCAACCGTTTGCAGATCTCCATGTCAACAGAAACAGCAAATCGACAAATGGAGGCACGCAAGCATCGGCTGCTCACCGCGCTGTGTCCAGACCAGGGCGAATTCAACCTCATCTGGCGGCGAGAAAGAAAGAGAGGCACGTCAAGCTGGATGTATGATCAAGTCGCATACAAAGACTGGCTATCCTCTAAGGTCGGATCCGTCCTTTGGCTCAAAGGCAACCTTGGGTCTGGAAAGACAGTAACGATGGCATCTGCCGTTGCACACCTGACTTTAGCTGCCCCATCCATTGATCCTCAGGGTTAGCTAGACCTTTTTGCGCCATCATATACTTGCTAATCAACATCTCAGGAGTTACCACGGTGTCATACTTCTTCTGCCAGAGCAGTAATCCAAAGACCCTATCTGCCACCAATTTGCTTGATAGCATTGTTGGACAAGTACTGCAGAATCCTGCTATGGAATCTTCCCTGATGTCATTATTGAAGCAGCCAGAGACAATTCCTTTTTCTCGCCTGACCCCCGAGGAGTGCATTGACATTTTGATCAAAACCACACCCTCGACTTGGAGAGGGATCTTTGTACTTGATGGGCTAGATCAGATATCTGAAGAAGCTGCCGACGACGTTTTTTGTCAATTACACCGGCTCAAGGACCATCGCCTTATAAACATTCTATGCTCATCACGGTCCACGTCGGCGTGTTACTCTACTGTCAAGTCTAGATTCGACGAGGTACTGACTCTCTCCATGGAGACTGCAGACAGGTCCCAAGAGATCCGTGCGTACCTTACAGCGGAAATCACAAGATGGAATGCTATTAGACCCTTACCAATAGAGATAGAGAGTTTGGTGGAGGAACAACTCCTCGCGGGGTGTCAAGGAATGCTTTTGTGGCTCTCTCTTCAAATTGAAGACATCTGCCCCAGATACACCCAAGAACTGCGATCGGACGCGGAAATTTTGAATATACTTGGAAACCTGCCCCAAGACTTGCCTGAGGCGTTCGACAAGGCGCTATCCCGGGTGCGCGATGGACCACAAGGCAGTAAGCTCTTCCAGTTGGTCGCATCGGCCGAACCGCCTATGAACATGGATGAACTACGCGTCGCCTCGAATGTTGAGCCGGGAAACACAGCTTGGAATAGCTCAACACTCATTGGCAATGGGAAAGCACTTATTTCGACATATGGGGGAAGCCTCCTCGATATTGACGAAGAAGATCTTCGCGTCAGGTTTATACACTACAGTGTACTCCTGCACCTCACTACCCCTTCGTCTGAAGGGGATACTAACATCTTTCACTTTGACCTCCAAGAAGCTGAAATGATGCTGGGCGCCGTTTGCGTAACATACCTAAGCTACGCTGTTTTCGAGAATCGGATATCTAAAGCGCAGAAAGCCTCCTTTGCACATGTACCTCAAGTAACAGCTAGGTCTGTCATGCCGTCAGAATCATTTCGCAAAGGTGTCAATCTGCTCGCAAAGTACAGGCGTCAGCGAGACCCAGAAGTGGATTTAGAAAGAATATCATACGAGCTGCAGCAGCAAAGATGGAGGATAAGTGACGACGTCTATCTCTTCCTCGATTACGCCAAGGATCACTGGCTCTTACCATCCCGGAACATCTACAGAGACAATCGACCCAGTATTCTTGCGTTGTGGGAGAAAATGATAACGACCCCAATCGTGTCAGATTTACTGCCCTGGAGTACCATAGCCCAGGCGGTAACCTGGGCTCTCGAAAACAACCATGCGAGTCTGTTTCAACACTATCTTCACTCAAAATACCATGAAAATTTACATGTGGTCCTCTCGGCTGCGGCAGACGCTGTTAGAACCGGAGTGTCGCACATCCATCTCGAAGGGGAAGGCTTGGGGTGGCTAGGCCCTCTCTACGTCTTATCTCCAGGGTATGAAGCAATAGTTATGGAAGCCTTCGTCGAGCTGGGTTGCCTTCCCTACAAGTCTACCCTGGCGGTTTCTCCTGGCCTTAATATATACGAACCTTCCCTAGTGATGAGCGCTACATCGTATCTTGTCGAAGGTCTGAAATTATATTCCCAGCGTCCAGAAACCCTGGCATATATTCTCTTTCTTGCCAACTACTTGGATGATCCTAATTTGGTCTTGGTAGATGGGTCAACAATCCTGCATCTCGCCATTGATTGTGGATGTACACCTCTGGCTCACCAATTGCTCTCCAGGGGTGCAGCTCCAAATGAGAGGCAGAGATTAGGGGAACTCACTCCCCTTCAACTTTGTACTAATCGGAAGCTTTTGCGCCTTGCGGAGCACCTGGTCAAATTAGGAGCACATGTCTCCTTCGACAAGTTTGATGAGGAGTCGCCGCTCCTGTTTCTCGCCATCGACGAATCAAACTGGGAACTATTCTCCATCTTACTACGTAAGGGCGGATTCTCGTGTGATGGAATGTATGGCTTCAAGCTTGACACCGCCTGTCATCGTCTCTGCAGGAACCGGTCTGATTACTATTCACAGTTTTCAGAAGCAGCCTTGAAAGCCCTGATCCAGTACGGCGCGAATATACACCTGAGAAATGCAGCTGGCGAAACTCCTCTGCTAATGGCGGTGGAGTCAAGTAAACAGCGACTAACAAAGATTCTCCTCGAACATGGAGCGGATACAAGAGTTGGGGATAATCGTGGAGCCCAGCCGTTGCACTTCGCCAGGAACGCATTCATGGTACAACAGCTCTTGCTTCACGGTGCTGATCCTGAAGCGGCGGCTGGCGGTTACGTTACGCCTCTGATGCTCGCAGCATATCAGGGCCGATCAGAAGCCGTGAGAGTACTTCTCGATAATGGTGCTGACTTCAAGCGTCCTATTGGCAAATTGGATGCAACTCAAATTTTATTTCTAGGTTGGAGGGACCCGGGTGTGCCTCAGTCTTGGGCAACCGCCTTCGACCTCTGCTTGGCAAGACTAGATCAGAAGATCAAGCATCTGCATATGCCTGGCGACAGCCGAGCAAATCAGTCCGAAACTATCCGTCAGGTATGTGAGCTGGTTTCCATCATCGCTCAACTCCTAGAACGTGGAATCAGTTTGGAAGACCACGACCCAGATGCCGTCAGCAGACTAATCGACTCGCTGTTATATCGAAAAAATGATAGGAACGTCACAGTGAACTCCTATGAATTGTTGCAACTTCTGTCTAAGTCAAGACAACCTGACACTGGTGTAAAAGCAATTCCCTAGATTAGCTTGTTGGTATGCTGATAGCTAGCACTGGGTATAGAAGATTTAAACTCGAAAAGTTCCAAGTCAGAGCTTGTAGGGCTACTCTTGTCTTGTTTACAGGGAAATAAATAGAGTAGTATTGCAGCTATCCAATCAATACTATGGTAGGGATAGATACGAATACACAGGAAAGTATATTCGCCTATATATAAGTGGGACGATCAGATAAGACTTTTGATGATCTTTAGACTCCCCACAAGGCATCATAAGTCCCAAAATGTGTATGTTGTTGTGAAATAGTTGCCTAAACGCCTAGCTAACGACCAAATTTTCCCCTTCCAACGCCAGCGGAAAGGTGGGGGGAAGGGGAAAAAGCCGGATGGAAGCAAGGAAAGAAGCGCATTTATGCTGTGCCTAAAAGATTATTCTACGCAATCACTTTATATGTCAGAACTTGGCACCCGCCTTGATATACGATGTCGAACATCCATACAGCATTGAATTACACCACCAGTTGAGACGAGTTGGAGTCCTACACCTTGGCGAAGTAACCTTGTTTGGAACCTTCTCCGATACCCTGCATTAGAAGAGGCAATCGTACGTGAATACTGCCAGGATTCGAGCAAAACAGTAATTGATAGACAGAGACTGGCTGACTAATCTATCAATGCCCGTGTCTATAAATGCAGCACAACTTGAAGGTATAATCTTACATCCTCATACATTCTCGCATTTCAAACCCCTGCATACGAAGATACCGCAACTCATTAATCTCAGTACGTGAACTTGTATAGCAAGAAATACCATTAACATTAACATCGAAAGCCCACGAAGATGGCAGTTTCACCAGAAGTATACACAATAATCTCCCAGAAAAAAGCGCAATATTGCCGCTACGCCGACTCTCACCTCTGGCACAAATTCGACACAATCATGCTCCCCAACGCAACATACTCCTTCCACGAACCTGACGGTAGCGTGATCATGAAAGGCGACCTACCGATGAAGTGGTCAAGCCGTGATGACTGGACCGCGTTCTTCAGTAATGAGAACAAGGATCTGCAGGCTATTCACAATGTTGGACCTGCAGAGATGGAGCAAGTTTCGCCGGATGAGATCAGGGCTGTTTTTCCATTAATTTATCATGTTGGGAATAAAGAGCCTGATTCGGGGTTTCATGGGACTGGGGGCGGGTATTATCATGAGACGTGGAGGAAGGTCGGTGATGATTGGTTTATGGAGACGTTGAAGATGGATAGGCTGTACTGGAAGGTCATCATGCAATGAAGTTACCCTACAGATAAGCAAACGATATGCAAGAGGCCTGGGGGCTTCTTTCTTCAGCGCAAATATAATAACCCTGAGATAGGTGGAGTAAATTTTCTGTTGGCCTTCAATCATCCGGAAACAAATGGACTAGGCCTCCGTTCTGACTTGGCCGTTCGGTCCTCGTCTAAAGTGTACTGAATACCCCGGCAAGACCTTCACCCACCCTCCGTCCTTGTTCATCCCGAACCAGGCCCCTCCTCCACATTTTCTCTGGAACGCACGGTCGCAGTTCCTCCAGTGGATCGTTTGGCCAGTACCGTCAAATGTATCCTCGCTTGTCTCGATAGCTTTGTTAAAAGCTTCCTTGATGAATGGGTGGACTTCCTGAATTCTGTTAATCAAGTGCAATCTTATAATCAGTCGTCAGATCTCACCATTTTCACAGTTTTTACGCGAGGTTGACGGGTGTAACCTTGGATAGAACCTTTGTATCGTGATAAATTTATTTGTTTTACAAATAAAATGAGTTTTAAAGGGTGGAGCACCGCTTGGTGATCTATGCTCAATACGTAACCTCCCACGTGATACTTTTTGATAGGTATCTCTTACCCTGTATCACGAGAGAAAATGGTATGTAAATACCACGGCGATCCTAAGAAAAAGGAAGTAATAAGCAGAGCCTAACTAAACTATTTACCAACTAACTTTACTACTCTAGCTACTAAGTTATGATATCACTTCTATCTCTATTTACTATTGTATATACTATCTATTTTATGTATTAATATTAAAACTTATTGCTTTCTGTTAGTAAATTTCGCGCTCTGATTGGTTCCCTGTTTGTTACGTGGGTTTTCCCCTCAGCTGATTAAAACAACGCACTCTATAATACTCTATATGTTGTTCCCTTTCTCTTCAGCTACTTACTTATGATTAAGAACATAAAATATTCTTATATACTCTACAAAATATGGAACCTTTAACGCAACAAGAATCCCAGATCCGAAAATCGACCTCTCACAGCTATGATAATAATAGACAGGATATCACAAAACCTGTAAGACAACACCGTGCAATGAATCGCACCTATTACCTGGAGCTTGGGCTGAATAATCCCACCTATAGATTAACTGCGAGGTTTGCGAGAAGATAAAAACTGCGCTCTATGAGCCATCCGGGCGTACCGGGTCTACACTGGGATCAGGCGTTGACGTCTTGTGTTCTCAGCCAAGATGCAACCAACATCACGACCTGGTTATGGCTGCTTTGCGCATAAATCACAGCCTGTCCGCCGATACGATACACGCTCTAGCTAATGAGATCCAGCGCTTGGATATAAACAAGTGCCCATTAAATATGGCTACGGTGATTAATCCAAAAATGCGCCCTGAAGCAACGCTCGCTAGGCCGCAACTCTCCGTATTGTATCTCATGGAAAAACCAAAAACGGCAAAGGAAACAAGCATAGGGCAACTTGTTGATGCAAATTGGATCGACCGAGATCTACCAGGTTCGTGGAAGTCTACATGCGATGCTCAGCACGATGGGCTTTGTAAAACATTTCCCAATCGAGCACTTTCATCTATAAGGCCTGCATGGCTTGTAGACGTCAAGCGTCAATGTCTTGTCGCAGCCCCGCAAGACTGCTCTTATATCGCCCTGAGTTATGTATGGGGTAGTCAATCGACTTTCAACACAACTGAGGGTGACCTCATTTACCTCCAGAGTGACGGATCGCTTTCAGGACAATTGACCAAACCTATCGCTAGGACGATACGAGATGCCATGGGTTTAGTCGAGATTTTATCAGAGCGATACTTATGGGTTGATACTCTATGTATTGTTCAGGATAACAAGACAGAAAAGGCACGAGAGATAACAAAGATGGCAATGATCTACGGCAATGCTTCCGTCACGATTTTTGCAGCCGATGGAGAACATGCCAACAGCGGGTTACGCGGCTTCCGGGGCATATCAGAGCCCAGACGTCTACATCAGACTACTCATTGCATCGACAAGGAAGCAATGGTAGTAACAACTCCTGTTCCATCGGGAAACGCCTATGAACCTGGAAACGATCGGTCAATTTGGGAAAGTCGAGGATGGATATTCCAGGAGTACTTCTTTTCCAGAAGAAGGCTCATTTTCAACGGCAACTGTATGCGCTGGGAGTGCAACTCCGCCGTCTGGCGAGAACACGTTCAGCTGCCACCAGAACTCGACTCTATCGTGGCAAGGGTCGTCCCTTGCAGTTTTATCTTGGAAGGTTCTATCCCAGACTTGAGCTTTTTCAGCATCATTTTAAGTGATTATAACGAAAAGCAATTCACCTATCCAGAAGACTGTCTTGATGGCTTTGCGGGAATATCATTACTGTTTAGCACTCAGCTGTGTGGTGGCTTCATGTCTGGCCTACCGATGGCGTTCTTTGATCTAGTCCTCTTATGGGAGCCAAGAGAGCATCTAACCCGGAGGGCTGCCAAAAATTTGAAAAGGGCGAAAGATCTACCCAGTTGGAGCTGGGCTGGGTGGTCTGGCTACGTTATTTTCCCTCATGAACCTAATGATGACTTCATCAAGACGGAAAGTCAGGCGACACAGATTAGCAACCAAGGCACGATACGAACCCGGTTTTGGAAATCACATAAGGCGCCAAACTCCACTGGAACCCCAATTCATGCTAGCATATTTGATTTTAAAGATGCGGCGGATTCGGGACACTTCGACCATGACACAAGCTGGAAAAAGCAAAAGGTTTTAGAGGCTTCAGAGTCGGATTCATATTACCCAGACTCTATCTGCCGTACGCACTTCTACAAGCATGAAGCGTTCCCATCTCATGAGTTTTGGTACCCAATCCCACTCATGCAGCCAGAGGAAGCGGTGCCTCCTGTGGTATCGCCGTATATATCCTCTACAAGTCAGCGAGCCTGGCTTTTCTGTGACCAAGAGCCTTGGAAGGCGTTGAAAGGATATCCATTACTCTCCCTTCGTCAGCGTGATGGGACCTGGGCTGGAACCCTGCGACCACATGACGACCTCGACATATCAGGTCTGACAGTACAAGACCCTAACGAAGCTGTTGAACTGGTAGAAATTGCAAGGGGATATTGTTCAGAAACAGAATGGTCAGGTATCGAGGAGCGTACACATCCAGAAAGGCCCAAATATAGTCATTGGTATGAATACTATACTGTTATGTGGGTTAAATGGGTTGAGGGTATCGCTTATCGTAGGGGGTTAGGCCGTGTCCATAGACCTTGTTGGGAGGCGCAGAGAGGAGATCCGTTTAAGTTCATGCTGGGTTAAACGAGTACTACTCCTTTGATGCATTAAATGAGGTAATCTGGAACCATGGTCAGAGTAAAATTTCGTCTTTTTACCCTTGATCCCCTATTCATTACTTGTTGCTACGTACGCGATCTGAAATGTTGAGGCTATCCTTACTGATAGGATCCGCGTTACTATTCTTGTCTTGCACGTGCGTTCTATGGATGTAAGGATCTGTCGTACGGACGGCGAGTGGGCGGTAACTCCTGGATTAGAGGAGATACTTGGACTCCGAATTGTGATCCAGACTGATCGAGACCTGCTCTAAATCAAAAGAAAGCCTAGGTTTGGGGAGTCAATATTGCTGCGGTACGTTCTGGACACTTTCATTGAAATACTCACTACCGAGGACAGAGCCTTAGTCATCTCATTACCTTACAAGTGAACGATAAGTCGAGCTTAATTGCTCGCTAGGAGGCCGCTGCCGGTACCGACAATGACCGTCATTAAGGAGAAGACTGAAAAAATTGCCGCGGACACTACACAGGGAATGCCAAAAGCGTAACAATGGCGAAGGTTAAAATCATGGACAACGCCTCAGCTCATGTCATAACTATCGCTTTGTCTAATACTTCCTGTTTAAATCGTCAAACTTCTTGTAACCAGTTAGTCACATGCGACTTCTCTACTAATCGGCTTATTCTACCTTTGTCATATATGAAAGATGGCGAGGGGGTTTGGCACAAGCTCTGTTTTAGATTTATTTGTTTCGCTAATAAAAATGAGTTTTCAAGGATGAAGCACCTTTTGGTGATCCACGCCTGACATGTGACCTCCCACGTGATAATCGTCAACATCTTACTTCCCCTTCTCTCCTCGACCCACCAACCAGCTGTGAGCGGTTGACCAGGTCTATCCATGAAGAAAATCCCGGACGTTCCGAACGTCAACTCCCACATCTATCATACGACCCCCGTCATTCCTCATTTCATACCTTGAGCGAGATACTCTTTCGTACCCGAAAACGTCTCTGACTCAGTATAGAACCACGGCTCGTCCGGCATCTCATTCTCCTCCTTCGTGATGATTAGAGGGTTGCCCTTGTAATCGATCCTCAGACCGGGCCAGATGAAAGCGCGCCACATGTACAGCAGGATATTCTCATCCTCCAAACTATCCGCAATATGCGCGGAAATAAGCTCGTCATGCTTCTCGGGAAGAATCGACCAGTGCAATCCAGGGTACAAATGATGCACGGTATGATACCCATTGTTAAAGCACAAGTAATTCAATGTCTTTCCTGTGAAGTTGCGGGCGAAGTTGTACTTGGAGCTCATGTCGCAGCCGTCGTGTTGGAGGAAGTTGAGTGAGAGAATGCAGTACTTTGCGTAGAACTGGGGTAGTAGGGCGAACCAGATCCAACGGCGCCAGTCGAGGAGGAGGAGCACGCCTGTTGTGCCCCAGACGGCAAGCTCTTCCAGCTGACGCTGTCTCACGATGGGACGGTTCATGCGGGCTTGGGCTGCGAAGTAAAGCTTGTCATCTTTGTTGCCGGATAAGACGACATGCCAGAAGAATAGTAGGCCGTTCAAAAGATTCCAGCTATACCGGACTTTCGTTGTGCGCACTGAGAAGCGGTCAGCATTGTAACACTCAGATGAGGGGAAGATGATACTTACTCACATCCCTCGCCTGTTGAGGGTACTTGTGGTGAGACAGATTATGCCCAGGAATAAAAATGGACACAGCACCGCCATACTGCAGCGACAAGCAAACTTGGTAAAACTTATTCCAGTTCTTGGACCAAAATACCGGCAGGTGAATAGCATTATGCGTCGTCACAGCACCCATGAACGACAACTGAAACAGCGCAAGCCATAGCGAGAAGGAGAGTAGACCACCGTCGAGGGGCGATGAGAAGTTATGCCAGGTAAGCAAGAAGACGGTGAAGAACAGCGCAGTGGTGACGAGGCAGCGAATATCCTCGTTATGTCTCAGAAGTGGTTTCTTGTCGACTCTCGACGGTAACGTCTCCGTCGCTACCTGAACGGATTGTGTGCCCGTCATTGCGTTGTTTATGTGATGAGTCTGTGTGCACGCATGGACAGATATATAGGGGCAGATGAGAATTTCCCAAATGTCGCGCTAAGATTACGTGGGATTTATTTACTATTACGGGGCGACCAATCAAATTGCTGCGGTGCTAGTTATGCGAGGGGTCTTTGCTCGGTCTTTGCCATTGGGACCCCACTAATTCTAGGGTCCCCTCCTTATTATCGGGCTGTGCTGTGCGCCTGTACGCGGATACGTCATATGCACTTGTAAGACCACTTGTCAAATCCGCGTTTCTCACTCTGACTGCGCCTCATCCACGTTCCGCAGGAAAAGATGTATCAATTAGATGGTAATTAGTTAAGTCTTTACTGAAGAGTATAATTGACTTTCTTGGACCCTGCCTTTTTCTGCTGAGCGATAGGTCAATTTCTTGATATCTTGCAGAGGGTGTATATTGTCATCTGTCATGGCTTATTATATAGAGTCCACCGTGAGGATACTTACGGATGTGTTACTGCTAAAACATATACGGTGAAATGACTATCTCATAGCTGAGCTACTCATATTATTGGCTGTCAAAAGGAGAGTCTCTCAAACGTGATAAAGCGACGCTTTTAACTGCTTCAGGAACCTTGCGCAAACCATGATTCAAATCCAACGGTCGCATCAAAAATACCATAAAAATGTATCCTCCGCCCAAACTGCCAACAGTCAAGATCGTCGCCGTCATGATGAGCTATTTCAACATTGAGGCATGGGCCAATATGCAACCAGGGGGAACAAAACGCCCGCCAACAGTGGAGGGAACTGCGGGAACTGCCATATCCAGACAATCGACTCAAGATTGAGGGCTATCTGCGAAAAGTGTGGCACAGGATATCATCACATGCAGCGAAACTAACGCCACAACACCGCACCTTCTTAAAGCATGTTAGATGGAAAGGTGTCTTCGCAAACACATATAGACGGACATTATAACCTCGAGCATTGCCTTTTTTCAGATCAATCCACCGTCTTGAACATTCTTATCAAAACCCCAATCAGCTATAACGATGTCTTCTCCGCCTGAAGCTTCTACTCCACCTGCAATCTTCTACTCAATTGACCCCAACACCAATCCATCTACATGGCCCGGATCAAGGGACACGACTGGTACGACCAGTATCTGGAAAGTCGACGTCATATTTATCAACATAAACGCCGCCTCAGACTTCCGTTTCCTCCGTACTGGCACTAATGGGCACGTCCATGAGGCTGTCAACCAAGTCATAAAGCATGTCGCGCGAGGACTGTATAGGATTGTCAGTATGAATGTTAGCGAATATTGCTGTCACGTGGTTATGGCTACTGAAAAGCAGAGGGATGAACTTATGTGGAAGAATGGGTTTCCTTGGGATAGGGATGATGATCCCCAGCCTCCAATTGTTCTTGAGTAGGATTGTTCAGACATTGGTGTGGAACGAAACTTCATGTCCCGTTTACTGAGAGAGGTTTCTGTGTAGGAAAGGAATGTGTGCGAGTATAAATCTGCGGTCAACCAGTCATGGTGATCTGAATTGTGGCTAAGGAACCACCATGTCTCTCCTTCAAGATAAGGTGTTACTACTAAACTTAAACTCTCTCTAAACATCCTCACTCCAATGCTTGCATGAGGTCTTTTTGTTATCTCGACGTATTGTGCCCCTCATCTTCTAAGATTGTCTATTCTCACATCACCTATACGTGACCTCTCTTCGCCAAAGAAAAGAAGTGACTGATCGTAAAATCAAAAAGGAATGAAAACCAGCAAACCGGAGGGACAATTGGACCAAAATGCTTTGCCTCTCTCTGAAGTTCCATGTGGTTTGTTATAGCGCGCAAACAAACAACATCGAGAGTTTCCAGCTGCCTAAAGAGGAAGCTGAAAATGTTCAACATACCTCAACTAACAAACATACAGCCAACAAACAGTCTTAGTCACTAGTTACAACAGGCCATGATCCCGATACGACTCTAGTGGTCGTTACGTCTCATAATGATGCATTATTTTGTTTCCACGCACCGAAGGCTCAACTATGCATGAGCGAACGTAAGTACTCAATTCGCTTTCGGGCTGCATATCCATTCTTCACACAGAACTTCTCATCAGATCCGCCAACTCAGCGATAGGTGTTGTCGACAGCTCCCCAATCGGACGAGATATGTAAACCTCCGCACACAAATACCCTTCATCCTCAAACCCAGATGGATCTAGCCCCCGAGCTTTGACCTGTGCGATAGCATCACTCTTCTCCTTATCAGAAGCAAAGCGTCGTTGCCGAAGCACACCAGGAAGCTTCATTGTCTCCAACCCATGGGCCTTCAAAGTCATCGCTACTTCCTCGTATGATACTGTCCGGATCACAGTGCTAGCCATCCAGATGTTGGTTGACCGGGGAATTGCCGACATTATACGCCCGAAGGTGCGAGAGCCGACGTAGCTGACGCCGCCAGTACATATGATCAAGGTAACGTCCTTCAATACTTCAGATAGACTGGGAGAGGGGTCATGGGTTTCTAGGTTTTCTGCCCAGCCATTGTCGACCAATCCAGTTTCCAAAGCATAGCGAATGGCGTTTTCAGCTTTGTCGAGTCCCAGTACCACAGGTTTGTCAGATCGTACGCGACTCGCGAAGAACTCCTTGTCGGACTGAACTTGCTCTTCTGGACTCAGGTCCGAATCCGCGTAGTGGGCTGTCCATGCCTCCATGTCAACATCATGTCGAATAAGACCTCCATTGATGCCATATGAACAGCAAACGTCAAGAATGGCCGAGTTGGTAGTGTCCTGGGATGCCAGTTGATGAAGGCGCTGGAACAAAGGCTGTAGCTGCTGAGGGATTGTATACTTCAGGGGTGCCAAGGTTGTGAGATAAGCTCTCGGGTCTTTGTCGTTGTATATATCGGTAAAGCTCGCCTTTTGGACGGCTCCTGGCTGTCGCTGGATTACAGTCATTGTTTAATAGGTGTGTAGTTCGTGTAGTGACATAGAGGACGGATGTCTCTGCCGAGAGGCTATATATTGTTCTTGCTCACTGGTGATCCCGTTTTTCTTGTTGAACAGATGGTGACTACGAGGCCTTACACGTCATTGTACAGACAGATATGCAAGACTGATTGGTGGTTTCTTATCTGCCTTCCTGTTGAAGATGGATTGGTGATACACGGTCATCATAGCGGGGTACCGGTGAGTGTCAGATGCCGGTGGCCTAATCAAGAAGTGTTCACATATTCTAGGATTTCTTACTTGTTAACCAAGTTCTACCCCCGGAACGGCCCGATCCAGACAGCTACATATCATCAGATCTTCGACAACCACTTCAAATCCCTCTCCCTCACAACCTCCGCCCTGATCTCCTCCCTGCTCCTCTCAACATCCTTCTTTACCAACTCAGAATACAACTGCTGGATGCGTTCCGTAACAGCACCCCTCTTCCCATCTCCAATGACCCGCCCATCAATCTCCGTAACATGAATCTGCGACGGAAAAGTCCCTGTACAGAACGCCTCATCAGCGCCATAAGTCTCCGTAAGCGTAAAGTCCAGTTCCCTAACCGTGATTCCGTTTGCGCGACACACATCAATGGTCTTTTGTCGCGTGATGCCTTGCATTTGGTTGTCTTTCGTAGGAGCCCAAACTTCGTGGTCGCGCACGATGAAGAAGTTTACTGAGTTGCATGTTTTCACGAAGCCGCGGAGGTCAAGCATTAGCGCTTCGTCAACGTTCATGACGTTAGCGTGGATACAAGCTTGAACATCTGTTGCTTTGGAGATGTGATTCCATTGCTCATCCTTCACATCCGGTGGTCCGCGACGAACCCATGTTGTCGCCAATCTCAAGCCGCGAGATTTAGAGTTTGGATCCACGGCTTTCGATTCGGGAATGATGACAATTAGAGGAAGGCCGATGTTGACCTTTGGGTTTTGATAAGGTGTTGCTTTAAGGCCACGACTGACGACGAGACGAATATGAACGTGCTCATCTTGACCCATGTCGTTGGCGTCGAGGGTTTGGTGGATAAGATCGAGAAGATCGCCCTTTGAGAGGCCGAGATCCATGTACATCGCTTTTGCTGATTGGAAGAGACGGTTTATGTGTTCTTTTGCGAATTGCACACGGCCTTTGTTGGCGCGAATGCCCTCCTTTGGGGATGTCAGTGATTGCGCAGGAGCTTTGGTGGCGGTATTGGACCTACCCAGATGCCATCGCCGATGAGGAAATTTGAGTCAAATACTGAGACCGAGGCTTCTGCTCGGGGGACAAGATTGAAGTCTCCTGTGACGCCGTCGCGCATTCCTACCTGATAAGTGGTCAGTCAATCGTAGAATCGGCATTGAGGCAGAGATTGGACTTACTTGAATGGAAGAGTTCTTCGCATTGGGCACTGAGCTGTGCGTTGAGCCGCCATGGCTGCCTTCATTTTCTGAGCCCGTCATTTCGTTTTGATGATACTGATGATAGTGGAATTATTGAATTCGCAATTGGGATGGAATATGGTTCAATCGCTTTATATCATCCACCTAAAGTACTGAGGGAAATATTATTCCGAACCTTCAACCTTCCAATGCTGTTGACTGACTCGGTCCCCACCGACCAATTCGGTGCTGTCCGAGCAGGTCTCCAAAAGAATAGCCGAACTCCCACTTAGCGTGCAAGATAGGCGTATCATCTGCCCTCTATCTCTCACCCTAGATTGACGTGATAACATGGTTCCCCAATCGTCATTTAAAGTGGATTCGTTATCTGCCCAGAAATCGATAAGAAGGCGGGGTGATGCAACACCAGACTCTTCAATGAGTATAGTCTTGCTCGGTGGCGCCCGAGTAGTCACCTCGGTGGTATCCGAATGACTCGATGTACTCCGAATTGCTGTGAACTCCCCGTTGGACCCGCTGAATCCGGGGGATCGGTAAACTTGACGTTGTACCATGTGGGATCTTTAAAGCTGGCTTGCGCGACGCTCTGAGATCATCTACGAACCTCAAGTCTTTCTCAACTTTTTGATTGAGCTATATCATGTCGTCGCAAGGAAAGGCCAACGAGGCGCCAGCCAAAGACATGGCCCAATCAATCGACTCTCACCAACGCGATGAAGTCCTCGAGTTGACAAAAGCTCAATCGAAGCGTCTTCTCCTCAAGACAGATCTAGTAGTCATGCCACTCGCGGTTCTCAGCATGACTCTCGCCTTCCTAGACAAGGTATGGCCAGCCTTCACGCAGTGATGAACTCGCCACTGACTTCTCCCAGAACGCCTTAGGATACGCCGCCATCTTCGGCATAAAAGAAGACGCGAACCTCAAACCCCAAGAATACAGCTGGCTAAGCAGCATCTTCTACTTCGGTTACCTCGCCATGGAATTTCCCAGCTTATGGCTGATGACCAAGATCCCCATCGGAAAATACGTCGGTACATGTCTCGTACTCTGGGGCGCTTGTTTATGCTTCATGGCTCTCTGCCACAATTTTGCTGGTCTTGCAACAATTCGATTCCTGCTCGGTGTTTTTGAAGCTGCAGTTTTGCCTTGTATGATGATCATTAATTCGATGTGGTATTTGAGGAATGAGCAGCCGCTTAGGACGGCGTTTTGGTATAATACTTTTGCGGGTGTTTTTGGAGGCATTTTGTCTTACGCCATTGGACAGATCAATGGTTCTTTGTCGACATGGAAGGTGAGTACGAACAGTCTCTATGGTGTTCGACAGTCATTGACAGGGGCTTCAGTACATCTTTCTCATCTACGGAGCATGCACTATCCTCGCAGGTGGTCTCGTCTTCTTCGGTCTACCAGACACTCCCTCCAAAGCATGGTTCTTTACCGCTGAGGAGAAAAAGCTCGCAATGATTCGTCTTGCACCGAACCAGACTGGAGTAGAGTCAAAGAAGAAATTCCAAACGTCCCAGATCCTCGAATCCCTCCGCGATCCAAAATGCTACTGCATCTGGCTCGGCGTCTTCGGCTACGCAATCGCCAACGCAGGAATAACAAACTTCAACCCTCTCATCATCGCAGGCTACGGTTTCAGCAAGACGAAGACCGTGCTCATGGCCACTCCTCAAGCCGCAGTTGCGATGATCAGCCAAGCCATCCTGACCACAATTTCATTCTTCATTCCCAACCTGCGATGCGTCTTTTGGATCTTCGGTGCTCTTATGGGTCTTGTAGGAGCTGTCATGGTCCATTCACTTGATGTTGAGACGTCGAGGAATGCTTCGCTTGCTGGTGTTTATTTAATGGGTTTTTATAATGTCCCTTGGGTTTTCTTGTTGAGTTTGAGTTCGTCGAATACGGCTGGTGCGACGAAAAAGAGTTTTATGGGTGTTTCTATTGCCATCGTCTACGGTGAGCTCACCTCATATTCCCATCCATAACTTGTCGTGTGCTAACAGATACCTTCCAGCCGTTGGCAATATTATCGGACCTCAATTCTTCCTCGACAGACAAGCACCTACCTACATCCTCGGCATCGGCGCCATGCTCTGTGCTTTTGCGCTAATGGTAGCTACTGGACTCGCTTACTACTTCCTCTGTGCCATTGAGAATAAGAAGCGGGACAGTCAATTTGGAAAGGCTCATGATGATACTGATGCTGGATTGGAGGCGGAGAGGAGCGATAAGACGGATTGGCAGAACCCCAACTTCCGATATACTTACTAGTCAGCGATAAGCCTGACTTGAGTTAGAATTACAATTGATAGCATTTTTATGATAAGATATTGATGAATCTCGCTGATACTTCGGACCATACCGAGTTGAGTTTCGGTCCGGTGCTGCCATAATTCCGCTCCGCTATGGCGTCAATCGGAATGTCTCCACTTTCTCGGACAGGTGCGAGATTTCTTGACTGCCATTATCACTATACTCAATGAATACATACGGACAATAATTCTTTCCATCCAAAGTCCACATGCTATCGACTCTCCAACCCTCCGTTTCAAAAGCCTGCAGTCGTTGCCGTGCGCGAAAAGTCAAGGTCGGTCGTCTCCGGCTCGTCACTCAGGCCTCGGCTGACCCCGAGATGTTAGTGCGATCTCAAGGTCCCCCAGTGCGCGGCGTGTATAAGACACAATGAAGCATGCAATATCACAGATTGTGTGTTTTATCCATACGCTGTTGTGAAGGCACTGCAGGATCGGATCAATGATCTTGAAGCGCGACTACAAATGGTCCCGACGCCGAATGGTCCTGTAGTTGAGAGTGTACCAGAGGTTTCGCATGATACCCATGAGACGGGGAATTTACAGAAGGAGGCTGAGGAAGTTGGCTTCCTTGTTACCGGAGGGTCAGACTTGTACTCGGGCAGCAAATATGGTATGTCTACTTACTATCTCTACGGCCATCTGCTCACTCTCTGTAGTCGGAAGTGCTGCTGGCTCGACGTTTGCTAGGATCTTCTTCAAACAACTCAGTATAATCCCGACTTGGGACACCGACTCACAGTCAACTGGCCTCGAACAATCATCATGTGAAGCAACAACTGCGTTACCACCACAACCAATAGCCCGATCTCTTCTCAACATCTACATCGCCCGGGTTCACGTTTGGTGGCCCTTTCTCCAACCGCCACACCTACGACGGATTTTCCAACGCATATATGAACAGCCAAGACAATGCACCGATCATGAGAAGTTCACAATTTTCGCCATCCTTGCTCTGGGGAGTAGTCAATTAACGTCAAAGGACAGCCAAACTCCAGCTGCAATGGATCTGAATGACTCAATAGCTTACTTCCAAACTGCACTACGCTTCTTCAACAACTTCCATTCTCACCCACGCGACCTCTTCAATATCCAAGCAGTGTTACTCTTGGCGATTTGGATGCTCGATTCGTCCCATGGAAGTCACAATAATGATTTGTGGCAGTTCAGTCGATACATCATGTCTGCTGCTATCGAAGCCGGGCTGCATCGGCATAATACCGACTGGGGCTTTACAGCTGATGAGCTAGAGACGAGGAATAGAACTTGGTGGTGTGCTTACAATTTGGAAAGGTCCGTACGACTACATCCAGGTCCATTATTTTCCTCCTCTTAGCTGACTTTATGCATAGGCAAGTTGCTACCTTGACAGGTCGAGTCCTCTCGATTCGCGACCATGCCGTCCACGCCATGCTACCAAGCCCAGCTTCTTTTGACAGCCTCACCCCACTCGAAAGTTCAATCGCACCCACTTTCCACAAACACAACGTCGAAATAATTCGCCAGATGATATCGCTCCGAAGAATTGGCGGTCGCATACTCGAATCGATATATATCGCGAGAGGGCCGAACGGCACCGCCATGGACACAAGCTTCCAGCAAATATGCGCTAAGTCAGACGACATCCGGCGAGACCTCGATCTCTGGGAGCAGCAACTCGAAGCCATGTCATTGAAACCGTCTCGAGAATACTCAGAGATGAAGATTGAGTACTGCCTTCTGCAGTTGCTGTTGCATAGGCCGTCGCCCACCTTTATGGTTCCGTCGCGTCAGATGGCTTCGTATTGTTCCAAGGCTGCGTCCACGGCGATACAACATTGGTCTACGCTCCTGGAAGAACATGGTATTTCGGCTGTATGCAAATGCTTCAGGCAGCTTCATGATATTATTCTGGTCGGATTAGCTGCGCTTTACTGTGACTGGTGAGTACCGCGGTCCAGTATCGGATATGTGACTGACATCAAACAGGCAGGCAATGGCTCTTCCCCAGTCGGCAAACGGCACACAGAGAACCCATCGCCATCTAACCGACACAGCAACTTGTCTTGATCTCATCGATCGAGGCATATCCCACATGAAAGCACAGCACCTGAAAAAATACAACGACCTATTCCAAGCTGTGAGAAACAAGGTCTACACCCAGACTTCAACAATAATAGATTCCCAAAACCCCATTTACGACGATAGTATGTACTCTATGGGCGACGGTGTAGAAGCTTATATCAATCAAGTCAGTGAGTTTTTGGATGGTGGTGGATTTAATGTTGATGAGGCGCTTGATGCTTGGTATGATGCGTTGATGGGGGAAATACAGAGTGGAGGGGATTCCACAATGACCTGAGCATTTTTTACAGGGAGGCTGCATGGGTAGAATCCTCATCATTTCCGAAAGGTTATTCTCATTTGTGAATTGACATGTCGTTCTTCAAGGCACATTTCGGGGTCATACAGTGCCGTTATTGGTTAGATTATATGCAGGCCGGCTGGCGAACCATCAATCTGCCTTACAGCTCGACTTGGCTCTGATCTTGCGCTGACCGCCTATTGTAATTTCCAGCTCTCCTTTTTCTTCTTTTCTTTTCCTTAAATATTTTTGCTCACAACATCATTATCGCTGAAGGAATCATTCTTAGCCATGGAGGTCCTAGGTGCCGTTGCAAGTGGTATCACCCTCGCTGCCCTCTTCAAATATACTTTTGAAGCCCTCGATCTCATTCACCTCTACCAAACTCAAGATGGCGACTTTAAACTACTACAACTTCAGTACTCGCTGGAGAAGTGTCGCCTTTACAATTGGGGGGTCGAGATGGGTTTGGCAGACGAATTGAAGCAGAATCTTTTAAGCGAGTGGCATTCCAAAGAGCTGGTTGAGGAAACCTTACGACAGGTCATTATCTACCTTACCGATGGCATCCTTTCGCTGACAAAGCTCACTGACAGGTTATTGCTCTGTTCTCTGATGCGCAGGTCATTCAGAAGAAGTACGGCTGTGATGATGCGATCTCCTCTACGGCAGCTTGGCTGCCTGCACCCGAGGCCTCGCATGGAATCACAAGGGCATTTGGCCATTTCAGGATGCAATCGTCAAAGTCTGACGAAAGTATGTCGCGACTGAAGAAGACCAAATGGGTCATACGTGACCGAAAGAAATTCCTTGTCTTGGTTTCGGAACTCCGAAATCTGATCGACAGTCTCGAAAAGATCACCAACGATCTAGCAGCCATCGCGCGCCTTGAAGAGTGCCTTCGAAGGCGAGTCAATGAAATAAAAAATGGCGATACACTCCTTGGGATCGCTTCGGTGTGGAAAGAATCCCACCCTCGTGTCGCATCAGCAGCATCCACCAAAGCAGACTCCATCTCCATGAGTTCTGGAAAATACGACTTTATTTCGCAGTGGCAGAACTCAGTTGTTAGCGAGGCTTCTGGGGATACCCTTCTTGCTGATGTTGAAGATCTATCGATAACAGAGCTTAAACACTCTGTTATATTATCCAACGAAAAAGTTGAAACACTGGAGAAATCACTGAAGTCGACCTCGGACTCCATGACATCTTTGCAACGAAAGACGAAAATCCTTAGAGATCGAAAGGAAGCACAAACGTATGCTGGAATTTTCATGTTCCTCATATCTGCATCATTCCTCCTTTACTTCTCTCAGGTACAGTCTCTATAACCATATGTTTTTTACTTCACCTCCTTATAAATGCTATAGGTTTTAGACATCCAACACATAAAGGCACTTAGCTGGTCCGCGTTGACTCTTCGGTGTATTCATATCTTGTCATTGGTTCAGCCTTGGATAGTGCACCTTTATTTAGTGTGCACTCGCCACTCTTTCTCCCCCTTTAGAAGGTAACGCTTTATACAATCCATGAAGTCTAAACTTCTCTGGCTAACAGTTAACAGAGAACATAGTTCACATACTATAGACTATTTCTTTACAGACTACCATATAACACTAGCGCTCCGGTTTGCCTCGCTATTTGCGTTATTTGCATGGTATGATGTAGTGATTCTCCTCTGCATCTATTTTCTTTGTTTTCTTACCAGTTCAGTAAATGTTTATTTTACTATTTTATCCTGGCGTAGCAAGCAGAAAAATGTTTAGATTAAGAGGAAAGTTTCTTATTTCCATAAGATATAATTATCGTACTTGGTAATAGATTGTTCAAAGACTTATATATGATAATAACTATGTACCCAGGTATCTCAACTAAAAGATAGAGTTATCTCCACACGAGAAAACACCACCAATGCCATCTTTGTTATTCTCAAACAAATCCAACAACTCAGTGATAGCAGCCCACAAACCACCTGCATTCAAAAACAACGTAACTCCAATCATAGTAACGTTCAAAACCGTAAGAACCGCCTTCTTCCAATTAGAAAAGTAAAGGCCCTTGTTAAGATGCAGCCAGAAAATCGCCGCAAAACCATACGTAAACCAAGGAATCGTCGTCGCACTCGTAATCGACAGAATCGAATCAAAGATAGGAATGACATTCGCGATAACAAAGATCAAGGCCCAGAAACCAGTTACGGACAGAATCCAGGTTACCCAGGACTTGATGCTGTTGTCGGTGACTTGGTGCGTGGAGCGCATTTGACGCATGGCGGTGACGTAGACGTATTTGCAGCCGGTGTGGCCGATGGAGAGAGCGGTCGCTACGACGGCGGGGAGGACGATGCCGTAGGCGACCTTGGCGGGGATCGAGGATGCGGCGCTGAGGACGGGGGATGTTGTGAGGTCGCCGGCGAGACAGTATAGGGCTACGGCCATGGCGATGTAGAAGAGGGTACTTCCGATTTCGAGAACAGCGAGGGCAAACTTGAAGTCCTTCTGGGGGTCCTTCATCTCAGCCATATACGAACTATCCAAAATTAGCATGATTCAATAAATCCCAGTGATTCATGGTTTGACTTACGGGAATGTAAAGGTACCCGCGTAGGAGAACACCACACGCAGACAAGCATTCAAACCATCGCGAAACGTAGGGTTTCCAACAACCTTGAGGTCCTTATGCCATCCTGCAGGCGCAGTCGCCGGCCCCGAAATAGCCAAACTGATCAAAACGATCAAACAAGCGGCAACAACGCTAACAGCGTTGGGAACACCGGCCTTGGAAACGAATTTCATGGTTCGAGGGATGGACAAGATATAACAAGCCACACACGCGACCAGAATCCAGATAACGGTACACGTAGCATGGCTACTAAGCGTGTTCAACGCGACGGAGAGTGTAACTGTAGCTGACGCGACGATGAAAACGACTTGAATCATCATGACGAAGCCAGCTAAGCTTTCAAACCAAGCACCGCCAACAATGCGGGTCATTTCGACGATGGACACGACATTGGGATGTTTGCGATAGAATTGTAGCAGACAATACGCAGCATACCACGAAATTCCACCAATACCCAGAATGGCAATGATACCAGGGACGATACCGAGGGTTTTTATTGTGGCGGGCAAGGACAAGATACCGAGACCAAGCTGATTTGTGAAGAGGATGAGGACGGTATCCCAGCGGCCTAGGGTTCTGTATGTTTTGCCGCCTTGGTCGAAGATGTTTCCCTTTTCGACGGTGCCGGCGGGGACTTCTTGGAAATCTGTAGAGTCGGCTTTTGTTGTTGGTTGTTCTGTGTCATTGTCTGAGGCGCTCGTGTCGGGGGTGATTGGCTCGGCAGGTTTATCTGCCGATCTTTTGAAGTTCATGATGCCCATGGTGGCGGCTGTGTCCGAGATGTCAAAGAGTGTCTATATCGTTCGCATTGACCTTGAAACTCGATAGGTATGACAATCGTAAACAAGAGAGACCACAGGAGAGTAAAAGAGGAAAAATGAGAGAAGGAGAATAGAAGAGCGAGTGCGGAACCTTGACGTTATTAGTGGCCCGGTGTTCTCCATATATTATCACCCTTTTTTTCTTGTTGTTTGACCCCAGGCTAAACAGCTCCGATCGGAGGTTGTGGCGGGAGCTAGGACACCGGGATGGATTAAAAATAACGGGTGCCCCGTAGAGACTTCCAATAGAAGGAGAAGCATTACACTGTTCGCTGTTGACTGTGACTACGGGTATTGTATTGTGTTCCTCGTATAACCCCGTGGGGGCTGTCTTTATTACGTGATAGAGTGTTCTCTCGTCAAGATGTCCGTCTACGGAGATGAGCAAGAACTTCTAAAACGGAAGGTCCCTTATGAAGATTCTTAAATCTGTTGATGCTCAGCTCATCTTTTGATCATTGTGTTGATGCCGATTGGTCCTCGGACACCCCGGCGAGTCCTTCGGGGCGGATTCTTTTAAAAGTGGGACCCTTGCCTCTTGACGTTTTCAGTGGCATTCTTGCACTGAAAATCCTATTCTTCAGTGGAGAAGATTGCGTAGTTGAGGCTCCGTCTTGTCAAAATTCTTGTTCGGATCCGACGTCAACAATTGCCACTACTATCATTTCCATGGCTTTTTACTCAGGGACCTACCAATTAAGCTTCTTCAGCCCTGAATTCAAAAGTTTCTTCTAGCTCTTTAATATCTGACTGATGAAAAGTGGACCTCGGCCGTTTTGTCTTACTCGCGAAGGCATTTCTTTTACGTGATGCCCAGCATTGAAGTTTTCATTTTCCCCCAAGCACTGACATTGTATTATCCACATGTTACTCTCCGATCGGAGGTTGAATTGTGGATTGCCGTGACATGAGGATTACTTAATTAAAATTGCCCTTTCCACGCATGCTTCTACCGCTTGTTGATCCTTGCATTGCCGAGATCGCAGAGTTGGCCGAGACTTTTTTTGTGTTTCTGGAAGGTGATCCGGCCGGAGTCGGCCTATGTTTTGGCGAGGAGGATTTGGTGATGGTGTTGTGAGGTGAGAATGGTGCGACTTGTGTGGTTGGCGGCTTGCGACGGAGGTTTTTCGCATAAGCTTTGACTTATTTTTCGCGTTTCAATCTCGGATATTCGCTTGTACCGTGCTGAATTGAGATGGTCGGATTTGTTAGCGGTGATCTAACTTATGCTTGTCATTTTGGTGTTGCATTCGCTCGTTGTTTGATGATCTGCAGTGCAGGGTAGCATACATGCGCGGTCGCGTCGAGTTTGTTTGACTTCGCGATTGAGTTTATGCATGTTTGTCTTCGGTGTCGCACTCGGTAAAATCGGTGTCAGGGAGCATTGAATTAATTATTGACTTGTCATTATGGTCGCTGGCGTTGAAGGGCTGTCGGTATCGGCAAGTCGGCACAATCCGCGCCGACTCTCTAGATTGACCTCACCAAGCTTGGCGAGGACGGTTATGGATTATCTCAATTTTACCGATGCTGTGATACAAAGCAGAAGGTTATACTGCGACGGAATGACGACTTAAATGAAACATTCAATGTTTTTTCTCAATCTAATAGGCCAAAATACTCTTCTGCGCTGCTAATCAATTATCACCCATGTACTCGGTCGCGATGCATTTGACGCGTTTCGGGTTTATTGAGCCGCGTCCATGAGATGGCGCTTTAATCGCTGCGCAATTGGAGGGAAAAACGGATGTACGGTACGTCTTAACGTTCATTAGCGGTGCCTTGTAGCCGACGTGTGCCATGATCTGGTGAGGAGGCTGACGCCAGGTTACCCCAATGGGTTCAATATACGAATCCGAATCCTACCAAACTTCTCACATCAGCCAGCAATTCAATCGAGCCAATGATCTACGTATGTAACATCAACGGCCTCAGATAATCCGACGGACGTCATCGTCTGATCACGAAAAGTATATATCCTCGTCAGAATGCTATTTCTCGCAATGCCATTCTCCTGCCTCAAAACTCGTGCACACTGAGGCTATTGGCTACCACCAAAATGTCCGAATATCCAACCTACGAAACCCAAAAAGAATGGCGCGAAATCCAATCCTACCTCCCTCAACGTCTACACTTTACACCCGCCCACTCTCCCACTGGAGAAGTATGGCATCACGACGGTCACGCCCTCCATCTCGACCGCTGGCCCAACCCTTCCGCGAGGGTCCGTCTCATCATGCATCATGGAATGGGCACAAACGGCCGGATGATGTCCATGCTCCTAGGCGTACCGCTTCACTCCGCCGGTTTTGAACTCGTCGCCATTGATATGCCTGGCTACGGCTGCACTGTCCCCAGGAAGGGGTATGTCTGGGATTTTAATGATTGGGTTAAAATCTCGAGTGCGTTTGTAGATCATGAGTATGAGAATGATAACCGGCCTATTGTGTTGTATGGTCTTAGTGCCGGTGGGGGATTGACGTTTTGTTCGGCAGGTTTGAATGGTCGAGTCAAAGGGATTATCGGCATGACGTTCATGGACATGCGTATCCAAGCTGTTTCCGACGCAGCATGCCGCAACTTCTTCATGAGTCGCATCGGTGCCCCAAGCAGCCTTCTCATGAACACCGTCGGCCTAGGCTGGTTCTCGCTCCCAATGTGGCTCACCGGCCGCATGTCAACACTCGTCAACAACGACCAAGCATTACAAGTATGCTACAAAGACAACAGATCAGCAAACGCATGGATAACCATGAAATTCATGGCCGATTTCATCACGTATAAACCGGCGAAGGAACCAGCGGAGTTTGATGTTTGTCCTATTTTGTTGACGCAGCCTGCTGAGGATCGATGGACGCCTTTGTGGGTGTCGGATATGTTTTTGAAGGATGTTACGAAGGTTAGTGTTAAGAAGATTATGTTGGATGGGGCGGGACATTATCCGCTTGAGGATCCTGGATTGATGCAGATGAGTGAGGCGATTGTTGCTTTTCTCAAGGATATCGAGGACAAGGCTGTCTGATTTCTATAGTATCGTACATGAAGGTGTTGTATCTAATGTTTCTACCTCTTCTGTATGAGTTAATAGCAACCTTTTCCTTCGGGCTTTCACATCTATACTCTCAAATTGCTTCTTGATCATCAGCATATCAGAAAAATAATGCAACCCGGCAAAATCAGTCTGATACTCCAGCAATAGCTCCTGCACCTCAGCATACCTATAATCCTCCAAAACTGCCAGAGCTACAGTCAAAGGCGTCGCAACAGCTGATGCAGCAATCGGTCGATTCGAACTTGCATCCTGACCAAGCACAATTATATCATCAACACACCCCTTCGCCTCCTCCACAAGAACAGGATCATCGTCATAGCTCCGTATGATTCTGTTCAGAATGCTAGCCGTGGTGAGCATCGCTGCATTCGCAGTATGAAAACGAATACCCAGTCTTCTTTCTTGCGCCGTAGATCCAGATTCTCTAGCTTTTGCAACTGCTGCCTCTACCGCTTCGATAAGTCTCGGCTGTTCAGTTTGTATCAACGCATAGGTACACCGTATTTGGTAAAGATATTTATCAGGATCACGGATGAAGCAGGACACTTCGCCCATGGTTCTGATATCCAGAGAGGCAAAGGATGTGCCGTCGCCGGATTTGAGAGGGCGACCGCCTTCGATCAAGAGGGAGAAGGCTTGCCAGAACCAGGGACCTAGTTGGACGTTTGGATTTGTGAAGCTCTCGAGGACCTGTAATAATGTGTGAGCACTGGGCTGTGTGAGTTAAGAGGGGTACCTACCACCACTGCGAAAATGGTTTGCATGAATGGACGAGCTGAAGGGTCGAAACTGGGGTTTTGAACAGCACTTTCTAGCAAGTTTCCCAGCATTTGGTAATGCTTCGCGTTATCGTAACAATTTCCCAGCCATTCCTAGTCCCATGTCAACACAACCTCTGCTTACAGCCGGAAGAAAGCTTACCTGGCATATGGCAATAAGATAAATCGCACACATATTATCCAGCGAATTCGCTTGTTTAGGATCACTTATAGCCTCTCTCAACGTCCCCAACGCATCAACATATCGATCCAGCGCCTTCAGCTTGGGCGCAGTTTTATTCCTCATCGTCCCAAATCCCTCCACAAAGGCACTTATAGCTGCATCAAGAGCTTTACTTGATCCAACATGTCTCGGTAAATCCACGACGAAAGACCCATATGTAGAAATTTCATACGCTGGGTCATTTAGGTCAAGAATATGAACCAAGTTTCCTGTTATTAGTGTCTTTTCATTGCTTGGTGCAGCAGCTGGCGCAGGATTGGCTTTCGTGATGGTTAGGTTCTTCTTGGCGGCTTGAGAATTCTCGGATTTAAAGACAAATCGTTTTACACCGACTCCTGTACAGGGTATTCCGAGGCGTGTACAACGTGAACATGCTGGTTTGGCTTGATCGCACTGATGTCATTGGTAAGCGGGGATTATACGGATACGCGGATACACAATAACGTTACCTTTTTCTTCTGCTTACGACATGCGTCGCAGCCTTTTGCAGTTGGAACACCAGCCATCGCCTTTACTGTATACTAATATTTGGCTAGGCTGGAGTAGAGAAATATCCAGTTTTATTATTCTTGAGGGATTCAAGATGAAATGACGAAGAGTCCCCGCCTCTTCCGGACCAATCATGTGGATGAGTTTGTGAGACGTGGCTTATTAATGGGGATGAGACACCAAGACTTCATCGCGATTCATCAACTTTCTGTGTCATAATCTGGATTATAAATGCTCATTTAGATATACCTTCCTCTTAAGAATCCGAATGCCGACATATCATCAGATGAATTGACAGTTCCGCCTCATCCATTGCCCCCAAACAAAGCCCTGTCAATCGACTCAAGCCATCAAGAAGACGAAATAAGGTTCGCCACCAACAACCGTGTCATCTTATTTTCCTTCCCCCTGACGCCCTGTCTCGCTAAGACAATAACTTCGTTCAACGACAAATCAAATGATCCGCATCGTTTAAGCACTGCCCCAGACTAAACCCTATTCAGTGACTCACTGGTGGAACAGCAATCTTAATAAACATGGAGCTAAACGTAGATCTGGAGGGTGATGATGCTTTGAAGATGTGATTGACGGAGGTTAATTGAACATCCGAGAGTCCTGTATGGGAATTCACTGTTGGTTGTTGGTGAAGTGTTCGGCATCTTCGGTTATGTTGGTTGTAAATGACACGACTCCATCGCCAAGGATCATCACGGGCTAATCCTAAGCGGCCCCTGGCTCTCAAAAGGCGCAGCACCAAAAGAACCAATCGTCATAACCAGATATAGAGAAAACAGAACCAACACATCCACTCAGAAATAATAACAAAACCAACACGAGCTGCTGGTAAAAAGTTCCTCAGATCATCAAGCACAGCCCCAACAAATCACAATCCTCATATCGCAAGGCTAGCCCCCCAATCCTTTAGAGGACCCTAGCCCACGTGCCAAGCATAGTAATGAGTACTCCTACATGCCAAGCTTGCTTGGCTCCGGGGTTTGATGACATGGACCAGAAATATGACTGTCCCTCTTTCCCCCTTTGCGCCCTTTTCTTCGTGTGCTGTGTTTGTAAACATTATGACTTTGAGGTGATTGAGGCTCTGTTCAGCTGTGTTTTATCTTTCAGCTCGCCTTATACACCCATGACAGCAGTATACCTTTTTGGTTAAGTCCCAATGACGCCCTTCAAGCATGTTGATCCCCTGGTGGGATCTGCAGCTGGCGCTTTGTTCTTTACGACTCTGTCACAATATTTCGCCCCGAGAAGATTGGAGCTGTGCTCCGAGATAGTCTGTTGGGCTATTCTTCCTTTTGTTTTTAAATATTCTCCATCTTCCAGTTCGCGTGCAGAGCCTTCATTGGGATTGTTGAAGGAAGCTAAAAAGCCACATCAGTCGTTCATATCGCAATGGCTTGTCGCTTTGGGTGTCACGGCAGCTGCGTTCTATAGGGCTGAGAGTAACGCGATTGGCCTTTATGTATGTTGCCCTATCACGGCAGAACATGGATGTGAACGATTTGCTAACTCGACTCTAGCCCCTCTTGACGCCCTTGTTACTCGCAGTACACACATACCTTGTCTCCAGCACATCATATTTCGACCCAAAATCACCATCGTCTTTCATCAACACAACCTTGGGATCGGCCTTAGCGGCGATCCCTGCTGTCTTATCTTTATCGAATGGCGATCTCTTCGGTTTTGGGTCTCTCATCTCTCTCATTCTAGTTGTCTCTCTACTCGTCATTTACAGCCTTCTAACACCGGGCTTCAAACTGCGAATCTCTTCCATCGACATCGAAGCCTGCATCGAAGACTTCTCGTTTCGGATCGTTGGTCTACTTTTCATTGCTATTGCTGCTCAGATTCTCATCCTCGGACCACCGACTAGTGATATCACGACTGTCTTGATGTCGGGTTCGTTCAAGGCCGCCTCGTGGTTCTTCATCATTCAGGCCGTACGTGATCCCCCACCACTTCGCAGAGAGTGACTAACAAGAATAGGCAAACCAAACATCTTGGTCTATGGCACCTACTGTTGGAACGTTTGCTCTCGCTTCCGCCAGGAATCCCTTCTCACAATCATCGAAGCTGCAAGCCATTTCTCATATTCTTGTGTCCGCCCTCACTCTCTTCCAGGCGACTCAACTACTCCCAAAGCAGGCCAAAGGCAGAGCAGCACTTTGGCTCTTCCTATCAACGTCCATTCTTCCTTTTATTTATAACGAGTACATGATCCACCAGGCCCAAAGCGCAGCGCTTGAAGCTTTCAGCGATAATCATCCACATCCCGTCGAAGTGCTTTCCCTTCAAGCGACCCAAAATTTCGAGAGTTTGTTAAGGAACCAGTCAAAAACCTATGAAGCTGCCGTCAACGAATACAAGCGTCGATATGCGATCGATCCACCACCAGGTTTCGACGGTTGGTTCAGGTTCGCGCAAGCACATCAGTCACCGATCATCGACGACTTTGACATAATTCACAACTCAATATCGCCGTTTCTGAAAATAGGTGGCCAAGATGTCCTCGATAGAATGGTCAGATTACACACAACACCAGGTAATGAAGTTTGGATGTGTGACTTTCACGGGAAAGCCGCTAAAACAATATGTCGACACCCGAATCGTCGCTACGACAGACACTACAGTCTTCTCTTTGATAGGCTTCTGGGAAACCTTCTTGGAGAACTTCCCAATGTCAAGTTTCTCATCAACCATTTTGACGAACCCCGAGTTATGCTTCAATCTCGGAATGCCGACGAGGAATTTGGTCTCACTGATATGTCGCGGCAGTCAACGTGGGAGACTTTGACGAGGTCCTGTCCGGTATCTCAACCTGTGGTTCGGGACCCTCAGAGCGAGATCAGGACCTACGGTTTACCTTTCGTTAAGAATCAGATGTCAGAGTCAGATCTGTGTCGACATCACGAGTACAAAGACTTACAGGGCAACTTTGTTAGTCCGAAAACATTCCATCTCATTGAGGGCATGGTGCCAGTGTTGTCGACTGGTGCATTCTCTACAATGGGCGATATCATATTCCCGAGCCCAGCCTACATCGAAGATGAGTTTCAGTATGACGAGACTCGCGATCTGGCGTGGGCGGAGAAGAAGAACAATGTGTACTGGCGAGGTTCAACGACTGGAGGATATGCGCAAGACGGTCGATGGAGAGATTACCAACGACAGCGATTCGTGACACTGGCGCAAAATCTTGGACAGCAGCACCACTCATATCTACAAAGACAAGATGATTCGATCAGCGCTGTCAAATCAAGCTTCCTAAACGGACGACTTTTCGACGTCGGCTTCACAAGAATCTTCCAATGCGACAGGAAATTCTGCCGAGACCAAAGCACATATTTCGACGTCAAGTCCTGGGCCGACAAAGACACAGCCCTCGGCTCAAAATTAGCCTTCGACCTCGACGGCAACGGAATCAGCGGACGATACTACAAGCTATTATCTTCAAAGTCATTACCGCTGAAACAGACTATTCTTCGGGAGTGGCATGATGAGAGGTTGATGCCTTGGGTGCATTATATCCCACTCAGTCAAAGCTTGGAAGAACTTCCGGAGTTGGTGACTTTTTTGACGTCAACGGAACGAGGACAAAGATTGGCGGAGGGTATTGCGAATCAGGGAAGAGAGTGGATGGGGAAGGCTGTGAGGGAAGTCGATATGGCGGTTTATGCTTATCGGTTGTTGTTGGAACTCGCTAGACTGCAGGATCCGGAGCGAAAAGCAACGCAAAGCGAATGATTTGTGTTAAAATGGTGGAAGCCCTTAGCACTTTCTTATACTTTATTACATACATATATAAAAAGAAATGATAGATTAGTACAACCAAAGCAATGATCAATTTCAACGTTGCGATGCTAATAATACTGCTACTACAAAGAAACGTCCTTTCCCATAACTGGAATCCTAAAAACATTCACCCTGGGGATAATCGTCAACTCTGCATTTGCACATACCCGAATTGGTCGCGAAACCCTCTGGTTTCCAGCAGCAACGCTGGTAGAAGCCACAAGAAGAACAATCGTGGTAGCTGCAGCAGTCGTCGCCTTCGCTGTAACCGTATCGCTTACATGCTGCCAGGGCGCGGTCGCTCATCTCCACGGTCTCGTTGGCCAGGGTGGTGCTGACCATGGTGAGGAGGGCGATGATCCAGAACTTCATTGTCTGGAATGGTGGATTAGTATGAGAGTAACGGAAATAGGGCAGTATGGCATACGAAGGATGTATCGTGTTGGGATAGTAAAGCTTGGTAGTTTGGTAAGGATTGAAGATGTTTGATGGAGCTTGTATGACGACGGGAACTGACAAAATTTTATATCTCGAACATTCCCATCTACCCGAGACCAAAACTGGTGGTCCGATAATGGGTGAACACTTTGTGTCGTCATAACATTGAACAACCGCACTGACACCACCCACTGGAAGATCACCGTGATCTACATCGGCACGGGCCGATCTTCAACTCGAACAGGCATTTTCAGCTCTTCAACGCTCACCATGCCCGCTGAAAGTGACAGCTCCCGGCTGATTAACTGGACGCCTTGACATTTTTGTATTGTGATAACTCACCTATACGTATCAATATGTCGGTTCAAAAAGTCCGATTGGCTTGAGAATAGCTGGGCCTCAAAGTGACGTTGACATGTCAGCTTGCTGACTTGCGTCACAAAGCAGACAGACTCGGGCTGGCAGAATATCAGCTGTGACAGAACATGTCTTCAGTATCTGTCATTTCATCTATTAGACTTGACATCGGGAGATAGAAGGCAGCGATAGAACGTCTGGACATCGCTGGGACTTGGCTGTCTTTTCCTTCGGTATGTCACTACCAGTGCGGCAGTTATTATCGAACCGATTTAATGTAAAGACTCGCAAAGAGAGGCGAAGCTCCAGCCAGCCACAAAATGCAGACACAATTGCTCAGCATTGAAGAGTATAGCTAGTTCTTATTCAGGCTAAAGGGCAAAAATAGAATTCTGTTCTACTTCAGGATGTAACCTCGATTGACTGCAGTAGGCAGTATCTACTATCTCCTTTTGCGGCGTCGGAAACATGACATCGCACGGGTTAGGAAATAGCAAGCCTATTTGGAGTAGGTAGCCTTGAGAAGGTGCAACTATAGTTGCTAACAATATATACATTAAGGAATAGAAGTATCAATAGCAGATATGAACAATGAAATACCTGACGACGGTGGACGATTGATAGACGCTAGGATCTTGAGACTAAACCTCAATCTTATATGCAACGTCGACACCTAGGAAGCTCTCACTACCGTCAGCTGAACTAAAAGAACCGCAGAAGAAGCTTGCTTGTTCCCAAACTACACCCCTGCAATCCGAGCTCAGTGAACACTGAAACAAGCATTGTTCGAAACTGGTGACATCGTAAAAATCGACGGGGAAGTAGGAGGATGGACTGGTGTTGCAATCAAAGTTGTAAGAAGCGCCGTTGGGTGCCATGTATGGACTGACAAGGTCCTTGCACTCGTGGTTTCGGACTGGGACTGGGGCTGGGGCTGCGCTGGTTGTGGCAAGGGCAGTTGTAGTTTCGGCGGTGGTTGCCGCTTCGGTAGTGGTAGCCATCTCAGTAGTAGCAGCTTCAGTGGTGGTGGTATCATGAGCAGTGTCGGAAGCCTCAGTAGTGGTGACGCCTTCAGTACTTGCAATTGTAACAGAAAGGGTTTCGGAGACTTCAGTCTCAGTAGTCAAGGTTGATAGAAGAGTGGTAGTCGGCTCGGCAACCTCGATTGAGGTTGTAGCGGTCTCAAGACCTGAAGAAATAACAGATGATGAAGGACGGCATGGTCCAGCATTGACGCCAGAGATGACAAGAAAGGCGACGGAGCCAGCGAGAACCGAAAAGCGAGACATGGTAAAGATTGACTAGAGGTGAGCTTGAAAGAATTGACAGAGAACCCGAGCAGGACTTTCTCCTTTTTATAAGTGCGTCCCTGACAATCTAATTTTCTTTGATTTTCCGATAAAACCCATCTAAGCTGTTCTGTACTAAGTTTTCATTCGCTGACAACAAATCGTATTGGACTAGTGATGATAGCGTCTCAATAGTTTAACATCGTGGGCCAGACTAGTGACAAAAACAAACATAACCCTGCAATGGCAGCGAGAAAAAGGAGAGTCGCTTAATTTATTTAGCTGTAAAAATCAACTTAATTCATTATACTATATTTTGCCAGATACCATTGAAGAACAAAGCGATTGTATGATCATCGCGCTCTGTCTCCGCCCGAGCTACCAACTTGTATAAGCCTAATGCTATCCATATGTTATTACCATCAACTACCGAAAGGCATGCAAAGTTGGAGACGGCTAACCAAGTCTTGCCATTGTCTAGAACGGAATATATCCCGTATTCAACATGCTTTTTAGCTTTCGGGATCTGTTTGGCCAGATGGATCTTTCTTGTCGGTCTTCTTAGATTGGGGCGACGAACCAAGGAACCGGTTGAAAGCTCCAGGTTGCGTCTGCTGGTTTCCGTCCGTGCTATCCTTGCTCGGTGCAGCGAGAGGAAGGAAAGGTACGCTCGGAAGGATAGAGATAACAATGTCAAGAAGAGTCATTTTAGAGTGAATTTTGACCTAGTCGAGAGACTTTCGGTATGCTCTTTTGTAAAGTGAGAAAATAAATGTTTTTTATGAGCGATCTGACACGAAGTTAGGCAGCAGTGGTTGTTTGCTATTCACGTGCAGGCTCATCGACGTCAGTCTCTTCTTTTGGTCGGAAGAGTCAAGGTGGACACTTATGATCTGATCCAGGCATGTAAGCGAGTCTAGACCTGGCTATGCATACAGTTGTCTACAGGGTCCAAAGAAACGCCATTGATTATATCTGGTATATCGGTTCTCTCTATAGTATTCCCACAATCCTTTTGTCTATATCTCACCTCCACCGTTCAAATCGACGAACAAGTTCATCACAGTCCACCTGCGTCCCCAACCCCTTCCTCACCATCCAAGCCCCCTCCTTTCGCCTCTCTTCTGCAACAAGCTTCCTCGTTGAACCATGCACAGCATCCCTCAAGCTCTTACTTATCCCCGCACTAGGATATGCAAAAACTCCAAACATACCAGCACCGCTCTTGGTGACCAGACTCACTGTACCCTTTCCAAATCCCTTGACAGCTCCTAAAGCACCTTCTTTCTTTGCACCTTTGTATGGTTGAATCGCCAAGTCACCGATACCTTCGATGAAACCCCATGCGAGACTCTTACCGCCTACTATCATGCCGCTCTTAGCATCGGTGACTGGTCCATGGTCACGGGCCTTATCGCCGTAGAGTTGGGGAACGGATTTCAGTCCTTCTGTTATGGCAAGAGGGATGTCGACCAACATGCCTTTCGTGGCTGTTGACCCGATCCGTCCTGCGCTTTTGGCTGATGCGGTGGCCATTCGTCCTGCGAGGTTGCCAGAGTGTCCAGAGTGGGCACTTCTTGGTCGTCCTGAGTCGTTCGAAAGTCGGTCTACACTGAGGTGATCACCGTCATGGGCATGTCCTTGTGCCTGAGACCTCCTCGAGTCGTCAGCATGGCGTTTCCGATCATCTCTGTACTCTTCGACTGGCTTAGTGAAAATTCCCGTGATGTCACCGGCCATTCCGGTTGCTGTTGCCATGACTGCCGAGGATCCTCCAGAGATTGGGTCCCATCGGGTGGTTTCGGTAGAGATAGTATTGCTCTGATATCTGCACAGGGTCAGTCGACAGTCCGGCCATGGGGGTCGATCAGTAACTCACGGCTTCAGGTGTTTGGCGTCGATGGTTTTGGTAGAGAGCAGGATCTCAGCAGCGGTCCGAGATAGCTTTATGGGACGTTTTGACTTCGTATACAACCATACAGCAGGTTCACTGGGAAGTAAATCGCATAGCATTCGCTCGAGAGGGAGCTGTTTGTGAAATGACTGTACTGCAGCACGGACACCTGTTTCTCCTGCCATCCTGTCGGCTATAGCTCTGGCTGCATCTGAAGCCTTTTGGGATAGACAGTAACCTATGGCTTCGGACAGATTCATCACGTTCAATCGTGCATGGGGTATCGGATGGGGACCTGCGCCTGCGTTGGCTACCATCTGACCCCAGAAGGGCTGGCTAAAGGACAAACGTCAATATAACATGTAAAACAGAGCCACAATAGTCACGACTTACTCGCCGAAGAAGGGAATAATAGTCGTAGGCTTTCCATTACGCAGTCCGCAAGCTGTCGTTCCCGCACCTCCATGATGGATCACAGCTGCAACATGCTGGAAAAGCCACTCGTGAGGGCAGTCACCGATCCAGTAGATGTTTTCGTCATCCGACCCAGCAAGTTCAGACCAACCTTTGGAAATGATGGCCCGAACGCCAGTAAGACGGACAGATTCCAGGATGATACTAATTATCTTGTCCGGGTTATCTAGGACGATACTACCGAATCCGATGTAGACTGGAGGGGGACCGGCCTGGAGGAATTGAGCAAGGTCGTTTGGTGGGGAGTATTGAGGAGGCTCGCGGAAGAAGAAGCCGCAAACATCTACACTTCCGTCAGTATCATAACAAACGGTATATCTAGCCATATCCAGCGTACCTATGTGTGGCGCCCAGTCGATAGGCTTCGGTACCAAAGCTGGTGACCAGCAGTAAGTGAAGGGAATCTTTAGCGTCTGCGCCAGCATCGGTGCGTCAAACATAGCCACTTCCTCCAGATCAATAGATCTTCGCCATTTATTAATGATATCACCGAGCCTAATCAGTCAGCCAAAGATCCTTCCATAGCCGAGAAAATACTTACCCTTGCCAAGTCATCCACTCCACCACACTATAAGAAATATAGTTCTCCAGTCTTGGGTCACTCCCAACATTCTTCAAATTAGCGAGCGGATGAGGAAAAGCCCTGGTGCTACTCCACGGCATGGTAAACATGAGGTGCACCGGCACACCTAACGCTTGGGCACAGTGGATGTGCGCAAAACTGGGCGGGTTCGCAATGATGGCGTCCGCTACAAATGGTGAGCCGTTGGCATGGTCAGGTTGTATGCAAGAGTCCCAGAATCCATGTAGCATAACCTGCATCATATCCCGCTTTTTCTGGATCTCTCCAGCAGCTAAGGTCTTCATGCTCGGAATGAGACCTGGGTTTTTGACCATGTACGCCATAAGCTCTGCTGGATCGCCGCCAATGGGGTAGAACTCCAGGCCGGACCTTCTGACGAAACTCTCGAAGACATCGTGGGTGGCTAATCGCACGCGATGGCCGTGGCGTTGGAGCTCGTTGCCGAGAGCGATGAAGGGCTGTGCGTCTCCTCGGCTGCCAACAACTTGGATGACGATGTTGAGTCTTGTGACCCATGCTTTATTTGTTTGGTCAAATTCTGTGTATACTGGCGCCGGTTCGAATTTCTCGGGTGTAGTATGGTAAATACGGCTGAGGGTACGCACGAGCTTTGAGTTGCAATCAATCTCTATACGTGCGTCGTCTGTAAAACTTGTCAGTTAAGACGGTATGTAGGCAAAGTCTTGAAAATACCTTGAACTTTGACATCACTGCCATTGAGGTTGGATAATGAATATGGGGGAAGTTCTGCAGGTGTTTCTGCATTTTGCGCAAGATCGCCGGTACTACTGGCATTTCTCAAGCTCTGATATGGTGGTATAGGAGCGGTGGGGTGTAGATACGGGGACTCGTCTCCGGGGAGTTCGTATCGAATCGTGTTTCGTTTGCTGTCGGCCATGGAAGCTCAATTATTAAAAAAATATCGGATTAATAAAGATGAAGGTTGACAGAACATCAGCTGTCAGGACCTAGATACAAGGTCGGGTTTATAGGTATGGCATCCAGTCCAGTTTCCACATGAAAACGGAAGTCATGGCGCAGCTAACATTAGCACAAACTTTCATGGCCAGAGGCTGATCTGTGTTAGTTCAAATCCACATCGTTAGTTACCTCGTTCACGGGTAATGCCGAAGCTGAACGAGGATCTAAACGAGCTAAACGAGCTAAACGAAGAAGACGACCCAGTCGTAGCTCAGCCTCATGCGTTACGTAAGGTTCGCATCCTCGTTTAGAAGCTCGGTTATCACCTCGCTTTCATCTCTTACGTTCTTGGAAAATGTAAAACTTTTAAACCGGGCTTTTGCGAGGACAGGACTTCAAAAGCCCATTAAATATAACATGGTATGTACAATTGCTGATCTTTAACCCCATACTAGCTTGTACAACATGTACAATACATTCGCAGAAACTCATCCATTTCCTAGGACTTGCTTACTGTGCTTCGTCATTTTACAGGTTGCATGTTGCATGTTGATCTGAGATGACTGTTTTCTTCTATCCTATGTATCGCCATTAGATAATCACTTCTCAAAGGGTTCTGCCTGGTCAATGTCCCTGAAGCCCGCCTGGTCGAGACTGATGGTGTCCAAATTCCGGAGTACGCAGCGTTGAGCTATGTTTGGGGCAAATCGGACGAAGAGATTATAACAACGACTGAGAATTTTGAGGTCCTGAAAACACCCGGTCGGTTTCGCGAGAAGGATCTACCTGTTCTCTTCCAAGACGCTTTCCAGGTCTGCTCTCAGTTTGGAATCGATCACTTCTGGATTGACAGAATCTGCGTGGTCCAAAATGATGAGGCGAGGAAATCGGCTCAGCTTGAAGCTATGGGATGGATTTACTCCAAAGCGAGCTTCACCATTGTCTCCTTTGAGCTAGGGTACATAAGTGAAGGTTTACCCGGTTTCTCGCAACCCAGAACACCGCCTGTATATCTCTACGTTGGCGAGAAGATTTTAATTGTAAAACTTTCAAACAATATCTATAACCCTCTCTTCTCTGTCACAAGTCCATCCACACCCCTTGCCACCGGCAGGAATATCGTCTGGACACGTGCATTTCTCGAATGTGTGGCGGTAGCACGGAAGTTCTTTCAAGCTTTCACATCCGTCATGGATGGCTTCAGAAAACGTTCCAACTCTTAGAAACTCGCCCGGCTTCTCCGCCATCCTAAGTAACAGACCAGCCCGTTCTGGCCATACCTTTGTCTTGAGAATTGCTAGTTCGAGAAGGAATACTTCCTCGCGTTTGGTCTCACAATCCATCCGACATGCAAAGAAACCATTTGGTGGTGGTGTTCTTTGGGGTGACCGCGTTATGAGACCCCTAAGACGGATCCTGCCGCTTTTTACTGCGCCGTATACGAAGTTCGGGTCCGCGAGCTCGATGCTAGTGCTGATGATCGTCGCCGTATGCCTGAAGACATCCGGGTCATGATAAACAGCGGGCCCTGAGATGGTAGTCCACGACCAGGATGGGCCGTCCATCTTGGTAGGAATGTTTTGCTTATCGTATCCATAGTCGATAGGTGAAGGGGCAGACCATAACAGATGCTGAAGAATATCCGGTTTCCACATCCCTGCCAGATAGTCGGAGGCTAGTAGAGTGTTATCGCCGTCTCTAGTTCTCGCAAACCACTCCGCCACAGCAGCAATGGCTATAGGTCTGTCCTGAAGGACACTGAGATGACGTCCAGAGTACGCCATGACCAAATCTATCCATCGGCGTCCGAACCCAACCTCAAGATCCGAGTGAAAGCTATAGTCATCGTCTTGAGCAAAAGAGCTGCTTACCCTTCCAGAACTCAATTCCATGGCATGCTTTCTGAAATTCAGAGTTCGGTTTGAAAGCATCTGCTCTTGAAATACCCAGGCTCGACTGTCAACGGGCTCTCGAACAAACCTGGATGGAGTGTTTGTTATGATTCTGACCAATTGGGCTATATCGTACGTATCGTTCACACGAACTGGAAGCGCGATCGCTGGAGGCCAGGCCTCTCGATCTTGGAGAAATCCCTCTTCAGCTGACGAGGCGCAGGTAGCACAGATGGTGAGGGCTGCAGCACTGAAAATGCCCGCCATCTTGGGCAACTCCCGATCTTTGTCCGATTTTCCCCCCTTTTCAACAGCATTATCTTCGGTCTGGATTATGCAAAGTGAATCTACCCACAGATAGGGAATATGCATCTGACGACAGACGTGAATAGCATCACGAATAGTCAAGGGAAGTTCTTCCACGATAATCTCCCGATAGCGGTCTTGGATGTTGAGATGTGTCGTCTGTGCCTTCTGAGGTCCGCCCCAGCAGTACGATAATGCCGCCCAAGAAGGGTCATGAAGATATTCAGTATCGACAAGTCGTAATTTATCTTGAGAAATATCGAGCAAGCGTGACGGGGGCGTGTCAGTTTTGTTGAAGCTTTGATCGCTCAAATACTGGCCCAAGCACTCTCTGGCGCGTGAAAATGCCTTGTCCGATTTAATGCAAGGATGAATGGGGGCTCCGCAGCTTTTGAAATCTTTAATTAACGTTGTTATTTCTAAAATCATAGATATGAGTTAGTCGCGAGGGCACGGTATGAGATACAACTTAGCATACCGCTTGGTATTCTGAGGCGATATATGCTGCCAGGGAATGATGATGACCTGGGTGCTTGTGATCTCGAAGAAGAAAAGTCCAGGTTGATAGAAAGAAAGCCTGCGTCCGAGTTCACATCGATGTTATCGAGTAGATCAAAGAAGGGACACGAGGGAGCAACTTCAGATACCGTCTTGTTAGGTAAGATGAACTGATGAAAGAGTTGGTCGTTGTAATACAGATCTGCTACCTTGTTGTCAAAGAGTGACACAAATTCTTCCTCTCCTGGATCATCATCAGGGTCCTCTGAAAGACACTCTCCAGGAGTATCTTCCAAGTCCCCTTCAAGGTCATCTGTGTCATCCTTCGTGTCTGGCAGAGTAAGAGGTGTGAGATCAATAAGTAGGTCCCGGCAATGAGAGCAAGAGTGGAGCCCGTAACGGAGGGCTTTCTGAGCAATAAGTTCGGAGGTGGATGAGTCCATTTCTGACGGTATACGGGTGAGGTTTTGTGGGTTTCTTGAAGTATTCTAAGCGACAAGATAAATATGAGGACTTATCCGAATTAAAATCGGCGGTGAGCCCTAAGCATCAATGCGTCTGCATGCCTTCTGACATATCACCAAGTATCCAGTTTAATATGCGGGCACTTGCCCTGTCCTTGAAAAAGCTCAAAATAGCTTCCTTTACTCCGAGCAACACTGAGCAGCTTATACTTATAGAATGTGAAAGAGTAAACAGGCTAATATAGAAATGTTGCTATCTCTAGGTATGATGCAGGCTACTTTTAAGAGCGCTACTGCAACTTGTAAGTTGCTCTGCATATGGTTGAGAAATGGGCGGAAGGGGTTGACTCGCTGGCAAGACCTCGAATGCCTTAGCTTTATCTCAAATCCCAGACTGTTTGAGAAATAGGCTCAGTCTTCGAGGATACAGTCTCCGATAGTTGCTGTAACCCGTGCAGGTTAACGCCAATGAGCATTTCTAGTCAAGGTTCCTGGGGGTCACACATATACTGGTAGCCTTGCCTGATTCTCAAGTCTTTGGATGTCGCGAGTAGTAGGACTTGGTTACCATTGTATAGATAAGTGCGTATGATGCTGTTTTAGTTATGTGCCCTGTAGAATAACGTCGGTCTCTTAATCAATAAGGACTTTGACTATAAGAACACAAATCATCCAACATGGTTTAAGGATACAGAATTGCATAAAATACAAGAATGAATCATGTATGCTTTGCTAAAGAACGTAAGGAAACGCCAGGTCATGCACATTTCCTTCGATCTAAACAGTCATTCCAGATCCAACCCACTCAGATTAACTCAGCATCTGTCAGCTTCTCCTAATACACAGCTCCCTCCAGCTTACGGCGGTAACCTACGTGACAGCTAGGCATCTCCTTTTAGAGTCCAGAACCTCATTTTGGCAGCCCATTCCCCTGCCTAGCGACAGCTGATGATTCTCTGACCCATGCCGCGCGGTACGCGCCGAGTCACGACCCTCTCTACCTGATCTCTAAGAGGCACCACCGCAGAACCGTCACGGTATGGGCGGGAGCTATCACAGGTCTAACGTGCATCATTTAGCCTTGGGCAGTACCAATTTGGTCTTGTTAGGCTCCTTCTTGTCTTTAATAGGCATTGCCTCAGCCTTGAACGACACCACGGCCACCGTAGAAGGCACCAAATCTGCCTTGAATCGTATAGCTCTCCAATTGAAGGGTGCCTAGACATGTAGCCAGCCAGAAAGAGTAAGAAATGTTTTAGTCAAAGCGTGGCCTGCGGGGGCTGTTAACGGTAGCATTGGTGAGGGTATCACTTTAGTTTCCGCCGGAGGTGAGACTACTTGACTTGGCAGTATTAGCTGAATGACTTGGTCTTTTAATGTGTCTTTCTGGTAAAGTTTAGCCGTACATTATTTCCTTTAAATGTTATATTAGGTAGATGATTGAATGTGCAGGTTGTATTAAGTGGATAGCTATCCATTTTCTCGGTGCCAACAATCTCTTGGTGTTGCGCCGTGTGTACACCTTCGTTAAGCATAAAATTCACGGCCAACTCACAAACACCACAAAGAGTTCCAGAATAATTCCAATCTCAGTTAATGTCACTCTCAATTACTCTGTCAGTTACACATAAAATAAACCTCCCGAAAGCTTTCGGTAGACGGTCCAGACCTTTGTGGCTTGGTATTGTTTGCTGCCCGGATCCAATAGCGCGGGCGCGCCGATAAAGTTCTAGACTCAGATTGAGTCAATCTGGACTTTGATATGGTGGCAAAATTGATAGCCATAATGGGGATATCGGAATTGAGATTAAGATTGAGATTGAGATTGAAGTAAAGATTGAATGTGAGAAGTGATAGGGCTGAGCTGAATTAATTGATGATGAAAGGGGCCCTGGTTAATTGCGTCAATTGAACATCTACTGGAAGTTTAGCGATCATTAGTGGGGATAACCTCACTGAGAGCTGACATGAGCTGAGAACGGTTGATCGTCGCGCGGCCAGAAGAAGAAAAAAAAAACGATCGACAGGGCCTTGAGTTTGTAAGCGCGATACCCGGTCAATTAACACATTCAATAATTACAGGGAATTATTTTGGCAATTATCCATATACCTAACAACAATATCATTAGCTCGATGAGCGATCGATCACTCGCTCAAGTGCATGTTTACAATACCCTCAGTCATAGCCTGGAAAGGTTCGTCCTTGCCACGACAAAAAGGAACAACAGGCAAAGCAAGTGCAAGCAAATTACCTAGGTAATTGACATACCCTACAAGTATAAGCGATTGAGAATAACGTCCATGATCATGACACCTTGTCAATGAGCAATTGACTCCATCCCTCACAATGCATCCCATTTACCCTATAGCTTCAATCGCCACCACCAGGCTTCCACTTAACAAGCACAAGACCAACCAACTCGGCGTAATAATCCCTCCGCTCAATTAACTCACCTACCTTAGTGTACCAGGAATTCGGGAGCCGCGTGCGCACGAGTTTAGGAGACAAACTAACGTTAACAGACCCCATACAGTACCCGAATTGACATTATCCTCTGCAGTAGTCATGAGCATCACGAGCATCACTGGCGTTTTACTAGTTGAATCCTCCTGACTAGAATCCACTTGGCAAATTGCCATCTCTTCAAATAAATGCGATTTATTCGCTGTTTTGTATTTATTTTCTGTTTGTCGCATCATTCTGGTGTAATCGTTTCAGAGATAGCATGTGGATCTTGACTGATTCGACCCGAATTCTCGGTACTACCAACAAAGATCCATCTCGATTTCAGCTGCAAACATTCTCCGGTCCGACAGGTTTAGTGGCCCGAATTAAGACGGTAATTTGATGAGCGTCTATTCCCATCAATGACAGCTGCACCAATTTCCTGGATACTCCGATCGGGGATACAATCCCAATTTGATCTGGTTTCCCGTATTGCACTAACAAAATTGTGGCTTGCGCGTCAGGGGTAGACTCACTGTTAGGTGACTTGGGTAAGGCCAAGTTCAGGTCAGTGTGTTCTGGGGAGAAAGGTCAACGGCTAACACGGAGGATTCATCCGCAAAGACCAGTAATCGGATCTAGCATTCATCCATCGTGGCGTTGGCGTCAGCGTCAAAGGTCTGTGTCTTGATTGCTTTGACCTTTTCTCGGGAAGAAATCTCCTTGAATCCAGGGTCTTGACAACCACCATCTTCACTCAATATTACAACCAACGGGATTGAGGCACCTCCACAGCCGATTGATGCAATGTTTGCAACGCTAATCAAGTTAATTTGAACAGAGTTCATCCTCCAAATCCGAAAGAATGGATGGCCGGCAAGCCACTTTGCCAAGGTGCAGATTGGACGAAGACCTAAGCCCCTGGGCGTTCGTGTTTGCTCTTCATAAACACCACATTTTTAATCGGGAGGCGGCGCACAGAACAATTGTTGGTGGCTCATGGCTCGATCTAGGCAAAAAAAGAAACAATACGATGAGATTGCCGTCCCGTGTTGACCGGGTAGCATGCATGCATAGGCGAGGTCGAGATTTGAGATGAGATCTATTGTTTGTTCAGATCTGTAGATCCCATCGGGGTAAAAAGTAAAGTGACAGTTCATATTTTTCGCCACGACGGTGCGGACAAACGGTCTTTTTTTCTCCCTTGCTTCTTAGAAGCTTGATTTTTATTCTACGTATCGTTTTTTAATTAAGGTGTCGGCGTCATTCCAGACATTCTCTCACTGAGCTAGACACTATCTTCACCAGTATCAGGTATGCATGCAAGTCTCGGGCGGCTGGAAGATGAAATCGCAGTGAAGCAAGATTCGAGATCAATCGGCAAGACAAGTCTCAGTTATCGCATGCGCAACGGTTGCATAATGGCGCGATTCTACGTCACTCCCTCACTCATCCATTGGCAGTTTTACTCCCTTGCATGTGGTTATTTCCATGACAGTTAAGCAGGGAGACACAAATCAAGTATATCGTCGCGACCTGTCGCATTACACAGGAACAGCCGAGAATTGGAATGACAGGCGATATGTCAAAAGTTAAATACTACTTCTTCGCTGAACCTTACTGTCGCGACAAGAATGCGGCTTTCTGAATAGAGCTCACAAGTGCCGTTTGCGAAATTCCGGGGGAGGCGAGTCCGTAAATACTCGGATGGGCCCCGAATGGGTACCAGTTCTTTGGGTCTCTTGGCGGGTAGATGACAGTTAAGTTGATCTATCATTTAAGGGAGCTGTCTTGCTTGCATGATAATCCAGTGGCTAGGTAGAGTGGCCAAGATAAAAAGCAAAGAGAAACAGATGGAGAGCACTAACGTTCTCGCCCGTATAAACGGTATCCCGCTGCATGGATGCGTCACTGGTGCATGCCCACTGTCATTTACGACAGGTAATAACGGGATCACGTCAAAACGAACTGTTGGTCTACTGCAGTAATTCCCACAGGGAGACAGACATGACTGCCCCTTTCCTTTTTCCACAGTGGAGATAAACTTGTTTCCGGATCGAGCATCGCGGGAGGAGTCAAGCTTCAACTTCTCACGCTCTAGACTTTCCCAAGCCCCCTGCATATGTATACTCCACGTGGCAGATAAGTTTATACAGTGTTTATTACAGTACTTTCTAATAAACTCAAGTTGGTGATGTGAGGCTGCAGACTAGCATGTTTGTTCTTGTAGAATTTGCAAATTGGGCATTGATGATAAGGCTGCTTATTTACCGGGTTCCCGTTGTTCAATTAATTCAAGGATCTCTTACCGGCGATCGCTGAAGTGAAGTGGTATCGAGGGTCAGGGGTCCGAGACAACAGCGCACTGGTAATGTAGGGAGTTGTCTTTGTACCCGCTGAAGGATTTACGCAAGGGAACGACAACAACATCACCAACACCAACCTCACCATTATAACTCTTTTCTTTTCTTTTCTTTTCTTTTGATGAATTGTTTGTTCAATCAAGTTAATAATTATTGACAAATGATTCTCACCCTGTCCTGGTTTGGCGTCAGGAACGTCTACATCTTACCCTTCCCCTAGCGTAAAGTCTCTACCCATCCTAACCCCCGGTTCCAGCTCGCGAATAAACTTTTGGCTAACCACTACCACTATCCTTGCAGTAACAAAATGTCTCACTTGCATCTGTAAATGGGTACAATCTGCATTGAACCCTGCTGTGTTTACCAGCTGATATCGTGGGTCTCCATCCACCCGTCTCCAGCTGTCAATGTTACTCATGTCAAGTTTTACGTACAAGCCGAGGTAGATACAGACAAGATTGCGAGATGGGAATGGGATTTCCCGTACACTAACTCCCATTAGCATGTAACAATTAGTCTACTGCTTTGACTCTAACGTTAATCAGCTACTCTATCCAGGACCAAGCTTTCCCGATCTGGACCCAAGAAGAAAAAAAAAAAACGCCCTCGGTCGGGATGGTCTCGTAAAACGCCGTCTTCCAGCTGTCGCACACACTGCTAGTCCACGTACTAATTGTGTGACTGCTAGTGATCCGTGAGAAAATCGTCAACTGAGCTGGGACCTCCTCCTGTTGGTCGGGAACAAAATGTGGCTTTTTTTTTTCGTGACCCCAATATTCTGTCTCTCTGTCTGTCACTTATCTTATTGCTTCTGTGGATTGTTGCACTGCTTTTGTGATATGCTCTCTTTGCTTTGCCTCCATCCCTCGCAGATAACAACTATTCCCACCTCGCTTGGGGAAAACCCGGGATTGGAATAAACTACTTGTCCAAGGGTGGTATATCCCCCGTTGATATAGAGCATCTCACTGTGATATCGTAAGAACAGGGGTACAACCCACCCCATGTTTAGTCCCATCCATGTCAAAGCGCCGATCTACCATTGCAAGCAGGGGTTTCCCTACCCTCCCACTCTCTCCTTACAGATCCAACAAAGGTGATCGATTGAACGCTGTACCGTACCCACTCCCCTTGTCACTGCCACTGCCACTGCACTGTACAACCCGGTAGATCCGTACTGAGCCTAGAACCCTGCTCTAGTCCCAACCTACTTACCTACAGTGCGGTACCTGACTTGGAATGCCATCCCGCTTCAAACCTAACCTTTGGGACTGGACTCGACCGCTCTCTTTCTTGTCCCGTCGAGCGCCATAAAACCAGTCGCTCCCGCTTTTTTTCCCATTCCGCCTCCCCCTACTAAGAGCAGCTCGTTCCCTCTCTCTTTTTTCTTTCTTTTTCTAATATGACCGCTCAAGTCGCTCCTCAGGGTAATCCGGCTGCAGCTACTACTGACAAGGAGTACTCGTTCATAGAAGCTCTTGCTCTCGGTCCTCGGGAATCTTTCTCGCTTGTTTCAAACGAAGCTCTTGGTTTACCTAGCAGTCCTACTTCAGCGCGAGCTCCTCGAGTCCAACCGTCTACAGGATCTCTACCAAATCCTACCGGCGCCACCGCAAGACCAAAGACTCCTCCCCCGCAGAAGCGAGTCATTGCCGTCTCTGCACAGGCTTACGTCCCTGCTAGTCCAGCAAAGACCGTCGCAGCCACCAAGAAGCCCGCTTCAGTAACCACCAACTCCCCTCCCACCACCTCCTCCATCAAAACATCTACACCTACAACTACTACCGCACCTCGATCGCTCACCAGCAAAAAGAGCAGCGTCATGGCAAACGTCGCCAAAGCACAAGGCTCATGCCTAGAGCTCTGCCACAAGACCACCGCCCTCGGCGACCGCATCTCCGTCCGCATGCTAGAATACCTCACAATGGTCACCAAGCAACCCCACGGCCTCGACGTCCTAGCGCACGACTTCCTCGACACGTGCGAGATTCTGTTCTCTATCGAAGCAGGCCTCGGAGAGTGCATTCGCAACCAGCAGACATTCCCTGCAGATGTCATCTCAGAGCTTAGCAAGAAGTTCCGCGTTACTCAGGCGGACTTTCAGCTGCTCGATCAAATGCTGGGCAAGTTTCTCGAGAATGAACGCAAGGGTGCCATGGGACGCATGAGACGTGGTTGGGGCCGTATTTTTGGTGATAACGATATCGAGAAGATGATCAGTGCTCTCGGTCGCACGAGGGAGAGTCTGCGTATGAGTGCGCTTATGTTTCAGTGGAGTTTGGGTAATGAGAAGATTGAGAATGAGCTTGGTATTGGATACACCGGTCTCGCAGCAGCACTCGATCGCATGGACTCCCGCGCTGGTGTCGCGCCGAGATCAAAGGTTTCTGATGCTGGTGGTTCACAGTACAGACCATCTTCCGCATCTGCGCATCGCGGTATGGAAGGCCACGTCATGTCCATCAACTCACAACCTCCCCTCCCTCCTCTCCCCTGGGCAGACCGCTCTGCCTCCTTGCACACCGATCCTATGGGTTCACACCACGATGCGCGCTCATTCAGCAACCACCATCACAACACTGCCTCTTCAGTGCACTCCAACGAGCGATACCACTCTGGCACAACAGCGACGTTTGATCGCATGAGCACATTTGACGAACACCATGAAACCCGATCGCAACACACCCAAATATCCGACAGCGAAGTATCCCTAGAAGAACTCGCTGGTCTGGACCTTAATGGCGGCACAAAGGTTGTTCGGCTCAAGGCTGATCCCTTCAGCATGCCGCGCTGGAACCCGCGCAACACCAACGGCGCTGACGCCGCGAATCTCAAGACTGCTCTTATCAGCGCTGTTCGCGGCAAGAACCACAAGCTCATCGAGCAATTGCTGGACCGTGGTGTTTCTGCAAACACTGGACCGGATCATCTCGCGCTCAAGGAAGCTGTCTTGAACTGCGATGCGGAAGCTGTGAGATTACTCCTCCTCTTTGGCGCTGATCCCAACGGTATTGACCGCGATGGCGTGACTCCCCTCTTCGCGGCTGTCGAGCGCTCTTTCATCGCTGGCGCCGTTCAACTTCTCAAGTACGGCGCCGACCCACGTTTCCAGATCGGTCCCGACAACGAGACTGCCCTTGCAGCTGCTTGTATCGCCAACAAGGTCAACTTTTCGCACCTTCTTCTTATTTACGGCGGTGATCCCAATCAATTGACAGCTACGGGTGAAACACTCCTCAGCAGTGCGATCAACAAGAAGACACCCAAGAAGTTCATCGATCTCATCCTCGACTACGGCGCTGACCCCGATGGCAAGAGTCGCGAGGGTAAGACCGCTCTCTTCGAAGCCATCCAGAACTCGCGCGTCGATATCGTCACGAGTCTTCTCGACCACGGTGCTAATCCCAACTTGCCTGGTCCCAAGCACATGCTCTGGCCTGCTACATACCAAGCAGCCTGTCTGCAAGTCCTCCTCCAGCACGGCGCTGATCCCAAGAAGGCACCCGGTATCATGGAGTTGGCCGTTTCCGTCAACAACATCGAGTCCGTCAAGATCTTGTTGAACGCAAAGGTCGATCCCAACCTCAAGAAGGATGGTGTCTACACCCCTTTGTGTACATCCATCCGTGATAACCGCCCCGACATCTTCAACCTCCTCCTCGCCAACAAGGCAGACCCCAACGTCCCTGCATCCGAGTACCCAGCCTTCAAGTGCATCACACACAACCGTCTCCAATTCCTCCCCCCACTAGTCGAAGCCGGCGCAAACCTTTCTTCACCAAAGGGTATCGTCGAGACTGCCGTCAGCGTCAACAACATTGAGGCTTTGACGTGGCTTCTCGAGAAGGGCATGAACCCCAATGACAAGAACCCCAAGGGCCACTCACCCCTGACGACCGCTATTCGCGAGAACAGGATTGAGATGGTCGACTTTCTTCTCAGCAACGGCGCTGACCCTAATGTTCGTGGTCAAGATTGGCCTGTGTGCATGGCCGTCCGCAACCCCCCCGTCCTCAAGCGCATTCTCAGCGTTCTTGCCGAGCCTCGCGCTTTCAAGGGTGTCATGGAAATGGCTGTCGTCGCCAACCAACTCGAATCCGTCAAACTTCTCCTCAACGCTGGTGTATCAGTAGAAGACAAGAACGGCGGCGTGTTCTCACCGCTTACATCCGCCATCCGCGAAGATCGCAAGGACATAGTATGGTACCTCATCAACGAAGGTGGCGCCGACATCAACGCGCCCGGCGAACATCTCCCTGTCGTCAAAGCCCTCCGTCGCTACCGCGGCGACGGCGAGATTCTCGAATTTCTCCTCGAGCACGGTGCCGACCCCAACAAGGTGTACCGCGGCTGGAACGGCGTCATGCAAGCCGTCGAGAACGGCGACGAACAAATCCTCCGCCTGTTGGGTGAAAAGGCTGGATTTGATCTTGATGTCAAGGATGAGCTTGACCGAAGTGTGACTGAGATTGCTGCTTCTCGAGGATGGGATGAGGCTGTTGCTATTCTGGAGCAGTATGCTATTGTCAAGTCCTCATAATATGCTATGTAAGATGATGAATGTTTTGGGATTGGGATTTTTGGAGTCTGCGATTGTTTGCTCTAAGGGTTTGTCTTTTACACATTATATCCTCTTTGTTCTGAATCTGGCTTATGGCTCATTCCCCTACGGCATGGTTGCTGTTGTATTTGCTTGTCTGTAGACACATACTTTTCTTTGTCAATCTATTCATGATAATACATATGTTAAACAATCTTCACTATCGCAATGAGTGCTCTATTTGTTCTTTGATTTGAGTGAACTGTGAATGTCCTTGGTGCAATGTGAGATGTCGCTGAGATCTTAGAGTTGCGACGGGCGGGAAGTGCTTAGTGAGGGTCTTCAGTGGACCACCCATTGTAACATCACCCACTATCACCAGCCACACCTCATCAAATGTTCTCAATCGAACCAACTCACAACCTTGAAACCTTCATTTAACTAACAATCATTTATTTCATTACACTTCTATCTATAGTCTGTTCCCCATATTCACATGAACACTCTTAATCTGCGAATAAGCCTCCAATCCCGCCTCTCCAAGCTCCCTTCCAATACCACTCTGCTTAACACCACCAAACGGCACCCGAGGATCACAATCCTGACTACTGTTAATCCAAACCATACCAGCTTCAATAGCAGCCGCAACACGATGTCCCCGTTCAAGGTTCGTCGTGAATGCAGCAGCGCCCAAGCCGTATGTTGTATCGTTCGCTAACTCAATAGCTTCCTCTTCGGTCTTGAAGGTAGAGATGACAACGACTGGACCGAAGATTTCTTCGCGGAAGACTCGCATCGAGGGCTTCACGTCTGTGAAGACTGTGGGGGAGATGTAGAAGCCCTTGTCTGAGTCGCCGACCTTCAGAGGACCACCGCCGGCTGCGACTGTGGCGCCTTCTTTCTTGCCAATGTCGATATACTCCAAGATACGCTCGTATTGCACCTTGGACACTTGGGGACCTTGATATGTGTCCTTGTCCCACTGGTTGCCCACCTTACTCACAGTGTTGAGTGTCTCAATGAATTGCTTAATGAACGACTCATAAATGGACTCTTGCACAAGAATGCGCGACGTGGCAGTGCAAATCTGTCCTTGATTCGACATGATGCCGAAATGCGACCACTTGACAGCCTGCTCAAGCTCCGCATCCTCAAACACAAGCAAAGGCGACTTTCCGCCCGTCTCGAGCGTGATGTTCTTGAGTGTCTTTGCCGCAACGCCCATGATGCTAGCAGCTGTCGCTGTAGACCCTGTGAAAGCAATCTTGTCGACGAGAGGATGCTGAACAAGCGCTGCACCAGTGTCTTTGCCCAATCCGTTGACGATGTTGACGACTCCGGGTGGGAAACCGGCTTCTTTGATGAGTTCACCAAGAACTAACAAACTGAGGGGCGTTTGTTCGGCGGCCTTGATGACAACTGCATTTCCACAAGCCAGCGCAGGACCGAGTTTCCATGTAGCCATAGAAAGAGGATAATTCCAAGGAATGATCTGCGCAACGACACCGACAGGCTGACGAATCGTGTACGCGAATTTCTGAGGCGTGGTGTTGATAGTCTGACCGAACGTCTTATCGGCCCAGCCAGAGTAATAACGAATAACACCCACCGCCTCAACAAGATCATTCTCGAGCGTTTCAATGTACGTCTTTCCATTATCCCACGCATCAATAGTAGCAAAAAGTTCCTTTTTGGAATCGATTAGGTCTGCTAGTTTGGCCATGAGGTAGCCTCTGTCTGAGGCGGGCAAATCGCGCCATGCGGGGGACTTCATGGCTGCTTTTGCTGCTTTGACGGCTTTGTCGATGTCCTGAGCGTCTGCGGCTTGGACTGTTGCGATTTCATTTTCGGTGCTGAGAGTGTTAGTGAGGGCAGATGAGAGGTGAAAGGGAGGGAGACTTACGCTGGGTCAATGGATGTGAGGGTTTGGTTGCTTGATGAAGAGACGAATTCGTTGTTGATGAAGAGGCCTGTGGGCTGAGACCACTTTACGCCGTTAGGGGCAGTGAGTTCAATTGAAGGTGCCATTTTGTGATGAGATGAATGACGAGATGAACAGTAGAATGAAACAAAATGTTCAAGATGAGAAAGCTTCTTGTACTTCAAAGATTCTAGCACCCGACTTCAAGCTGTCACTCTGATCATAGAGCTGATGAGAATGGAGAGAGATTCCGTCGCGGAGGCCTTCTCTTTTTATCTCCCGCGCTGACGGGTTAGGGAAGTGAAGCCTACGACCTCCGCTGTAAATTACCCCGCATCCCCCACAGAGGGGCTAATCTCCAGGCGGGCAAAGAAGTGCACTTTTTGACAACCATCTCCATCCACATGCCATTATCAGCATCACATCACATCCACATGTCGCTCAGAGAAGATAAGAGAACATTCTTTATTTTATTCTAGCAACCGATTAGGTAGTTTAGAGGTTGGCCTTCTTCTTAGCCTCAGCCTCTTCAGCCACAGCTCTAGGGATTTCCTTATCCAACCCACTCTCACTAGGCTTCCAGCCCAGAACCTCAGTGGCGCGAACAGGCTTGCTTCTGGCATTGCTGCCGAAAAAGACTGATCCAGCTGGCAAAGCTGTGTCGAGCTCAGGCTTCCATAGTTCTTCTACTTCTAGTGTATCAATATGTCCTTGATCCTTTGCTGCTTGCGCGACCTTGTCGGAGATTTCTGCCCATGTCTGTAATTGTCAGCAATTGAACCTGTAGTAAGATGAGGGGACGTACCATTTCACCAACACCAGGGAAGTAAATGCCATTCTCTCCCCAGATCTTGTCGCTGTCATCACCCTTTTCACCCTTCTCAGCAAGAAGAACAAATAATCTCGCAAGATCAGCGACATGAACATTCGTCCAAGCAGCCAGACCCTTTCCACCCCTCACCGCATGACCGCGCTCAATAGCAACCTTTGACAAAGCGGGGATTTGCACACTGCGCTGCTTAACAGGGCCTTCACCCTTGCCGTAAATGATGGGAGGGAAGACAATGGCGGTTTTGATGGAGGGTGTTTCTTGGGAGATTTTGAGAATGGCGTTGTCTACAGCCCTAGCCTCGTGGGAGCGGATGAGATCTAGGATTGAGGATACATCTTTGAGATCGTCAAACACAGCGGATGAGGGTTCGCCGGGTTTGAAGGAGGGTGATGAGAGATCTTTGATGGGGAGGAGACTTGCGCCAGAGATTTGAATCAAATAAGCTAGAATTGTCAATCACTGTCCCATTCTCAATTGAGTATGACTTACCCTTGTCCTTGCTCTTCAATCCCTCTTGAATAGCCTTCAATGACCCAACATGCTTATTCGACGCGACATCTGACCCGTCAGTACAGCCCTTCATTTCAAATGGTAATACATACTCAGAACAACATCAGCCTTTTCAGCTTCACTTTTCACAAGATCGCTGTCATCCAAGTCGCCGACCACAGTGCGCACCTTGGGATACGCCTGCGACACGGTCTCGGCGGCGTGGCTGTCTCGCACGAGGGTGACGATGTTGTACTCTGGGTGAGACTGGGTCAATTGGTGGAGGAGTTGACCTCCGACGTAACCCGAAGCACCGGTACTATGAGTTGTCAGTGGGGTACAACTAAGAGTCGGGTATTTGGTGCTTCTTACAGGAAGATGGATGTCATTTTGTTGTGTTTGGTGAGATCAATTAGGTAGTGGTGACAGTTTAGGTGAGTGTATCAATTGAGCGGTGATACCACTGAAGCACTACACTGAGGGGTATTTATGCCCCAGATCATTCACATTATTAAGCTACACATTACAAATTACGACATTGCGGGGTGAAAAGAAAAGGGTCTTGGCTATTGTAGAATTGATTGGCATTCAATAAGCATGCATTTAACAATGTTTTATCATAAGGCGTTACTTGTCGCGGAAGCTTACTCTTTTAGAGAGCATGTACTAAAGCGTTGGCCACTCGTGGAGACTTGCCTGTTTTTGAGACACATGCCAATTGAAGCTCACGCGGATTGAACGAATTGAGGAGATCTAGAAGCATATAATAGAGTCTCATTGACAATTGATTCATTCATCTCATTCTCATTCATTATTCCACAGACATTTATCTTAAAAGTCAAATACACACAGTCAAAATGGCCCCTCAAGAACTCACAGGCATCCTCGTCGCCCTCATCACCCCCTTCAAGGCAGACGGCTCAGTAGACTATGAAGCCCTCGACGCCCACATCCAATCCCAGATCTCCGCCGGCGTCCACGGTTTCGTCCCCGGTGGCAGCACAGGCGAATTCACCGCCCTAACCGTCCAAGAGCGCAAAGACGTTCTGACCCAGGTCATCAAGTCCGCCGCCGGCCGCGTCCCTGTCGTCGCCGGTATCGGTGACCTTACTACCGTTGGAGTTGTTGATCTGGCTAAGCATGCTGCTGAGGCTGGTGCTGCTGCCACTATGATTGTCCCACCTTTTTACGATGCGCCTAGCTTGAAGCAGCTACGTGCTATGTTTGACGAGATTTACAAGGCTTCTGGCTTGCCCATCATGTTCTACAACATTCCTAGTGCAAGCGGCGTTAGTCTTTCACCTGCTGAAATCGCAGGATTGTCAGAGGTTGGAGTCAAGTATCTCAAGGACACATCCGGCAACGCCCCCGCCCTCACAGACCTTCTCTTCCACCACCACAACGACATCACAGCCCTCAACGGCTGGGACACACTGACCTTCTACGGTCTTTGCGCCGGCGCCAAGGGATCAGTGTGGGGAACCACCAACATTCTTCCCGAGCTGTCAGTTGAGCTTTGGAACGCTATTGCCAGAGATGGCGATATCAAGAAGGGACGGGAGCTGTGGAGCAAGATTTTCCCCGTGTGCAAGTTTTTGGAGGCGCATCACTATGGTGCTGGTATTAAGACTGGACTTGAGTTGAGGGGATTCAAGACTGGTGGTTTGAGGAAGCCTTTTGAGTTGCTCGAGGGTGCTGAGAGGGAGGAGTTGGCCAAGCTTCTTAAGGATGCTGGTGTCAAGTTGGCTTAAATAATTTGAGTATTATGTATGAGATTAAAATAGTAAAATAGACAAGGTCACAGATATATGAAGACTCTTGAGTGAATAACATGTTAGAAACACCAGCGAAGATAACCATCAGAGTCACTTGGAGATTATATATAAATCGGAATAGCTTCAACTCATCCCTCCATAACCAAACTCTGCCAACTCATAGTCCAATCCCCCGTCTCCCTCCTCCTCTCCCAAATCAACGGCACAACAACCCCCGCCGGCCTCTCCGTAAAGTAAACCCCCTTCTCATCCGTAACCCCAAGACACTTCAAAGCCCGTTCCTGCAAATCCGGCGCAACTGCCTCACACCCCGCCACAAAAGCAGGCCATGCCAAACTTGTTGCAAAATCCTGCTCGTCTATCAATTCCGACAGGTGCGGCTCCAGATAATCCAATGTCTTGCGCACCATGTCTTGTAATATCATAGCGTTCATGTCGTAGACGCGCCGGTAGAAGTAAATTACTAACGCTTGGTGGATTGCTAGTGTCATGCTGCGTACTTGGGGATGGGTGACGAGATTATCGTCAGAGGCGGTTTCGGCGGGGAGCGTTGTTGGCCATGCCCAGATTCTGTTTTCAAGTGTCTTTGTATGTTTTCCAAGTGCTTCAGAAATAGCAGGATTACACCGTGCCGCACTCTCCAATCGTGCTTTCTCATTAGCAAGTGACACAGTCTGACTTAGCAGCGTCATCAAACTCTCCGGAATTCCATAAATCACCGGGTAGAGCGTTTGGTTCCACCTCCCCTGGACTTCCAAGTGAATATCGTTGAAACCAATCTCATCAGTCTTTTCAAGTGCTGGGTCAAGACCCATGTTGAGACCCTCTTCTGTGATGCGGAATGTGCGGCTGAGTTCTAGTTGGTTGTCGGAAGGATCGGGCAGGGCGATGGACATGCTTTCTGAGATTACGCGGAGATGGGTGTACATGTGGTGTAATAGGCGGATTTTGAAGGGGTTTTGGTTGGCGAGGCCGCGGAGACGGATGAGACGTTCTGCGTCGAGGAGAAAGACTCTAAAGGCCCGAGTTCCATGATGTAACTGCCACTGTTAGTATTTGCTTCCCTCATGAGAAGCAGGGGTCTTACCGATGTCATAGCCATAGCGAGTATAGCCATCAAAAGTTCCTTATAACTAGCCTGTCTCGGCCCAAACATCTCATGCTGAAGAGCCTGTCTGAGATGACTCTGTGCCCGTTCATGGTTCTTCAACCCAACCTCTTTCCAACGTGACCCCGACTGTGACATGTGCAGTTGCAAAGCACTATGAGCAAGAAGTGTATAGAATATCGAGGAGCGAGTATGAGATGCTTCGTTCCAGAGGGATAATTCAGCGAATGTCTCGAGTGCGCAGGGAAGAAAGATGATTTCCCAGGGTGATTTGCGCTTGGCTTGCATTGAAGAGCGACCAGCCATGTTTTGACGGTAGTGTCTCAGTAATTGCTCTGTTTCTTGAGGCAGACCACCGGCACAAGTTGGTATATCCTTTGGTAGTTGGATGATGTCTGTAACGGGTGCTGGGTCAAGGTCTTCTGCTTCAGGTTCAGGTGGACCAATGACCTGTGATATAAATCCCGGACTAAAGAACGCAAGTCCTTCTGCACCCGATGGATCATCCATGAAGAAGTTCGGCATGGGTTCATGATCATCTTCGTTTAGACCAAAGTGGGGATCTAGTGATGCGGTAAAGATATCCATGTCATCACCAGGTAGTTGATCAGGCCAATCATCCCGATGGATTTCCTCGACAAAGCCGTCTGTCTCGGGATACATACTAGTAAATGTATTATCCGTATTGGTATCAGGCGATAGTTCGACCGTAACAGCCGGAGACGACTCTTCAACAGATTGAAACACTCCAAAAGGCCCCTTCATCAAAGCATCAACACTCCTCTCACAAGCAGCATCAATATCAGCAAGAAGTGAAACAGCCGTTCTTCGTCCCAGACTTTGAGATAGTTCATCGCTCATCACCTTGCGTTGAGTCTCTACAACCAATTAGCATCAACCATGGATAGTGGTCCGGGGAACATACCGGAGAAAAGTGGATACCGATACTCGGAGCCCCGATGACTCTGCTGCAACTCCGGCTTAACGCCATCATCCGTAATCCAGAACAATTTCGCCCCGTAACCCCCGCAGTTTAAGCCTAGACGTAGACACGTGCCGCATTCTGGTTGTGCCTCGTCGCATTTTGCGTGTCTGCTTCGACAGGTGCGACAGCCTGTGAAGGTCCTTGTGCGTTCTACCTTGGGCATCTCAGCAACCCAAAACAATGTAACCAAGAGTAAGGTGAGTATCAGATTCAGAAGGTAGTTATCGAGAAAGGCAAGTGGAGAAAATATTGCAGGAAATCAGAAAAAGAAACGATCTGAAAAGAGAAGACGATGTGCTATTATGACCTTCGAGAGTGTCTTGGAGTGGAATTGAAAAGGGAATGTTTCCGCGAGAGAGGAAAGTGGGGCGCTAGATATCGGGGTGGCCGCTGGGAATGGATGCATTTGAGTTCAAGCTAGCAGTGTCCAATGGATAAGAGGCAAGGACAACCCATTCAGACTCATGAATTCAAATTGGACTGATGCTAGCAACAAAAACAGCTTGGTACTGTGGTCTAGTTGGTCATGACATCTCGTTAACACCGAGAAGGTCCCCGGTTCGAGCCCGGGCAGAACCTCACTTTTTGACTTTTTGCATTTCGGAACGAACTACCTATCTTGTCGTCGCAGGCGGTTGTACGGATACGAATGTTCGGCTCAATTTTTGAGCTTCATTATATCATAATTTCTTACTATATACTATTTAACAGCATGTTTTCTGAAAAATCGTCAAACCATAGCTGTGGAAATGAATCAAGGTCGAAGAAGGGATTGATGGTCCCTGTCTCAACACAATCTGAAAAATCGTAATATGGAAAAGCAGGCATTTGAGGACCTTGACCCTGCCCAAGTTGCGTTTCCTCTGTCAAGCCCTCCTCATTCGCCGCCGTTTTAGGTCCATCGCTCGAGTTCAGACCTCTGGTCAGAATATCAATACTCCGCTGTATACCAGGACAACTTGCCCGAATAGCATTTAGTGCACGCATAAACGTCTCAAGACGCGTCTTAGTCCCCGGTCTCCCATCTTTCATATCTTGCACCACAACTGTAGCAGCAGTGTAAGTACAGTATGCCATTATATACGTAAAACGAAGAAAACCAAAGGTTGTTTCAAGGAGCTGGAGGAGCTGTTCTACTGCTTCGGAAGCTTCTTGGCAGGTCGTTCTACAGGTTTTGTTGTTAAGGAAGGGTCTGTGGAGGAGGATCATGGTTGTGTGGTAGAGCATGCTGGGATCGTTAGAAGAGTGGTTTTGGTGGTGGGTGACTTACTGCTGGGCTACCATGTGGGTTGGCGGACATGGCAGTTCTTTATAATCGACGTTCAAGACAGACGGGAGATTGGCCCGCCATGTCTGCAATCTTCCTCTGGTAGATTGTATAAAATCCAACACATCCCTCGTTCGTTTACTACCATAGATATTGAGGAGAATATCGTTGATGACAACACTGATCTTGCATGTATGCGCAAACGTCAACAACAAATACGCCGGTTGTGAGCTATACTCAATCGTATCACCCTCTGCAGAACGACACTCATCTTCAGCAAACTTATAAGGCGGCCACATTCCCGTCTCAGGTGTCTCTGGTATAGCAGGATCCCACTTCGGCGGCTCAGGCAAAGAAGGCGTTCGTCCAAGATATAAACTCAAAGTCTTATCCCACGAATAACAAGACCAGGCAAGATGTCTCCCCAATCTCGTCCTCGTCGAATCCTCATTCCCAACTTCAGAGAAAAGTCCGATATCGATCGCAACACGAAACGCCATCCCGCCATAAAGCCAAGCCTGCGAAACAGAGCCCCTACCAATTTCTCTCGCGCTGAATTGAAGTAGTGCCTGAACAAGTGGTATCGAACCCTCATTGTGTATCTCATGACTAAACAGCAATTTCGCTCTCGCAAGTAAATTCTCTATCAAATGCCGTTCTCTGAATCTTGTAGAGTGTAGACAGAGAACTGTTAACAGGAAGGGGGAGAAGTTTGGTCCGGCGGTGGCTGCGTCGCGGAGAAAGATTGCGCGTGGAACGAACATGAAGTTTGCATGGACCCATGTCCAGTGTGTTGTGAAGAGACGACGGATTACATCTTGTGGGATGTTAAGGTATGTTGATGCGCTAGAAATTGCTTCGTTTTCGAAGAAGTCGAGATCGGGAGATTCGACTTCAATGGGGAGAGCTTGGAGAGGACGAGTTGCTGGACTTTCCACGGTGTTTGGTTGCAAGGGAGTATCGCCAGGATCATGGACTGCTGAGGTTGTGTCGTAGTACGTTGGCTCATCAAGAGATTTATCTGCATTCTCAATAGGCGGCAATAGTTCGATCGGCGTTTGTTCTGCCACCACTGCACCACCAAGGCCCGACGTATTCACTGCGGCATTGTTCTTGAGTTGTTGGACAGTCTCCTCCAACTCAGCAATCCTATCCGCCATAGCTCGAATCTGCGTCATGGGCGGTGGTCGATCATAGTCGCACGTCTCTCCATACGCGATACAGATACCGCAAACTGGCTGGCCCCCATCGCAGCGAACTTTGCGAAGACGACAGCCTTTACATGTTAGACGCGCCGCCTTTTTAGGCTCTGAGTCTCTTTTACGCTTCGGCATCTGCGCTGTAAAGATTTGAGGTTGTGATTGAATTGTGGAGGTTGGTGTTGAAAATATTATGCCCGGAATGCGCGGATTGATTGCTGACAGTGGCCTCTAAATTCAGCGTACCCCGCCGCTAATTATCTAGAGGTCAGCGCTAAACCACCACGCTGGAATGCACGACAAACTGTGAACGAGACATAATTCACTGACCTCAAGACTTTTGACATCTCATAATCCAACAAAATACTGATTTCTTGTGCATTGCCCAAACTCTTAGTTATGATTACTATATGGCACACTGCGTCTTGTTTGCTTTCGTAGCAGTCCCGAGTTGTGCTCCTCCCATACCTATGAAACAGTGACATGTTCAATAATACCTGCGGCTGGTCATAACAATCCAGACTGATCACAAAATCAATACAGGAGACGAGCTGCCTGTAGTATCTAGCTTAGAAAGATTAAGATCGACACAAGACCAGCAAGGTCGCTGAGGAAGGATAACAGCACGCCTATTCAACTGAATACAAACTCCCACTGCAGCAAGCCTCCCGAGCCAGTTTCCAGAAGTCCGAATCACCAAAAGTCCGTCATCCACAGGAGGCGTAAGTAGCTCTTCCCAATTGTCCACTGTGGTGGCTCCAGAGAGTCTCCCTGTGTTCGAAAAGTCACCTGGCGAATGTGTTGGTCCACGGCATAAGACTCGAGAAACAAAGCGGTGATTGAGTATCGCCAGGATATCGAGATCGCAAACCCAATCCGAGCTGTCATATACCTGGGCTAGAGTCTCCCGCAAAGCCGCAGATTCATCGATGTAGTGCTCATTTTGGTTAAGGCCTGGTAGGCCAGGCTGGTACTGTGTCAGAGTCAAGTGCATCGAGGTTTTCCAGAAACAATCCTCGACTTGACCATCGAACTGCTTGTGGCTGAGAACAGTCCAAGCCTCGGGATTCGATTTTCGGATCCTTGGGTTTATCGGAGGAATAAGGAACGATAGCCCCGGTTGGCCAATGTTTCCATCTACACGCTTGATTTCTGCCGCGAGCGGTGTTTCGTAGGGATCTGCCATCAATGGACTTGTCACGAATATCGAGTTACCGTACGTCAACGCAAACACATTCATCAAGTACCCTATGTCAAAGTTCTGGCCTGTTTCAAACATCGCGATACAAGCAAAAGCTTTAGGTCGAGACAAGGTTAGTCTCAACGGCGATTCATCGCTACCCCTGCGATCGGGTATCCACCTGGCCTTACTAAGAGAGGTCTTTCCAACAATCGAGGAGTCAATAGTAGCCTCAGGTAGTCGAGAATATAGGTCCACAGCGGCAGCGCAACCGCGAAGTGGCTGGACGAAATCATTTCTTGTAGACCTTAAATGAGTATCGAACCAGTCCGTGAGCTTGTAATGATTAAATTCATCAGAACGAATTGAGTTCTTGAATGTCTTCCCTGTGAAGTAATGGCCCAAGTCAGTCTCGCGGCCATTTGGTCCGGCGTTACGCGGATCAGTGTTGTCTTTTGTCATTGGACCAACCCTCATAATCTGGGCACGGGAGTCACCAACACAAAACTGAAGGGTGACAAAGTTATTATTCTCTCCTGTTTGCTTCATATCCCTGTTCATAATGGCTTGGTTTCCAGATGACACTGAAAGCTCGTCAGGATGGAGAGTTCAGTTCATGGTGGTCGTCGCATGGCTCGGTTCAAGTGTCATCGAAAAAAACGCGAATGCTATGATCGGCTCGAAGTTCAGCTGGCTGCCTCGAATGGTGCCTGGACCTTGGCGTTTTTCTGACGCTAGATTATTCCGCTACAACTACAAGACTAGCTCAACCTTTCGTGCCGCAGTCTGTTAAGCATGACCCGAGTTCCCATGTTTTGGCAGACTAACTTACGATGAGATTCACATGGTTGTGCCAGAGATGCAGGACAGCAACAGTTTCATACCTCTATCGATACATCCTTGGTGTATCCGGTTCAATCCTGGACGGTTTGACTTGGAGAAGCAACGAGCTGTCGGGTTCTAATGAAGATAATAAATCACAGGCTTAGACAGTATACACTACTGACATGAAGCCTTGAAAATTACATGATCATTCTGGCATCTTACGTGAGACTCTATCATTGAGTTATCACTTAGATAACATGCTATCTACTATGTCCCTCACATTATCTAACACTGACATAGTAGCAACACATCATTGAAAGTATCTAAGCTACTCTATTGCCCTTGTCTTCCCCCTTCAACAATCCCAGAACAACATCAACAACCGCTCTCCCACTCTGACTCTGATTCTCCATTGTACTCGCCCCAACATGCGGCGTAACAACCACATTCTGCAAACTCAACAATTCAGGATACGCCTCCATAGTAGGCGGTTCAGTAACCATAGCATCCAACCCAGCACCAAACAACTTCCCACTCTTCAACGCTACCAAAAGAGCATCTTCATCTACTATCCCTCCACGAGAGCAGTTAAGTATAATAGCCCCGTCTTTCATGACCTCTAATTCTGCTGTTGAGATGGAGTTTGTAGTTGTGCTGGTTAGTGGGATGTGTAGTGTTACTACATCTGATGCTTTGAGAAGATCATGTAGGGAAGAAACTTGAGTGAAACCTTCTCCAAAAGTGTTTCGCCAGTGCTTTCCATCTGAAAACGGATCATACGCAATGATGTTTCCTTCCATAGCACCGACCCATTTCTTCGCAACAGCAAACCCAATATTTCCCATTCCAACAACACCAAGAGTCTTTTTATACAAACTCTTTCCCAGCGTTTGACTGCGAACAATAGCCTCTCCGCCTCTCGTCCTGCGATCAATCTCAGCAACTCGTCTCGCTAGAGTGAGAGCTAGAGCGAAAGTATGCTCAGCGACTGCTTCGCTGTTGAGACCGGGTGTATTGTATACTTTGATCCCATGTTCGGCTGCAGCTTTGAGATCGATGTTATCGACACCAACACCTTGCTTGACGATGAATTTGAGGTTTTTGCACTGGGAGAGTTCGTTTTTGCCTAAGCGTGTTTCGCTGCGGAGCATGATTGCTGTGGCATTTTCAGGGTATGTGTTTTTGAATGGATCTGTGGGAAGAATGGCGGTGATGTCGGGGGAGTTTTGGAGTGCTGCGATGGCATCGGGGTGGTAGGGGTCTAGAACGTAGACCGAGGGTTTGTGGACGGTCATGATGGTCGAAAGTAGTGATAATGGTAGATAATACAGAATGTTTAAGATTTCCCTTGGCTTTTGTATAAATGATCGCTTCTTGATGGACGTGCGACTTACACCGGAGATCGCCCCGGACGAACTCCCGGGAAACGTCCGGGGCGTCAGCCGAGCGGCGGTTTCATCACGCATATCCACGTCGACTTATTAAAGCTTTACCATCTCAATATCATTTTCTCCAAATAGAATTGAGAGTCAATAGACTCATCTACCATTCCTTAAGTCAGAATCTCTCCCTCAAACAAAAAACGTCATGGCGTCTTCAGTTCTAACCAAGCTTCGCGCATACACAACGTACAATCCTCCCCACACCCTTCAGTCACCACCACCACTAACATCAATCAGATGCGATGTTTCCGACGCTCTTCTAAAAATGGGCATCTCACACGGCGGCTTCCTGCCCAACATAAGCATGTGGTCACCTCAGCGCCAAGAAGGCGACGCAAAGCTCATCGGGCCTGCATACACAGTCAAGTTTGTCCGGAACAACTACACGGCTGCACCAAAGCCGAAGGAGCATTATGTAAGTTGCCAAGGCCCTGCCAAATGGTCTCTGAGACTAACAGACCTAGATTGATACCGTTCCTAAAGATCATGTCATCTTCATCTCATCCCCACATGGTGTCTTTAATGCTGTTTACGGCGGGTTGATGAGTACTCGCGCTAAATACTGTGGCGCCGCCGGAACTGTCGTGGATGGCACGTTTCGAGATCTACAAGAACATCGTGGTCTCGACTTTCCAGTAAGTCAACCAAACCTACACTTCTCACAGTACTAACAATGGGCTAGGTCTACGCTCGTAACGTCGGAACACCAAGTCCCCACGAAGTTGCTCGTCCAAGCGAGGTACGTCTATCCAACAAAGCCATGATCAAAGACTAATTATCTGCAGGTCAACGTCCCCGTCAAACTCCAAGATCCGGCCTTGGACGTGACAATCAACCCAGGGGACATTATCTTTGGCGATCTAAACGGCGTGGTCTGCGTGCCTAAGGATGCTGTTGAGAAGATCCTTGAGCTTATGCCCAAGCTCGTGGAAGCTGATGAGAATATGGCCAAGGATATTGCAAAGGGAATGACCTTTTCTGAAGCGAAGGATAAGCATCGTTCTTGAAGAGTGTCATTGTTGTTGTCTTTTGTATAGAAGCTTCTCTCAAGTAGAATAAATGGAACACCCCTTTCTCGTTCACTGTCACTTGTATACCGGGCCAGCTCTTACGTTGCAGGCACAGACCAGAACTGTTCAGATCCATGTCTACCGCGGTAAATTGCCTCTTTCGTCAACATTCCTGAGAGCGAGTGGACTATACGCCAGAGAGGCCTCAAAACGACATGAACCGCTTGGCGTCTCCATCGTGAGATTGCAGTTCGCCTGCCCTTTTCACAGTTTCGAAGGTCATAAGACCTTGACAAGGCCAACTTAAGCCGATTAGGAAGTCTCTGAAGTAAATAGGTGAAGATGCATGAAGGATAAATACCTACCTTGATCCAACACTTCATCGCTCTACCACAGCAGTTCTCCTCAACAGTCGCCGATATGCATGATTCTCTGAACTTACAACTTGGACATATTCGGAAGGTCGTGGGAGTCGTCGACAGCTGAGCAGAAGCACGGCCTTTCTCAAGTCCCTCCGGAGGATACTGACTCTTCGAAGTCTTGAAGCTCGCATAGCCCCTCTGTCGCTTGAGCTAACCTGGGGTTTACAACTTGCCAAGTCGCGATATTCCTGGTTATATCTCTCATCGGCTTCGAACCCGATAGAGATGTATTTGAAGAGTCGATACCACCATACCTGATAGCCCGGATCAGGACCAACAAAGGATATCGATGACACAAGTAAATGCCGAACCGATAACCACGCATCAGCCAAGAAAGCAGACCATATTTATGTAAGACCTTCAAGTCACACATATCGCATGATAATTGGGACACGACCGGTGTAACCACGTTGGGAGGTTCCAGCATGAACCCAGCAATTATATCAGCATCACCGTTATACACGGAAGGTCACCCGTTATTTCTCGGCACCGCCGATCGGAAACGGTTCCGCTGCATGAATCAGCTAACTCTGCGACGTTGCGGTAATTCCCAGCTGACAGGGTGACAGCGGCGGCTGAGTGAAAAATTGGAGAACAAGCACGACACTCTACCAAAGTGGGATAGTTTCATGCCAAACCGACGTTTTCCGTCTGGCTGTCTCAAGGTTACTAGTATTATTGACGCGCATGGATGATACCCCAATGATAAGAAAATGCCTCGTCACTGTACTGTAAACTCTGTTTCAAAAACCGTTGGTATCCAGTCCCCACAGCAGCACAACTCGATAGCGCGGAGGACTTCCCGATGGAAAAAGAGGGCCTAATCTTAAAGTAGCGATACGACAGTAAGCGCGGAGGAGGCACGGACAAACCCCAAATTATCAAGGGGATATGACTGCTGCATTCGGTATGTATCGGCCAACCAAATGAACGCGTATACCCCATTTAAGAAAGTTACCTTTTGGGGTAGCAAATTTTTATCGGTAATGCCGGGCGATCATTCTCCAACTTGAACGTTTACCCACGGCATTGAGAGTCTATCCTTTATCTTCAATCAACTTTGTATCAGGGACTCAATTGATAGATGCGGGATATCAGGGATATTCCACAAAAAAGAGGATATGACAGGAGAGTCATTTGAACCTTGGTTTGGGGTAGACCCCATATTTTGGAGATAGCGGATGGAGACCCGATTCCTGTGGTTTCACTGGGGTAGACTACACTACGTAGGTAATGAAAACTCTTAGCGAGTCAAGATCTCCACTGCTAGACGTCATAGCTTAGACCTTTTCCCCCAGAACTCCTTGTTTCTTTTACGTGATGACTTTTTGCATTGCGCGATTGACTCCTCTTCTCCAGTTCTACCCCGTGGGGAGACCTTACTGCCAAGTGATCAAGTATCTCCACATGAATCTAGACAAGAAAGAGACTCACGGATACTGCGGAGAGAGAATCAAGTAGCTAAGCTATCGCGGACACCGCGAAGGGGCGAGATTTGGAGCTCACCAAGCTGAGTGGGACTAACCCTCGTTGGGAAAAACAACACGGGGATCGACTCCATAGCGTGGTTTTGTACTAGCTACCAGGGGGGCAAAATGCTCTACAGTACGACACGACAGGGTTTCTTCCTGTTATCTTTCCTTTCCCTTTGCTGTATAAGATGAGTCCACTATCCCCAGATTTCACTCCACACTTTGCATTCCACGCTCTCTTCTTTCTTCAACCTCTTCTCTCCCCCATCTCTCCCTCTCCTCTCATTTCCCCTTCTGTGGGTTTCTACTATTCAACCCTTCAATCATTGAGTTGTCTAGTCCTGTCACCTGTCACTTGTCTACTGTTTAGTTCAAGGGCATTGACTTTGTCATCATGTCGCACTACGAAAACAACCTCGCAGAGAAAGATCTCAAGCGCGATCTAGAAACAGACCAGCCTCTTCACAACACACCATCCGTTGCTCACGGTAATCAAGTCCACGATGATGTCTTTGGTGAAATCACTGATGAAGGCCCCAACTACCGAGCCGTAAGCCATCCTTCTCAATCCCACTCCCAATTCACCCACTAACAGATATTCTAGGTCGGCTGGATCGGTACCGTCGCTCTCATGATGAAAACCCAAGTCGGTCTCGGCGTCCTGTCCATCCCCGCCGTCTTCGACGTCCTAGGCATCGTCCCCGGAATCATCTGTCTCATCGTCATCGCCGCTATAACTACCTGGTCCGATTACATGGTTGGCGTGTTCAAGAGGAATCATCCTCAAGTATACGGTATTGATGATGCGGGGTATCTCATCTTTGGACGAATTGGTCGTGAGATCTTTGGTGTTGCTTTCTGTCTCTGTAAGTGCTACCCTTTGGCAATTGCATGTGGTGGATGAATGCTAATGGTGGTAGACTGGATCTTTGTCGCTGGATCTGGTATGTTGGGTCTGTCAATCGGTCTCAACGCAGTATCCCTCCACGGTACATGCACAGCAGTCTTCGTCGCCGTCGCCGCAATCTGCGGTTTCCTCCTCGCCAGTGTCCGAACCCTCGGTCGCATCAGCATGCTAGCCTGGGTCGGCCTCATCTGCATCATGACAGCCATCTTCACTGTGACAATCGCAGTAGGCATCCAAGACCGACCCGCTGACGCTCCCAAGGGCGGCGAGTGGAAGTCCGACTGGCGCGTCGTTGGAAACCCTTCCTTCACCGAGGCTATCTCTTCTATCTCGAGTCTGATCTTCGCCTACGCTGGTACACCTGGATTCTTCTCTATTGCCGCTGAGATGAAGAACCCTGCTCACTACACCCGATCTTTGATGGTGTGTCAGGCTGGTGTGACTATTACTTACATCGTCATCGGATGCGTTGTGTATCTCTACTGTGGCTCGTACGTTGCGTCGCCTGCTCTTGGATCAGCTGGTCATTTGATCAAGCGCATCGCCTACGGAATTTCCCTGCCCGGTCTTTTGGCTACTACCGTTCTGGTCATTCACTTTGCGGCAAAGTACGTCTTTGTTCGTCTTCTCCGTGGAACAAAGCATCTTGCTTCCAACAGCGCTGTGCACTGGGGAACATGGATCGCCTGCACTCTCACCACCACCGTCATCGCGTACCTGATCGCATCCGGCATTCCCGTCTTCGGCGGCCTCGTGTCTCTTGTCGGTGCCCTTCTTGGAACGCTGATGTCGTTCCAGCTGTACGGCTGCATGTGGCTGTACGACAACTGGGCCAAGGGCAAGCGATCTCCCAACATGAAGTGGTACCTCATGGTAGCCTTCTCCGTCTTCGTCATTGTGTCGGGTACCTTCTTGATGATTGGTGGTACTTATGGATCCATTGTTAGCATTATCGATTCGTACAAGAAGGACGGTGGTTCGTCTGCCTTCTCTTGTGCTGATAATTCTAATTCTACTTAAGAAGTCATAGCGTTGTTTTTGTTTTTAGCATGCATTGGAATTAGAGGGTAGAGAGAATTATCTAGAGGTTACACAATCTTTATCTGAGGTTGAAGAATAGATACTATCCAAACATTTGCCTATTCGAAATGCATTTCTGTGATCCATGAATCCCTTCATTGAGGAGATTTGAGCATCGCCGTACCACTCAAAGTCAATCGCCCAACCGTTACGCCACTCAAATCAACCCACAAATGATAAGAGACGAAATATTTCAGTCATTTTATGACATCTTAGACCATGCTTTATTTTATCACCCTAAACCTTGAAGTTCTCGATCACCTTGGCCGATCCAAACACAAAAGCATGACCACAATATCGACATCCACAAAGTGGGACACAAGATACAACCGCAAAATCAAGATTCTAGAGTCACATCCGTTAAGTCATAACGTCCATCCTGACGTCTCGATCAGCGGGAGCTAAAAGCTTGTTGTGCGCTAGGACAAGCCGGTACGGACAGATACCTTGGGTGGAGAATGAACAGTCTGGACTGGCCTGGCGTTGTCGATCAACAGAGCTCTGCGGAAACGGCGACGATTTGTTCGAGAACCCTGACGACACGACACAATAAAACATTTGGTTGATAACCAGCTGGGCAATAAGAGAATTATTCTCTACTGCTTAGACTACCAAAATAAAGTGGCCTAAATACTAGCCTAATGCCTGGCATAAGTTGACCAAATTATTTCATCTCTTATGCTCTCGGCGGCCAATTCCACTGACACGCTGGCAACGAAAAAGAATAAAAGATTCATTTGACAACGTACAATAAGCCACACAATGTGGTCAATGACCCTTGATTCAACCCCCTGATGCCAAGCCTGGGCAAAGGCTTGTTACAACCACAGGGATCAACTTGCGACGCCATCCCGCAGCCAAGCCAGCAGCAATCGTCGGCAAAGCCATGGCCAACACTGAACAGCGGGGATCCACCAAAAGCAAAAGCCCAACCTAAGAGATGAAGAGAGTCGACATTCTATCCTCGAGTTCTACTGACATGTGTAAATGCTTATCATTGTACGATGTTGGAGTTGGAGGGCGGGCACAGTCAGTCAACAAGATGCAGTATCTACTTGAGCCTCCGGCTGTGGACATCCCACCCCTCCATCCATCATCAAATAATCATAATACTTGGATGTTTTAGTAAAGCTTTAGGAAATTTTTGAGTATGTGTTTTCGTCCATTAGGCTTCTCATCACCTAGGCAACTGGGTGCGGGATGTGCACAGGGGCTCAAGGAGAGGCAATAAGAGTGTAAGACTAGCGCTTTATTCATTATTGATCTTCTCATGTCAATGTTCTACCTATCAGTACAATTATCGCTGTTATGAATTCTTCCTTTCCACTATCACTTCCTGTGTCGCTTGCTCAATGTCTAATCAAGCGCGAGACTGCGCTCAAGGCTGTCTTCAAGGCCTTCTTCAAGGCTGTTCTCCAGGCGCGTCCTCCATCCTGTTCTGTGGGCTGCACTCCGGCCTGTCCCCCAGTGAGCCCCGAAACCCGATCCCGATCTTGGATCAGGACCTCTACCAGCATCTCCTAGATCCATAGGTCCAGACCCGCTAGTGCAAGTTCAGTGGGCTTTAGATCATGCTTTATGAATTCGTGGAGATAGCCTCGTGCGGTGTGACGATGAAACGATTCGTTCGGCCATAGCGCGCGCTTGGGATGTTGAGTTATCAGAGCGGCGGCAAACCAAGCGTCACGTGTCGGCTTGAATCGGGGATGCAGCTGTGCCGTCTCGTCTGTGGTGACTCCTGTCAAAAGAGATTAGATAAGGTCTTTGCAGATGTGACGACTTGAACGGCGAGGCAACTGGGCCACTGGGCCAAAAATAAGAAAGAGCATGAGTGACTTACCTGCTAAGCGCTCCATTCGAGCAACATGGTCGTCCGGCAAATCGAGGAAGCGGTCAACACCCGACGAAGTCCTGAGGACGTCTTGGAGGACAGCCAGGTCGGCCACAATTTCCTCTCTTGCGTCCATCAGGGTATGCAAGAACACGAATGGGTTGTTGGTAGTAGGGGAGCCGTCTGCGTTGAACAACGCACTCAAGGCGTCTGCAAAGGCGGTATGACGGAACGAGGGCTCAGGCATCCTCCCTCGCAGAATGGTTCGAAGCTCCTCCAAGTTTCTGAGATGAATCCTGTCTTGTTGTATCGCATGCTCGATCCATTGCTGGTTGGTAGGAGATTTGAGTGTTTCGAAGATCTCATCGATTGGAAGGAGCATGTCTATGAAGTTGCCGTGCCGCCCGTCGAAAATATGGGTACCGTTGTCGTCAACGTAGGGTGTCATGTTTTCGGTTGTGGGCATACCGTTCAAATCGATACGAAGGGCCGCCGCGATATCGGGAGAAGTCCCGTCAGGAAAGGTCTCGTTCATTCTGACCCATGCCAGTCTTCGGAAAAACATCATTCGCCAGATACCGAATGGCACGAACTGGGCTTCCCGACGTTTTTCGGGAGAGTGCTTGAAGCATATCTTGTGCTTGGATTTGTAGTGTTCGCCGTTGGCATTCCGGAGGCAGAGCATGTTGGCATGAAGGACCCTTCGAGTTGGGGCGTGGTCAAGGGTGGAGGGAGTGTCTGCGGTTGCTGACAGTCCAAGCCTGGCAAGGATCTCACGCCAGTCGTATGCTCGAGGGACATCCATGATGAAGAAGAGTAGAGTAATGTCAAGAAAGAGAGTTTTGTGTCAAGAAAGGAGATGCAGTTCCAAGAATTCGTTGATGATTCTGTTGATGATTCTGCTGATGATGATGAAAGAATCAGAATGAGTTGGGCGGGGGGGGAAAGGTTTTATCATCAGGCAGAAAGGGTACCTGCCTCCTTTGCTGCGTCTGTATCTGGCCTGAGGAAGGTAGTTTGCGAGGGAAGGTGCACACTGTCCACAGGGCGTCAAACGAAGTGATCGTCACGTCATAAGGATAAGAGACGAAATGGTTTGGTCATCTTATGCCAACTTAGGAAGGCATTTAGACTACTTTATTTTGGTAGCCTGAGCCTTGGAGGACATTTCGTCTGCTATCCACCTAGACTGGGAAGGAAGGCATCATGATCGGCCTCAGGTTCGTTGAACATGGTGCTCTTCTAAATCTATTGACCAAATGCAAACGACATTGAGGATAATATTCCATGGAGTATCAAGTCTACTGCGCCGCCAGATGCATCAACCTCTAATGATTCTCATTCCCTTCATGTGTTGTTCTTCCTCGTTCCCTCTGCTCCTAGGTACGTGACGCGTCACTGACCTCGCTCCTTCTCCTCCATCTCAATCATGACGCGTCAGAACTCTTTCCTTCCCCAACTCTTCTTCCATCCGTTTCTATTCCCTTCTATCAATCCCCCTCCTTCTTGTAAACAGCAAACTCATCAAACAGCGCAACCTCCTCAAACTTCTGCGCCACAGCCTGAACACCAGCCTCATCCGGATTCGTCATAGCCAAATCAAAATCCACAATGAAATTCGTCTGAATGCCCTCATGCGCCAACTCATGATGTTTTCCACCCGCTAAAACCTCTGCCATTAGTGTCTTGGCTTCTCTATTGCTCATAAGTCCATTATTTATCGCCATTGTGAGAAATGCTTGTATGACATGTGAGAAGATCGGGTAGCCGACGTATAAATGCTGCCAGTAGCGTATACAGAGTAGAAAGTAGAATTTGGATGTTAAATCGAAGGGGGGTTCTTTGCAAATTGTGTTGGCGATGTGGATTAGGGATATGTTTATGTAGGGCATGTAACTGTTGGGCATTTTTTGGGTTCGGTAAATAAGGGCGAGGCGTTTCATTTGGTTGAGGGAGGCGGAGAAGATGGTTTTGGGCGTGCTGTCTTGGGAGTTGAAGGAGCGGAGTTTGTAGTCTTGTTGGGTTTGGGCGAAGGGACGGAAGATGTCGAGGACTGCGCAATGGAACCACATGCTGGAGTCAGTTAGCTAAGAGTATTCTTTTGGATGGGTATGTAGTCGTCAAGAGCCAAATAGGTGCAGCGTCACATTCTGCGCAATTGGTACTTACTGGAAGAGAAAGATGTGCTCATGACTATCCTTATTCCACGCCATATCCTTACTGAGAGAATCCGCCCAATGCAACATTTTTTGATACTTCGCTTCTGCAAACGCTATCGGAACTCGGTTGAAGATGGGTATCCTGTCGTTGGCAGAGTATACAGCCGCGACCTCTTCGACTATTGAAAAGAAGTGACATAGTTTGGTGAATGACTTGCCCATGTACTTGGGAAGAGGATGGTCAGGCCAGGCGTGGTCTGGATAGTCGTCTCTATCGGCGCCAGGGACTGGAAGAGAGGGGGTATGGGATATACTCTCGTCATAGAAGAACATAACATGTATCCTTTGAAGCCGTTAGTTCTTGATCTCGGAAGGTTGGGTGTCAGGTGGGTAACAGAAGAATTGTCCTCCAAGGCGTAGGGTGCAGAAATAAAGCAGCCTAAGTGTTAGTCTAAGCTAGCATAAAGTGATCAAATCATTTCGTCTCTTATGCTCTCGAGGCCAATTCTTCTGGTACCCTGATGGGCGTACTCACGTCAACCAGTTGTATGTACTCCACGCCACATGCGCCGTCATGCGAAGCAGATCATCCGGCAATCTTCGAAAAGCCAACGAGGATGGACTATGATGAGGTACACCATATAAAACAAGCCTTCGCCCCATATTACGACCAGCGGCCTGGAGTTCTCTGGCTAACGTATCGTTTCCACTGAAGAAACATCCCAGACTCAGAGTGTTGATGGCAGCCAGCGTGAGTACGTCGTCAGATGATCCTTCAGCACGGAACAGCCTTTCGGCTTCTCTAAGAAACAGGTTTCCGAGGGGTATTGCGGTGAGATCTTTCGCAGTATAAGCATACTACAAACGTGTGAGTTGAGTGGCCGAAGGGTGTATATTGAGAGAATTCCACTTACACATGCCACATATAGCATCGCCGTGACGAGAAATGAAGAGCAGAATCTAGGCGTTCTATCCGCAAGACTCCCAACGAACAAATCTGCATCGATGAAAGCAACAATTGTCTGATCCGTCTCCAAATACAGCGATATCAAGGTCGCAGCCGAAGCATTGCTAATAGGCACTTTCGTCCAGTAGGAAATATCAAGATCCTTCAATCTAGAATCACAATACGGTTTCGACCCAGCTTCTGCAAGAACAACAGGCGTATTCGAAGGTTTTCTCACAAGACTACCGGAATTTGAAAGTGTCGAAGAAGGCGATGCAGGTTTCTCTAAGGGCGGAATATCAAGCCCCGTAATATCGATGGGTAATAACGTAGGATACACAATCCCATGAAGCGCTGTGAGCTCAAATTCAATTCTCGAACTGGTAGTCGGTAACAAAGCTTGAGATGTCTTGTGATTTGAAAGTCTGACTGTGCCCAGTGGTGATAACGCATTTTCTGATGACCTCAGCCGCTGCAGAAGCTTGAGAGCTTCATATTCAGGAAGCGTCTTGAGTTGATCCACAATATCGGCATACTGATTGAAGTTGTTCTGGAGAGTATCAAGTTGTTTCTGAACCTTGATGGTTGAATCCACCGTTTTGGGTGGAACTCGGTAAATGCAGGATAAGCTCCGCAATCGACACTGGTCACATTGAGGTTCTGCACCGTTGCACTTTAGCCGTCAGTCGTCAGCCAAAAATGAGTTACTGTCATGAGAGTTGCGCGTAACTTACGGCGCGTTTCTTTTCGCGACAGGGATTACAAGCTACCCTGACATGCTGCCGTTTGCGTTTAGCGATACGATAAGACCGGCCGAGGACGAAATGGCCGCCTTCTTCTGACTCGGGAGAGTTATCGTCTCGAGGCGCAGGCTGGATCTGCCTGAAATTGGCTGCCATGCTCGTCTCACTCTGGCTGGATGCCGACTCATTCTCGTTTTGATAGGCTAAGTTGCCCAAGTCCGTGATATGAGCTTCTGTGTGGGGTTTGTTGGGCGTGATGTGATTATGAGAGCATGGATTAGAGTTTCGGGCGGAATAACGTTATTACGAGACAGATTTAGGGTAGCCTTGGTTAAAATGGGAAAAGAATTAGCCGTCAGAAACATAAGAGATGAAAAGATTTGATCATCTCATGCCGGTTTGAAGTATCATTTAGAGTAATTTGTTCTTATGGTCTAGATCTAGGTGTTTTCGCATCTGGTTGCCTATCTTGAAATTATCTTCGATCCTGCTAATGGGACATTTGGACAGTTGGAGGGGAACGTGGTAGTGGGTTACACAAAATTCACAACATGCCATTCCTCAAAACGGATGACCAATTGCCGTGGCAGTCACAAATGCCGTCGGACTCTTGACTCGTGCGTGCCACAACCCCGTTCAAACCTGAATCTCAACGCTGACTAACCCATCAAGCTTTTCTTGACCGAGGTCCCTTTCCTTCACCGTCTAAGTTTCGAAACAAAGAAGGCTACGGCGGCTGAAAGAAACATCAATGCATTGACGATCGGATGCAGTAGCCACTCGGCGTTTATGCGAAAACCTCGCCCTCGCGCTTCGTGGACAGCGCTAGAACTCTGTAAAGAATTCTACGACGAACCAAAAGAAACGGAGTCACCGAGGCTCGTTTTTTTGTTGATCGGCGTTAATCCACTTCAGGTAAAGTAGCCGAGCCTGCCACGTTATTCTATCCGCTCCCTGACCAAGGAATTACTCCCCGGCTAGCCAACGAGCAATTAATTTCTTACTGCATTCTGATAGAGATCTGACAGCATGTTTGCAGCGAGTTCTCACTGTGTTAAACTTAATTGTTGTCAACTTTTATCACTATGATTGACGGTTTAGATCACCGTGGAATGTCATCATTCATGAGGTCATTGCCGCTTCGGGAAGTATCACCGTTTGCAGTGTGGATCGCAAACGCTGTGACGTTTTAGCTGTTTGTTGAGAAAATCTTCAATGCTTTCGTTCTTACAAATCAAGCGGCGTGCAATAGCCTCGGTACGTTGGCCGCGCCACTTGTACGTCTCGATTGGGCGGAATACCGCATGCAAAGATGATGTGTTCTCTAGACTCTTTTTAGATATATAAAGGACCCTTAGATACAGTGACGTCGTTTATATTCATTCTCATATTCATACTCATACTCATATACCCATACAATACATCTCATCCTCTTACTCTTTATAACTTAATCATATACACATAAACCGCAATCATGGTTCAGAACAAGACTCTCGTATACAAGAAGATCCCCACCGGTCTCCCCGTCGCCGGTGAGCATCTCGTCATCGAGGACCGTCCCATCGATATCGACCAGGCTCCCCAAGGTGGTGTCGTTCTCGAGCAGCAATATGCCTCTTTCGACCCTTACCTGCGAGGCAAGATGCGCGACACCTCCGTCAAGTCATACGCTCCCGCTTTTGAGATCAACGATGCCATCAACAACGGCACCTTGAACAAGGTCATCAAGTCTGACTCCCCCGACTTTGCCGAGGGTGATCTCGTTACTGGTTTCCTCCCCATTGCCGAGTACGTCCGTGTCGACAAGGAGACCATCCCCAAGGTCAACCTCCGCAAGATCCAGAACCCTCACAACTTGGATCTCGGCCTCTTCCTCGGTGCCCTTGGCATGCCTGGTCTCACCGCCTGGTCTGGTCTCCACGAGATCGGTCAGCCCAAGAAGGGCGAGACCATCTTCATTAGCTCCGCTGCCGGTGCTGTTGGTCAGATTGTCGGTCAGATCGCCAAGCGCGAGGGTCTGACCGTTATCGGCTCCGTCGGTGACGACGAGAAGCTCAACTTCATCACCAAGGAGCTCGGCTTCGATGCTGGCTTCAACTACAAGAAGGAGGCTCCCAAGGATGCTCTTCCCCGTCTTGCCCCCAACGGTATCGACATTTACTTCGAGAACGTCGGTGGTGACCACCTCGAGGCTGCTCTCACCAACATGAACGTTGGTGGCCGTATCCCCGTCTGCGGTCTCATCTCTGAGTACAACACCCCCGCTGACAAGCGTGAGGGTATCAAGGGTCTTATCAACCTGATCGCCAAGCAGATCAAGATGGAGGGCTTCCTCGTCTCTCACCCCCAGTTCGGTCCCAAGTACTACAAGGACCACCAGGAGAACCTCCAGAAGTGGTTGGGTGACGGCAGCGTCAAGGCTAAGCTGTTCACCACTGAGGGCATTGATAACGCCGCTGAGGGCTTCATTGGTATGCTCCAGGGCAAGAACTTCGGCAAGGCTGTTCTCAAGCTCCGTTAAGTTAATGACATAAATGAACGTTATGAAAAGGGAATAAAAGGATATAGAAAAGTATTATACCAATAAGCATAATCAAATTATCATCAATCAATACCGTGTCCAACGAAATGTGATATGTAATGAAACCAGCTTACTATAGAATCTCGGAGGGGGTTAAAATTGCAGTGAAAGAACGCTCACAAACGTGACTGGCGAATTCTTGATTCACAAACGTGACTGGCGAATTCTTGATTCACATGCTCTTCTTTTGACTTCATGAGTAACTCAAGAGTCAAGAGTGAAAAGTTGGAGCCAAGTCGAGGACATGCTTTATCTGAGGTGTCTTGACCTCGATGTGACTTAAGCCTACATGTTTGAAAAGAAACTTCCTCTCCTACAGTGGAACGACGAGGAGACTTTTTCTCTGACAGAAATTGACTCTTGTAAACGAACTCCTTCACACTATCCACCATTCTCTCGTTGCTCAGAGCTCGACAAGTGATCCGTCTTTGATTAAGGATATCTGAAAGCCATCCCTACCTTGTACAGGACACAAGTGAAGTAGGCTGGGAAGACGATGATAATCCACAGGCGACATGTTGATATACTCAAATTGCGAGACAATTCACTTCTATAAACAATCAACCAGCCGCACGAGCCGGGACGATCCAATTTATCTTATCTATCAATTATACATATGTCCCAAATATATCCTCGTTACTCATCTCTCAAAATGATTCTCCAATACGCCCGGACAATCATCAAAAAGATAACGTCCCAATACATGCAAGTCTATTCAGCGCGAGCTTATGCCTCTTCATCTTGCTCAGAGGAATTGTCATCTGATCCCTGCCAGTCATCACTCTCCAGCCCATCGCGACGGATGAAGAGAGACGAAACCCAACCAAGAATAGCCAGACCGCCAAAGACACTCCAAGCTATGGCTTCACCCTTGGGTCGGATGTTGATGGATAGACTGAAGAGGCCGCCAGACACGAAAGGACCGAAGCTGCGGCCGAGGGCGGAGAGGGTTTGGGCCATGCCGTTAAGACTGCCGAGGCTGGAATGCGACGGTGCGGAGTTGGTGATCTGGAGTTTGTAAGTAAAGTTCAATAGTTGCTCAATGGAGGGACTCACCAAAAGCATAACACTGGACAATCCACCGACAGCGCACATGTTCTTGAGGATCAACACAAGGCCAAGCTCAATGTACAGCCACATCTTGCCGCTGCCGATACCGAACAAAGGCTTGTCATCGGCGTAGCCAACCCAAGGCATGAACAGCATGCTGATACCAAGCCCCAGAAGCGAGATCTGGTAGGTACCCAGGTTACCCAGCTTGGACTTAAGCTGCTGGAACAAGAAGGCCTGGAAAATGCAGCTCGCCAACCCTGCGACACTCAAGCTGACGCCAATTCTACTGGGCAGCAAGTCGCGACCGGCAGGAGGAGGCGTCGCAGCAAAGATGGGGTACAAGCTGTTGAATGAGATATTGGACAGCTGGAATACGAGGTAGGTGAAGAGGACGAGGATGGTGGTTCGGCTGAGATCCTTCCAGGCGGAGAGGGCGGGGTCGAGCTTGTCGCTTTCGTCAGAGTCGGATTCGTCGTCGTCATCTTCGGAGTCGGAGGAGGGTGCTCGGCCGGAGGAGAGAAGAGGTTGCGAGGTATGCGATCGAGGCCAGCGCGCGCTCCATGAGGGACGTCGTGGGGGCGGAGGGCGCGAAGGGAACCAGGAGAGGATCTTCTCAACCCATGCGGGCTTCTCGAATGCGACTTGGGTCTTGTCCAGAGTTTCCTCGAACCAGATGCTGACCACAATAACGCTGACAGCGAGGAGACCAGCAGAGAGGATGTTGGGAGCCAGATACGGATACTTGCTACCCATTCGTCCCACAAGGATACCACCAAGTGCAGGTCCAGTGATGCTGCCGAGGGAGTAAATGACGGGCAAGTATGTGAACGCGCGGCTCTGGTTGGACCGGTCGGTAACCTCTCCCAAGACTGTCGGGACGCAAGCAGCGTTTCCGTTGAGCAGTCCCATCATAACATGAACGACCACGATCTGCCAGTACTCCTTGCATAAGCCAAACACGCAAAAGCAGCCCATAAGCGCAATCGTGCCCATGATCAGAACCGGCTTTCTGCCAATTACATCCGAGGCATATCCCCAAAGGAAGTTTGTCGACAGCTGCGCCAATGCGAAAGAGCTCGCGAGTATTCCGACGTATAGACCGGCTTCGTCATCAGGGATACCAGGCATGTTGAGCACCATCTCGGGAAGGTAGGGCGATATCGAGTTCAGCGCGGTCTGTTCGGCAAGGGAGAGGAAAGCCAGCAACAACAGCTGTCGGATAGGCAATGGCGTCTCTTCGCTATCATCTTCATCATCGGAATCGCTCGCATTGGAACCAGCGTAGGGCTGTTCCAGGGGAGTCTTTGGCGGCGTTGTAGGAAACGTCTGGTATCGATGGGATTGGCGTCGCATGTTGCTCAACGTTGGGATCGGCGCGCCAGCATGGAATGAACCTGAAGAGGCCGTTCTCTCAACAGCCATAGCTCGCCTGGCGGCGGCGCTGGAAGAGTTATTTCGTGAAGGCGCCATGATTGATGGCTGTAAGAGTAGCCTTTTCCCTCCAAAGCTTGTCTTCGAAGATCAAGCCTCGGGGTGGTGAACGAGTGGTGACGTAGTAAGGGCGAGATTTGTTATGGCGGGGCTGACACGAGCCACGATGAGATCAAGGCTAGACGCGACAAGGGCATTTGCTAGGGATCGCTCGGGTAGAGATCGATCATCAAGTCTTTGGAGGGAAGCTTTGATGAGACAATTAAGATTGACGGATGGTTTTGGTTCCTGTGGCTGGAAATAATCTTCAACGAATATTCCGAAAATCGGCCGATCGCCCTTTTTTGCTGGTTACAGGCAGGTGCAGACTGCAGGTGATTGCACCTTCTAATTTTGATCGCGTGAGCGCAAGGTACCTGTACGATCACTGATGTAATAGCGGGTCTGTTAGCGCTTTCTGGCCAATTGACTTTCGTCGTTAGGATCCCACCGGGCTAGAGTCTCCGGTCAAACTCAATGGGAGAAGCTTATCCAAGTTTGCTTTGTCAGTTTCTTTGATGACTCTCTTGACCGGCTGTCGATCTCGATCTTGGCGGTGCAGTTTGGGGCGCATTTGCGAGCATATGTCACTGTTTATGACTGTTTTGTGGTTGAGAAGGGTCCTGAGGACCACTACCCTGGAGTGTCATTGGACAAGATGACGCAGTAAGCAGAACTGAACAGTCATAAGTTATAACCAAACTCAACACCAACTCTTTCACATACGACCAAAGGT